AATTATAATTAGAAATATACATAATATGCATACAATAATGTTATACATACATCCAAAATATTATATACAACAAGCAAGGCCGTAACTGAGGGGGGTCCAGGGGTCCACCCCCCCTTCCCCCTCCCTCCCCCACGATTTTTTTTCCAGTTACGACCTTGACAACAAGTTATTAGGGCTTAAAATATGAAGTTATCAGTCTTTTTTTTTTTTTTTTTTTTTTTAGGTTCGATAAATAAAATAATCAATGTACATTATTGCTATATCTTCATATTATTATCGTGAAAAATGTCATTAATACGATTGTCGATATCGTGTATTATGTAATATAAAATGTTTGATTATATATAACTACATATTTATCTACAGTCCATACTTATTTTTGAATTTTCGGAAGAGTGAGCACGGTTAATCGCTAATACGGATAATCGAATCACGGATAATCAAGGTTCTACTGTATACTAATATTACATAATTAAATAGTACAATTGTATAATAATTGTAATAGTTTACAATGATTTTGAATTATTTAAAAAACAAATTATTAGTTTAATAGTATGTAAGAAAAAAATATTTTTTATTAATAATTGATGGAAAAAAAATTGTATTACTTTGGGCTCCTATGCAAACGGGCCCGGGTGTGATTGCACCCTATGATTCCTCTAAGTTCGTCACTGATGTCTAATAAAAACTCATTGTAAATAATATGTCCAATTAAAATAAATCATCTCTATGACTAATTTTTCCCAATGTATTCCATCTTAAATGGTTCAAAAATTCATAAAAATTCATCATCAAGTATATACGGAGTCAATAAAATCGATATAATGTAATTATAAATTATAATATAATACTATTTATCAATTTTTTTGACTTGATGTATCTTATGATAGATTTTTAATTCAAAACCGGTCGTACTTAATAAATATAAAAATGATCCATTTATTTATTTGACTGTTTATCTATCTATATAATAATTTAGGAGTACCTGTTAGCCATTTATTAATTTTTATTTTATTTTATTGTCTGTAATATTACTTTTATCGTCATTGTTACCAAGAAAATTTCAGCCGAGACCCGAGATTTAAATTATCTATGACGCATATTGGCTTTTACATACTATAATAGTATAACACTTTATAATCACAGAATTCTAATCTTGTATAGCAATCTGTGTTTATATTACATAATAGAATAGATATCATTCCTTATTTCTATGTTGAACTATAACACATGTATATTATTTATTGTGTGTGACTTATCAAAGGTCAGAGCTACTGAGTCCACACAATAAAACAGTATTCATGTTTAGTTTTTTAATATGTGTATAATACGCCGGATGTTTATACGTACAACTGGTCCAACAGAGTTAAATTATGTTTGTAATATTATTAAATATTTAATTAAAATATACATTATATTAAAATATTCTGAACGACCGATCAAGAATTAAAATTAAACAGACTTTCGATTAGAATGAGTCTAAATTAGCACTAGCTCCCTAGATTTTACCACTAGTGAATAATAATATTAATAATTATTTTAATACACAGTATTGTAATTAAAAATTTTAATTTTTTCCAAGACATTATTTTCACGCATATTTATCCTTTCAACAACCCGATGGTAAAATAGTAGACAATTGTTGCGTGCCAACCGATTGATCGAATCTCAGTGATTCACTCAATCTGTTCAACGCTTGAATGTAGGTGGATGTAAATAATTAAAGGTAGTTGTGGTGTAAAGTGATTTATTAAACTGTTAAAAATTATTCCAAGTACAATTAATTAATTTAGCTGTTAAAACTCCAAGTCCTAATATTTAAAATGTGATAAAAAAGTATTCTAAGTCCAATTAATTAATAACTGTTGAGATTCTTCTAAGTCCAAATGATTAATAACTATTTAAATTATTCTAAGTCCTGATCATGACATACACTAGCGTGAAGGTGCTCAGTGTCGCATAGCAAGAACTCGTCTGATTTGCCCTTGTTTCCGGGTCCCTTATATATCCGATGAACGCAAGTGTGTGCAGGGGCGGATCCAGAACCATGGTAAGGGGGGGGGGGGAATTATAATTTTACAAAATATTATAACAAAAAGAAAACAACAATTTTTACTACACAAATTCAAGTCGTCTATTTTTAAAATTGGCAAAAACATCAATAATATGATCTATTTGATCTAGAATATCTATTTTATGATATACATTATTTAATGTAGACATAATGCTGATCAGGGGTGGATAGGCCCATTGGGATACCGGGAAAATTCCGGTAGGCCATCCTCTCGTAAATTTTTATTTCTTAATTTTAATACACTAATACAGAGTTCGCTCAATAAATATAAACAAAATAAATATAATTAATAAATATGCACACTACAGGACTGAACCAATTATATAAGGTATACAACTTAATAAATAATATTTTTTTTTAATAATGAGAATTAAATTAAGTTTTAAAAATAGCAATAATGGCACGTATAGTCCCGCATGTTTACATTAATACATTATAGTATCAGTGCGTTGCCGTGTGGTGGTCGAGTGTCAACCTTATCTGAAAGTATTATCGGAACATTCTACTAATACTTATGTCATTATAATTTTATTTGACGACCACGTTACAAACCATTTTACTTTATTTTCTTCTTAATTTTGTACTGGAACAACAAACAAGCTTTTATTTCTGAATACCTCTTCGATCTCAGTCTTCAATTTTCAAGTAAGTAAAAGTATTTTTATTTAGTTTATCAATATTAATTCATATCATTCGATCAGATAGGTAAATATTAGATAATATGGATGATCAACAACAAAAGGTATCTAAAAAATTTAAAAGTGGTCATGAAAAACGACTAGAGAAACAAAAACAATTATTAATCGAACAAGAAAAAAACTTAATATAATCAAACGATTTAATAATGATTTAACTTTACAATATTTATAACAAGAATTTCAGGATTTCGCTTAAAAAATGGGAAACATTGAGTCAAAGTTTAACAGAAGAATATTACAACACTAAATCAAATGATAGCTACGATATTGGGAATGACTTTGATAAAGAAGATTATGAAAACTTTAATTTAATAGAGGAAACAATATTAGATGACATACCGCAAAAAAGTTCTTGTTGTAAATAATCTGACAAAAAGTGTCAAATTTGCTGTTTTTTTTATATTGGTTCGCTATAATTTGTATACCTACCAATGCATATCCAGAACTTTATTTGTCTTACAAACTATTATTAACTTTATCAGTAAGCCAAGTGTCATGTGAACGTTCTTTTTCTAAATTAAAACTTTTGAAGACATCAATTCGTAGTATTTAAAGTCAACAGAACTTCGAAACTCTCATGTTAACGAGTATAGAAAAAGACATTCTAATGGATCTCGATAATAATGATATAATCATAGGCGTGCGCACGGAGAGGCCACCCCCACCCTGCGGACTCTGGCTTTTTTTTTAATAAATGTATATTTATACTATACAAGATACTGAACATTTTTACATTTTACATGAATAAATTAAAGCCAATTTTAATCTCATAGTATAAAATTGATATCTGTGAATAAATGTAATAAAGTTATTAGTTATTAATCAAACTAATTAGAACTTGCATATAATATAAAAATTGAAGATGTAATTGATACAATCAACTACTCCCGTGGACAGGAGGATGGTATTGTAAATAGTATAATGATATGTAAATAAGGATTTCTTAGGTATAAACTGTGTAAGTTTAAATAGTATTTATTTTTATACTTGCATATTGAATTAAATAAATAATTTATAAAACTTAAAATATTTAATTAAACTAGTGGTCTTTAGTACAAAATTCTAGGGGGTGGCGAGAGGTGCTTACGCCCTGGGCACAATTCCTAGGAGAACGCAAAAATGAAAATCTTACATTTAATGTTAAGAACTACAACGGTCAATGTCGTATATTTTGTTTACAAAATCTTTAACAGCCTTCATATTATAATCAAAACTATTATCGAAAATAATATCTAACAAGCGTAATATTTTCAAATTGAAAATACGTAAGGGCGCATTTTGAAGTTTCGCTCCGGGCGCAATGTTTGATTGCTACGGCATTGTTATTATTCGTCATTTGCCCATCAGGCCCTATCCATACATTTCTCGGTAACATTAATTTTGCCTATCCGCACCTGATGCTGATAGTCTATTTTCAGTCATCATTGAACGAAGCCAGGTTTTTAGTCTCCGAAGTGTGGAGAAACTCCTTTCAACCGTCGTACCTCTATGGCTCTATCTACATACTTGTGCGTGTTGTATGATAGTACATATTATAATATGCATTTTTTTGTTAACAATATACATTTTTTTATAAATATGGTACGGGCTTGGGAGGGTCCCCTCTGAAGCCGTCCCTGAGTGTGTGTGTAAATCGCAAGTGTGTCTGTGTATATAAAAAACGATAGTAAAAAATGATAATTCCTTATTGATTCTGTGTGTGTGTGTGTGCTATCTCCTGACCATACCATAATTAATAACGCAGAGATCCAAGGTGTTGTCACTATCGTTCCGGTTGTCCATTTTTTATTTCAATTTCCCGTATAAAATTACTTTGTGAACTAGTTATGATTCAATAAGTAATCATAATATAATAATTTAACTTATCTACAAGTGTGATTTTGATATTCATAGGAACTAATTTATTATGTCATTGTTATTATCTAACTATGCAGAACGCGACACAATAATTATTCAATTATAACAATAAAAATCTAGTATTTACAATACGCTGTACAGTTAAATTTCGATGATTTGTCAGTTTCAAATGTATACCACTGTACTAAAGAGTAAACATCAGATTTCAATGAACAATGGTTGAAATATGTCCAACCATCACTAAATGGAATTGAAGGACACACATTTTTTCTATTTATTTTATTTTATTTCATTTTATCTTTTTTTTTTTTTTTGTTATAACATAATAAAACGATATGCACAGGAACGCGTAGGAATAAAACCGGTATTATACCTCCCGCAGTTGAGTTTAAACCCCTCGTATAAATATTTACGTAGCATATGGTGTGGGTACGCACATTTTGTTCGACAACATTTCAACGAGGCATAAAAACCAATAAATGCTTAAATCGGTTATCGGACGAGTGAGTTCGTGCGTGTGTATGAGAGTGAGAGAAAGAGTAAGCGATGAGCGGAGGGCACCCAAACGTTGCACCTGCCGATTATGCGAGCCGAACACCTGTTGGTCGCATTCAAGTCACCACGGTTCGTAACACATATGGTATATAGTACTGGAGTCGTTGTTGACACCACTTGTTACTGCGGCGGACGATGGGGACGAGCGGACAACCGGCGGCGCGGCGGTCTCCGTCGGGTGAATGTTCTTATAGTCGGTGTACCTATTCGCCGAAAACCGATCAGTGGGGCCAACCGGGTGCATACGGACGGCCGACGTACATTCGTAGAAAAAAAGATCGGTCGCGCCGATCCCTCTTGAAACCGCAGGACGACGGGTCGGGGGGTGACGGCGATCAGTGGAGGGGAGGCGAGGAATTCGAACGTTACCGATTCCCGCGGGCGCACGGTGCGGTTACGGACGCAACGCGACGCACCGTTCGGCGCCCCGCTGCGAATCAGTGTGGCGAAAACGAAAAAATTGTCGTATTCCGCGTGGTGCGCACAGGTTATCGATGCTCCGACGGACATGCCCGTTTGTTTACCCGGGTGATTTGATAACGAACGAGCGCGCAGCATCGTACGCGGGGCGCGTGACAGTTTCTCGTGTGCGTTCCGTTCAAATTTTCGGCGTCGTCCGACCATCGCGATTCTGCTGCCGGCCGCCGTCGCCGTCCGCCGCCACCGTCGTCGCCGCCGTCTCACATACCCGACCGATCGCTCCGGCGTGCCTTTTCGTGTTCATTCTTCTCCGGCCCTTACCGCGTCTATCTCTGTCCCGTTTCAATCCCCCCCCCTACCTTACCCCGATTTTTTTTCGTTTCCCTACCGGTCTTTTGTGTTTTTTTCGCGTGATTTTTTCGTTTGTCGTTATCGCGCTCGCGCACGCATTTGCTCGTCCGACGTGTTATCGTCCGGTACAGTCCGACATTTGATTCAACGACCGTTCGCCGCTACCATGATATACTAACGCCACTGCTGCCACCGCCGCCGCCACCACGATCGAACCGTTGTCCCATCGTACCCCCCGTCGTGAGGTTGGCGCGTCGTCGTTACTGGTCAAACCGTCGCCTGCGTACAGCAAACGTTAATTCCACCAAATCCGTTTTACGTGAAATGTTCTAAGATGTTGCTACTATGGAGTTTCATTGCATTATGGTCGACTTTGTCGATCATTCAAGGTAAGAACTACACACTTGTTGCTTGTGATTTTCTCTATAAACATTATTTTCTTTTAAGCTGTGTTATAATTAAAATCTATCTATTAAATTCGATCTGCTAAACTTTCATGTCGTATTACTATTGTTTTGTATGACAACTTTAGCTACGTTGAGTTCTTATGGCTGGTATGGTTGAAGCTCGTTGTATTAGTTTTAATTGCTTACAACAGTGTTGTAAATTGTTTACCATAAATTACATTTATAATTTATTATTATTTTACCAATAATGTTCTCTGTTTATACTTGTTTTTTAATCTGTTTTAATATATATGTATGTATACTATATGTATACTATAACACACACACATATATATGCGTGTGTTATGAGCAATATGGAATACTTGGTTATATACACATTGCTTGTACACATTTTTTAATAATATGTATGTTACCTTATTGTAATCAACACATCGTTGCATAGCAATATTTCTAAACTTACTCATTTCTCTATGTCTTTTTAAATTTACCTTATTCCACTTTAAAAAAATAGTTATAAGATATTTTGTGTAGATATTAACACAGACCTTGTTAAATAAATAAAATTGTCATCTAAAGTAATTTATTTGTTTTTAAAGTGAAGAAAAACTGACTACGGTTATAACTTTAATTTAGGTTGTGTTTTATACTAAGAATTCCCATGAACTTGAATCATGAACGATGTTTTCAAACATCACATACTGCGTATACGTTCACCATACATATTGTATTTGATGTATTTGACTTTTGTGTTGTTCATGAATGAAATCAGTTGCATGAACATAGTTGGATTTTTGTATACATTCAGAATGGTTGTAGGTAGTTAACCTTCTAACAGGCGCGCCATTTTCAAATTATCAATCTAACAAGAGTAGTCACGCATTGTACATTTTACAACAGTCCTTATATGTACTGTTAATCGTACACATATCAAATATTGATTAATTTATTGTTTTATACATTTTAATTTACTAATACATATTAATACTGACAATTATAAAATAAATAATATGTTTACGAAATTGTTTTTATTTAAATTATTATAATTGTTTTTCGGGTCGTTTATTAGAAAATCAATACGTCGTATTACAAAAAAACAAAATTAAATTAATTTTTAAAATCGGTTTTCAGTAAGAAAGCGATAAATTATCCAGATCATATAATATTTTTTTTAATATACTTTACATATTGAAGCGATTTTATCTCATGCATCTTTTTTTTTATTATTTAATCTATAAAACTTATCCCTAGAATACCTCAAAATGGGATATTTTTCGTATTCATTCATTAATTTTGATATTTGGTTATCAGTAAGGCTAGTATCTGACATGCAATTTTCAATTGCGCAACAGTTTAATCGCATGGGTGACTTCCACAGTGATAAATGATAGTCAGTTCACATGCAACTAATCAGTTTGACCAACTAATAAGTTTGTGTTTTGTCCCAAATCGTTCGATTACGCGATTACATCCTATGTATAATGTGACATGATAATACAGTTACATTTGTGAGTGCGGTATGATGAAACTGTTGTGCAACTATCATACAACTGAAAATTGCATGTCAGCGACTAGCCTAATGTATGTTATTTCAAAAATCTAACATTATATAAACGTTCACGTAAACTGACTAATGATAATTTTATTTTTAGTGCATTCTGTTCAAACTGTAAATATACATAAAATTTATGAAAAACCATATCCAATAGTCGTCATATTTTTTTTTTTTTTATGTCCTGCCAATTTGATATACATGAAATACACACATAGCGCTGTAGGTGATTTGTGCTGTGTGTCGTGTATACATAATATGTGAAAGCATCTTTACATTTATTATGTTGCCAAACACACAATTTCTGAGTCTGTTTAATAGCTAATTTTAATGTATTTAAAGAAGTTTTTAAATAATCAAAGGTTCACAGCAACAGGTTTAACCCTTACTTTAATTTACAGGTTTAATTACTCTTATATCTACTTGCTAAAAATTATCATATTTTATTATATGGTTGGCATGAATTATAGATTAAGCAATCTAGACAGTAGTATTGTTGATTTATTGAATATATTCATAATAATTAAAATGAAAATATTATATTTAGCATTACATTTTACATCTTTGATATTATTTTTGTTTTAGCTACTCCAAATCTAATATACATAACATCAAAAGATATTCGTGTGGCCAATATGTCAAAATCAATGAGAATTAATGTTATTGTCAAAGTAAGATTATATATATATATATATATGTATTTATATAAGTTAAGTCATAATTATTGTGATATGAATAATTTTTCAACATGTGTTTATAATTTCAGGATTTAGTTGAAGGGAGTGTACTTGATTTTTATTACAAAGGATCTTTGATATGCTGGGCTGATCATTCACAAGAATCTATTCAATGTACTTCTTACAATGGTACTCATGCTAGTAACAAAGTATGTCTAATTTAGTTACTTATAATTATTATATTTATTAAATTGTATTTATTTACTAAAAGTGGATTTAATAAATTTTAGTTACGTTTTAGTATTTTTAAATTAAATAATAATATAACTATAAGAATATTTAATCAATAATAGGTAACATTTACTAATTTTACTCATTTTTAAATAGGTTGCTATTTTGAATACTGGTATTATAACACCTGATGGTTTGGCTTGTGACTGGCTTACTAAAAAGATTTATTGGTCTGATGGAGATACAAATAGAATTGAAGTAGCATCATTAGATGGTAAATATAGAAAAGTACTTTACTGGGAAGATATTGATCAACCTCGAGCTATTGCTTTAAGTCCTATGGATGGGTATGTTAAAGAAATAATGTTAGGTATATAATTTTAATAAATATTTTTTTATTTATTTCAGGTTAATGTTTTGGACGGACTGGGGTGAAGTTCCAAAAATTGAGCGTGCTGGAATGAATGGAGATTTAACTACTCGGAGAATTATAGTTAGCGATAAAATATTTTGGCCTAATGGTTTGACTATTGATTATGTTAATAGACACATCTATTGGGTAGATGGAAAACTTGGATTTATTGATGTGAGTGAATATCAATATTTATATAACTCATATATTTCGTTTTTAATATTGAATTAATATTTATAATCATCTTTAATTTAGGTTATGGACTTTGATGGAAGAAATAGGAAGACTATTCTTGAAAAAGGAATTCCATATCCATTTGGAATTGCTCTATTTCAAGAAAAACTGTATTGGACAGATTGGAAAACATGGTTTGCTTAGAATTATTATTAATTTAATAGGTTTTAAGTTTTAAAAATAAAAAAAATTAAATAAATTCATGTAATATAAAGATTCAAATTTTTTTATAATTATTTTAATTTCTTGAATAGGTCGATTCATGTAGTTGACCGCAGAGGAGGTGGAAATGGTCATGAACTTATTCATAGTAATAATGTTCCAATGGATATTCGTGTGTGGAATCCTTCTCGACAACCTGACAAGCCTACTCCATGTGACAAAAATAATGGAGGTTGCTCAGATTTATGTCTTCTTTCTCCAAATAATCCTGGATATTCTTGTGCATGTTCAACAGGAATCAAGCTTATAGATCATCATAATTGTGCAGAAGGTTAGTTAACTAATAACATTAATTATAAAAATACTATTTGGAAGTATACATCATTTAAAATTAAATTTTAATTATAGATTATCAAGAAGTTTTATTCCTTGTACAAAAGACTGATATATGTCAAATATCATTAGATTCTCCAGATCATTCTTTAATGGGTATACCCCTAACTGGCTTAGCTCATGCTATTGCTATAGATTATGACCCTGTTGAGGGATACATTTATTGGACTGATGATGAAGTAAGTAATTGAGTTAAATTAATTTAATAAATTATAATATTACCAATACTTACTATTTTTTTATATAATACATTATATTAAATTTAGATAAAAATGATTCAACGATCAAAAATGAATGGTAGCAAGCAAGGAGTAGTGATTTCCAATGAAATATTTCATCCTGATGGAGTTGCTATTGATTGGGCTGCTCGAAACCTATATTGGACAGATACAGGAACAGATAGAATTGAAGTTGCTAGATTAAATGGAAAACACCGAAAAGTAATTTATTTTTAATTTTTGTATGATAAATTATCTTATTAACAAAATTGTATTATATAATTTAGGTTATAATTGTCAATGATTTGGTTGAACCTCGTGGTATTGCAGTCTCACCTGAATTAGGTTGGCTATTTTGGTCAGACTGGTATGATAAAAGACCCAAAATTGAACGGTCAAATTTAGATGGAAGTAATAGAATAGTCTTACTCAAAGAAGACTTGGGATGGCCCAATGGAATATCTTTGGATGTTAAATCAAGGAATCTATATTTTTGTGATGCTAAGACTGATAGAATAGAAGTAAGTTACAAAAATAATTTAAATTAAATTATATCTTTAATTCAAACATTTAATATTTATTGATATTCATAAAAAAACCTTGAGACCTTTAATATTATATAAAGATGTAAACTCATTTATTTAATATATTACATAAAATATTAAATCTAATAAATTGTTTAGGTAATTAATATGAATGGTGAAGATCGTCGAGAGTTAGTCAGTGAAAACCTGCCTCATGTTTTTGGTTTGACTCAATTGGGTGAGCATCTCTATTGGACAGATTGGCAGCGTCGCACAATTGATAGAGTAAATAAACACACTGGTGCTGAACGTAAAGTTATAATTGATCAACTTCCAAATTTAATGGGAGTAAAGGCTGTGAGTTTAAAAGAGCCTTTAAAGGGCAATGCATGCAGTGATAATAATGGAAACTGCAGTCAAATTTGTTTTTATAACCCTAATGGACACTATAGCTGTGCTTGTGAAATAAGTAATTAATTATTATTAATTATAATTGTCTATTTCAAATATCTCAGGAAAAATTTTAAAACTAAAATCACAAACAAATAACAAACTTTTTTTGATTTATTTAACAACTTTATTTTATTGTGATATGATAAAATTAGTTTTAGGATTTTTACCTTAAAAACCTTTATTATTTGTTATTATTATTATTATATATATATATATATAACATATTATGAGTGTGTGTGTCTTAATAATATATACTATATTGATTTTATTTGATTAGATTATGAATTGGCAGTTGATGGAAAAACATGTATTTGGTCCGATACATTTTTAGTGTATTCTCGTTATGAACATATTGGAATACTAAGTATTGAAAATACCTATTATTCTGATGTTATTCCTGTAACTGGAGTGAAAGAAGCCAGGTTAATATTATTTTATAATTTATACGTAAAATTTGTTTTTTTTTAGTTTATTGTCTTTAATTGTTTAAAAACTTAAGTAAATACCCTAAATTATTATATTTTTTAACCAATTAATTTTTATTATTTGAGTATTATGTTATTTAATTTGAAATAATTAGATTTCTTAAAATTTAACATTTATGTAAAATAATATTTCATACATCTTTAATGAAATATAACCAACTAAATAATACATATAATTTCAAATTTGTTTAATCATATACTAATATGAAAAAATATATTTATTAAAATTAGTCATTGCATTTGATTTATAATGATATATTAAAAGTTCAAAACTTATACTTATATTATACCTCTTAACTAAGATATAAGTGCATTCATATGCATAATTCAGAAATTATAAAATAATATTTTTTTATGTACTTTCAGTGCTGTTGATGTGGACATTAAAAATAAAAGAGTGTATTGGGTGGATTTCAAATCAAAAACAATCAATAGAGTTTTTTTAAATGGGTCAATGCCAGAAAGAATAATTACATTTGGCCTTCAATCTCCAGAAGGTAAATTAAAAATTTCATACTATATTTGTTGTATAGTATATTGACTAATTTTAATTTCGTATTTACTCTTTCTCATTACTCATATCTTAAATAATAATGTTGTTAAATAATATAAAAATGTATATTTTATCGTCATATTTTTATTATTTATGTTGTTGGTAATTATATTAATATTAATTTTAAAAATTGCATTTTCTTTTACTAGGAATAGCTGTTGATTGGATTGGTGGCAACTTATATTGGTGTGATTCTGGAACTAAACGAATTGAAGTATCCAGATTAGATGGAACTATGCGTAAAGTTTTACTATGGAATGATATAAAATATCCAAAAAATTTATTACTAGATCCTAAAAGAGGGTATAAGGATAATTATTTTTAATTATTTCACAATTTTAATATTACTTTTATAAATTAGATTTATGTACTGGAGTGAATATGATGGTATAACTGGTTCTATTCATAAATCTTCAATGAATGGTGAGGGGAAACATTGTTTGGTAAATAAGATTGGTAGAGTCATTAGTTTAACTTCAGATTATGATAATAATTTGATTTATTGGACTACATTGACACCAAACAGTGGATCAATTGAAAGTATTGACTTAAATGGAAGACATCAAAATAAAATTTCATCTGTTGCTTTTAGCTTTGGTTACCCTTCAGCAATAACTTACTTGAAGGTATAAATTAATTACTTTAAATGACAGGTTTATTTTAATTATTGATATTAATTTTTATATTTTAGGGTCATTTGTATTGGTTGGATTGGTCTAATGGAAGTTATTTCCAAGTCGATGCTTCTAATGGTACAGTGCTGAAGCAAAGTAAAATCAATTTAGATCATGTTACAGATTTGACTTCTTATGATCAACGTAGTCAAACTGGAACAAATCCGTGTGCTTTAAATAATGGAGGATGTCAACAATTATGTCTTGTTAAGGGGACATACAATGATTATGAATCCATGTCATATCACTGTTCATGTGAAACACATTTCACATTGTTTAAAAATAATACTTGCTCAGGTGAATAATATTTTGTTGTTTATAAATACATTTCGCTGTATATTGTTATAAATACAACTTCTTTTTAACCAAATTAATTATTAAAATTGCTCATTATAATAGTTTTATTTATAAACTATGAAATTAATTAAAAACATTTTATGAATTAAGTTTGAGTACATGAGTATCATAATATGTTTGATTAAAACTATGCATTATCTTCTCATAATTTATTTATTTAAATTCTTCATTATTTAATTATTTTTATTTATTGTTTTCTGTTTAATTACAAATTTGTATCTTTGAGAATATCTATAGTAAAATTATTTTTAATAATTTAAAGGCAAAAAACTTTTATGTATTATTCTTGTTTTATATTTATTCTTAAAATTAAGACCAACTAAAATTGTTTATGAATATTTAAATTATTAAAATATGTTTTATTCATGTAATTTTTCTTATTTGTTATTTAGCTCCAAATAGTTTTTTGATTGTGGCTCAGAAAACAACATTTTATAGAGTAGTAATGGACATTGATGATTCTTCTGATTCATCACTACCGGTTATTGGATTGAAACATGTTAAAGCTGTTGAATATGACCCAATATCACACATGATTTATTGGGTAATTTAATTTAATATATTTATTTTCAAACAATTTTTAATAAATTAATTATAATTTTAGATTGATGGTAGAACACAAATGATAAAGCGCTGTCATGAAAATGGTTCAAACGCAAGTATATTTGTTGGAAATAATGGCAACACGTTTAGTTTATATGATCTTGCTTTGGATCCATTTAACCGATTGTTGTTCTGGACATGTTCCTCAACAGATGCTATAAACATTACTCGTTTAACAAACAGTAGCTTTCAAGGATCCATATTTAAAAGTTTTGATGGTGAAAAACCAAGGAACTTGGCATTACATCCTGAAAAAGGGTATTATAAATTAATAATTATAGTTTGTTTATTTCTTTGATACTCAACGAGTTTGAAATTTCTAGTTACATTTATTGGACTGATTTGGGAAGCCAACATCGAGTAATTAGATCTCGTATTGATGGTCATAATAGAGTCATCATTGCTTCTGATTTGTTATCTCTTGAAGCACTTACTGTGGATAGACTACAGGATATGGTTTACTTTTCATATTCGAGTAAAGTAGATGTTTGTGATATTCATGGTTATCAAAGGTAAACAAACTATTTATACTTTGATTTATAATTTTTTTTTTTATTTCAAGTGTATATTATAAACTATTATTCTTACATAAATAAAATTTGTAAAGATAAATATTTATCATTCATATTAGTTATTAAAATATTGTTTTATTTATTAGGTTCTATATAAGTAACCATAAATTTAATATTTGTTTTATAAATATTTTGACATTTTTTTTCGTTTTAAGTAGCAATTATTTAAATTGACTAAAAAAAAATAATTTTAAAGTAATCAGTTTTATTTTTAAATAAATTGAAAGTTGTTGCCCAGGTGGGATTTCAAACAAATAATTTATAATTAATTTAAAATTTAGATAAATAATATTAAAATACCAATTTAAACAATACAGTTAATATTCACTTAGAATAATTAAATATTTCTACATTAAAAGATATGTATGTTATTTCGTATTTCTTTAAAATCCCTTACAAATAAATTTAAAAATAGATTACCATAGTTGCATTGAAAAAAATTAATAAAATATTTTATAAAAACATCACTTCAAATCAAATCTAATCGATATAATTTTTGAATAAAAACTTCTTTTTTTTTTTTTTAAATATAGTTTAAGTCTTTAACTGGTTTCAAATTTAGTTATAATATGAAAAAAATTATTTTAAAATTTAGTATGTTTTTTTAAAATTAATTTTGTGTTTGTAGAAGAACATTGATTTCGTTTGACGGTGCTCAAATTTCAAATATTGCTGTTCTTGGACCATTCTTGTATTGGATTGATAAAGAAAAACAAGCAATTGAAAGAGTCAATAAAACAACTGGTATTGTAGTTGAAGGAAGCAGTGTAATGAATCAAACACCGCATTTAACTGACATCATAGCAGTATATATTCCTACTCCTGAGGTAAAGCATTTTAGAACATTACTATTTTTAAATTTATGTATACATTCAAAAAATAATAAACATCTTGTTTAAAATGTTTGTAAATATTGTACAAGCTAATTAAATTATATATCTATTATGTTTGAATCTTTATTGGATACTTAAATACTAATTTGGATAATAAACTTTGTTTTTATTTTAGACTATAGCATCGCATCCATGTAGTGCAATGAACAAACATGGATTATGTTCTCATTTGTGTGTTGTCACTACAGTCAATGAGAGCATTTCTAACAGTCATGAATGCTCTTGCCCTTTAGGATTAATAATGAGTGATCGTCAATGTGTGGATGTACCTGTGTGTGGTCCAGAACAATTTATTTGCAATTCATTAAATGGAGAATGTATGCCATCCTTTTGGCGTTGTGATGGTCAAACCGATTGCGTTGATGGTTCGGACGAAGTTAATTGTGTGGAATGTAGCAGACATCAATTCAAATGTCTAGATGGTCATTGTATAGGTGTGTATATGCTGTACACTGATATTTTCACTAGAAAATCATTATCTAAAATAGCACATACTATTCCATTACTAGCACTGCCCAAAAAAGCACACTAATAATAAAATATAAGATACAGAATATCACTAATACAATTAAATTATAATTTTTTTTTTTTTACATTGATTTAATAATATTAGCTTAAAATCAATAAGAGTAAATAATAATATTATTACAATTATAAAGTATTATAATCTAGAATGATTTCACATATTGGTTGATCATGGTTCTCTTTTTGACTATTATTTTGGTGGACTTGGCCTTTATAGTAAAGGTATTTTTTGTCCTTTTTTTGTTAAATCAATTTGTGCTCTTAGCATATTTTTTGAAAAATGTGCTCCTTTGGGTGATAACCATATATATGCATTAGAAATAAATTTATGGTTATTAAAAAATAATATTACACATGACAATTTAATGTTTAATTTTTTTTTTTCAGATAAAAACTGGGTGTGTGATGGTACAAAACAGTGTGCTGATGGATCGGACGAATCTCGGTGTTGCGAATCTGGATTATTATCCAACGATAGATTTCAATGCATTTCTAATGGTGTATGTATACCTGTAAAGCAAGTGTGTGATGGCAAGAAACACTGTATAGACGGGTCGGACGAAACTTATTTAGCATGTTCATTGATTAGAAATGTAGGGCTTAATGTAGTCTCCTCAAGCGGTGATAAATCATTCAAAGGAACATTATTTTTTACAATAATATTCTTTGTAACAATATTCAGTCTGCTGTTAACGATTGTTTATCGTTGTTCAAAAAGGTATGTCACAAGATTTCTGTCAAACTGCTTACATGGCCGTAATAATAATTTGCATGTACGATTTATTAACAGTGATCCGGACAGTACAAGTCTGACGAGTAATAACGCTGTAACTTATACAGCTATATCAATGCCCCGACAATATTCTTCAGCAACTGCTTATACTGCCATGCCAAATGGAACACATATTGATTTGATCTCCCCTTCAAACTGTAGCCCGCTGAACCCACCGCCTAGTCCTACAACCACCATAATGATGCAAACAAATGATTACATTCGAACCAACCAGTATCTACGTTATGATGAAAGATACGAACCTCCTTGCCCTACATTATGTTCGCAAACTGATATGCCCACTGATATTTATGACGATTCCGATTTTGCTTTACCCATCGAACCATGCCCTCCACCACCTACCCCTCGTTCCCATTCACCATCATCAAGCACATACTTTAGCCCTAGTGCTCCCCCGCCATCTCCTAATAGTTGTCTGAGGCATTGTTAATTTTTTTTGCAATGCATATACCGTATATTTGCCTTTTTTTATCGATGAATTCATATTTTTTTATGACAATGTTATAGATTTACTATCATACTTGTATACATTGTTGTGTTTTTCATTGTTCGTAATAATTTATGTAGTATGAATTTGTTTAATATCATTAAGATAATGTAATGCTATCCTACTTAAGTTAAGTTTTGTTGATAAGTGTTTTTAAACAATTTGTTCTATTTGAATTTGTACATACTTAATATTACGTGACCTGAGCAATGCCATAACAAATATTGATAATTATTTTAGAATTGTTAAAGACTTATGACATGTACAAGTACATGATTGATACTCAAATTAGAACAAACATTATTATACTATTTATTTTATATCAAACCTATTAATTATATTTTTGTATGTTTTTCTAAATGAGTAACAAATAGTGTCTCATTAAAATAAATGTATTTTTAGTAAAAACAATATTTTTATTATTTCACTAAGAAAATTACAGAGAAAATGTTTAAAAAAAAAATACAATTTTTTGGAAGTACTAAGTGTTAAACAAAATATTTATTTATAACAGAAACTATTCAAGTACAGTTAATGACTTCTATGTTCTGAAAGCTCTGCCAGCTGAAAAACATAAATTATAATTTATTATAAAACCTAATAACAATGAAATACTGTAAATTTTGTATCATTAATAATTAATGAATAAAATAATTGTGATCTCTATTCAATTTATAATTCAATACGTGTTAAAATCACTTTGTGATTCATTAGTTAAAAGTTACTTCCTTATTACAGATCTGTACTTTTATTTATATATTTATTATTTTCATTTCACAGTACTATGTACAATTTTAGTATGTATACCAAAAATCATGCTGGAAATAATTAGCATTTAATTGAAAAATGTTATGCAGACTTTAGAACACACAATATTTTAAAGATTTGATAACTTTTTATCATAATGAAAATTACTTTATTTTGATTTTATATTATTTTGAAATTTTTATTAAAATAAATTATTTTTTTTTTTTTATCCTGAAACCATAGAAAATGTATTATAATTTCTGTGAATACTAATAAAATACTAATTTTAAGTTATATATTTTTATTTTTTTTTTTTTGCTTTACCTTGAGTACTTAAACTGGTAATGAAAAATAGTAGTCATATTTTTGACAGAATTTATTACATCATAGACATAAGGGTTGTCGAGGTACGTACTTAACTACACTGTAAACCTTCCCTCCCTCACCAAAATATTCAATTTTATCACAATAAAAAAATAACCACATTATGTTAAACCAATTTAAAACATCCATAAACATTAAATACACATGTAAGAATATTGGAAAAATATAATTATTAAGTTAAATTAAAATACCCAATCCAAATTTGTTGTTAATATTAAATGTTAATGTGTTATCTATGACTATCCTATCAGTAATATTTGCGTATCCTTATGATCAAAGATCTTATAAAATTAATTACGCGATCACTATATACAAGTTAGGTGAAAGTTTCCCATTACTGATCTAACTCGTATAGCTATTTTTGAACTACGCATGTGCAATAATGGAAAATATTCCCCTAGCATCGTGTAGCTAGTATTTTAAGATCCATATTGAATATGTAATAGATATTTTTATTTCCATCTGTCAACACAGTTCTAAGCATATAAAAATGGGTAAAAAAATGTACGTGAATAGGTAAGTCACGAATTTATAAAATGTCGATATACTAGTCGACTACGTTACAGGGAGATTTCATATCAATAGAAATAAAACTCAATTGGTTATAAATATGCTGACTATTACCTCACGTTCTTCATCAATATCTTCGTCGTCTGATCCGTGTAATGAAGCGCCAGGTGTAGTAGGTCGGCTACTTGATGGTGATGGTGGTTCAGAATAAGGACGAGGATAGTTATACCGACGTCTTGATGCTTCTGTGATGCATAAAGTTTCCGTTTCTTCATCAAACATATCCGGGAATACTTGACATAGTGCTTTTAACCTTGCTTGACGGTAGTACTAAGAATATATAAGTTTAATAGAAAACAAATGTCAATATAATTATATTGATTTTATTTATTACAAGTAGGAAATTTCGAGTGCCTTTAATTGGTATAAATTTTTTTTTTCAAGTTAATTGTCGTTAGAAAACGGCCGAAAACAGTTAATGATCGTTGGTAAGTAATTTCTAAAATCATGTTAACTGATTGAAAAAAAAATACCTAGATACATTTTACGAGTATATATAGTACGAGTACTACACATAGTATATCGTAAAACCATTACAGAATCTAATATTCATCGATAAGTTGTATGTTGAACGCCCATTTAAACGAAACCAATGAACCTTTGTAAAATTTAGATCCATTGCAATATGTTTTAAATTGATCATCACTGTGAAAATATTATATTCTACTAAAGATTCTTAACAAAAATAATTTCGACTTTGTTTTATTAATACATTTTAACATTATCGTTGAAGTTTGTTTAAAATTTAAATTACGTGGAACATTAATTTGGAACCACGGGCTTAAGGCATTCTATTACTATATAGTTTGAGTACTATATTTAAAATCTAAAGTTTAGACAAAAGCAGTCTTAAACACAGTACGCTCCGACAGATAAGATAACTTTTAAATAATTAGCTATACTTAATATGAGAATATCATTAATGTTATAACACATTCAAAAATAATTTACATAAATTATATACGATATACGTTTGTGAGAACTTAAGTATTTAATAATAATTGTGATTGCAGCATTATTTCAAGAGCTGAATTGTATGAAATTTACTTATGAAAATTTATAATATACTTACAATACCTAAATTACGCCAATCAAGTAAGTCGCTTAGTCGTTCGTTACGATTTCGTTGAATTACTCTTTGCCTACGGCTCATTCTCGCAAAATCGTACATGTATTGAGCGAGCTGTCTAACAGAATCTTCTACACTAATATTTTGACGGTCTACAATGTAAATACCGTAGCTCAAAGGATCAGCGATTTGTTGCGCCATAAAACAACCAAAACCTAAAAATAAGCAAACACAATTTGAATTCTATCTTGGTACTTTCATATTAATATAACATTGGTAGGTACCTGACAAGTTTGTAGTTACTGATGGAATTCCCATGACGGTGCATTCAGCGGGAGTGTATCCCCAAGGTTCGTAATAACTGGGGAAAACTCCTAAGTGACAACCACGTACGAACTCCTCGTAGTCTAATCCAAATAATGGGTTGGTCGATGACAAGAATTCCGGATGAAACACTATCTAAAAAATCATGCATAAAAATTAAAAATTGTTTTAGCCACATCAGAAACCCCTCATATGGAGTAATGAAAAGCACTATTAATATAATTGTTTTTCTTAAGTCTCACTTTCACTTTGTCAGAAGTGGTATTGAACAATTTACATCTTCTTATCGTGTTCAATACTGGATCACTCCAATCGTTTATGACATTATGTGTGGTTACTGGAGGGAGATCGTTTCTTTGTAAGGCATACACACAACGTTTTAATCTAACAGTATCTTCTTTGGTCAACAATTCCTCTTCGACTGGCATTCGACCCCTACGCAAATAAAGTTAAATCAAAGTGTTTATTTACAACAATTAAATACAGTACAGTCATTTTATTAAACAACCTTAAGCATATCTCGTAGATCCTTCGGCCAATTTTTGTTTGAATTTCTAGTATGGTGTCTCGTAAACTTTTCGTAACGGCATGACCGTGCAGACTTTCCACGTTAAAATTATCAGTACGTGCAGGAAATATAAGAAATGCTACAACTGTCATATCTGAATTTGCGCTCTAAAATTTAAAAATAATAAATTTAACTTTGAGTACGTACTATAGTACATACTCTGTTATTCGTTTATCTATAAATTGTAAACTAACTTTTAAATAGTGATTTAAACGTGCTAATGCTTCGATAAATATATCTGCTCCTTTATTAGAAAATTCGTATCTTCCAGCCGTAAAGAAGTATAACGTCTTCTCAAGATCAAAATTGTAATGCCTGCAATTGAAATTTGGTTTGTATAGCTTACAACACAAAACATTTAATAATAAGCACAATAACGGTTATCTATAAAAGCTTATACATTGTGTAGTAAATTTGATTTAATTGTTACTATGCAGATGATGATAAAACTGTATGATCTAAATTATTTAATTTTCACGGCTATAATTTAATTTTGAGATAATTGATAATAATAATAATTAATAATATTGATAATTATTAAAATTAATTTTAGATAGCAGAAGATGATTGAAGTTCGATTACAACATTGAATAAATCCGTATTGGTGTTAGAAGTTTTAATGTTATAAATACACTAAATAATATAGCTCTATAGCTTTTAAAATAAAAGTTATAATTATAAGTAATTACTACTACTTGAACTCTATACATTTTAATATTTTATTATTTCAATTATTAAAAAAAAAAAATACTTTATATTATATTTAATACATTACAGCTAATTAATATTTGATGAACATATATAGACAATCACCCAAATTGAATAAATATCGTGCACAATTTATATACTATACTCGGCCTATCATAGGCGTGCGCACGGGTGTGGCTTATAAGACTATAGCTACACCTGAGACTTTTTTTTAGGTAGGTACTAGGTACTTAGGTAAAAAGGGCTAATAATTTTTTTTTGGAAAATCAAAAGTTTTTTTTATCAATTTTATCAAATTACAAACAAATAAAAATTGCCGGGACTGGCGTTCATTGATAAGCAGATTATACCTATATCAGTTTTTCTAATAAATTTTATTTCTACTTACTTATGTTTTGTATATCTATTTATTTTTTTTTTAAGGCGGGGTTTTAAGGAGGTAGGTGATAAAAAAAAAAAAGCCACACCGGAAACAGAAATCTGCACACGCCTATGCGGTCTATTAAAAAATATAAAATATAAAAAATATCAAGCATTTTATAAACTGCTCAAGGTACAAAAATAGTAAGTACTTGGGTAATCTACACTGCTCGTTATATTAACATTAACTAAAGTTTGAAATTAAACATATGATACCTCTACGGTATGGGCTTTACTTACTGATTACAATTTTTCAGCCCTAATAGATCAAATAGTTGGTCAATTCAAATAAATTTTTCGAATTAATATTTATAAAGCATGAATTGTCTACGTTAAAAAAATAATAATATATGATTTTAAATACCCATGGAAATGTCCGCGAACGAAATCGTGTATTTTCTCTTTCGACATCGAGTGAAGATTTTGAAATTCATGTAATGCTGAGAATTTGACTACGTTTAATCCGTTGGGGGTTATAATATCTGGTTTACGAGAAAGTAAATATTCAGATTCTTTTCCAGTAATATCAGATACTGTTGTAAAAACGTGAGCAACATGAGCTGCAGCTCGTTCCATACAATAACGGTGATATATTTGTCTTTTACCAGCTTCTTCATCGAGATTGAACTGCAAATAAAACAAAAACGAATGACACCATTAAAATATATAACATATTTTAAGTTAAAAGTTTAAAACATTCAAATTATTTGTACTTGGGGTATAAACTATAATTTAAAAATAATAATGTTAAATATTATTTAATTACAATTCTAATACATCATAAATAAAATTAATTTAAATATGATAACGAATTTATTTTAGAATATAAATCAAATTAAATAAGAAAAATACATTAACACATACAAATTTGTTCAAAACAATAAAAATATTATAAATAAATAAGTAAATAATAATAAATAAGTAATAATAATTAATAATAATATTAAATAATAAATAATTAAGAATAAATAAATAAATCATATAGGTACCTTTTCTAAATTATTATAGAAGTCGGTGTTTCCAGCACAAAGATATCGGCCTAATAATGTTGCATGAGTTGTAAAAACCGTAGCAATAGGTTCTTTTCTTGTACGTAATGCTATTAATCCTACACCAGCCTGCCATTCGTGGAAATGAGCAACAATTAGTGGAGCTGAATCTACATATACTGCTGCTGCTGCACGAAACTGAAAATGTATTTTAGTAAAATGCATTTTAATATTTTTAGATGTGTACTACTTTAAAGCTTAGAATCACATATTTATCTATTTTAAATATTAATAAATAGGTACCTAATACCAATGTGTTTATAGAGTATTAAGTAACATAACAAAATTATTTTATTTAATCCTAGATAATCAGTTACTGACGTTAATTTTTCTTTTAAAATATTCTTATAAGAAATATAATATCTGAATAATTTTTAACTATTATATGTTTTTCGCCTATTAATAAGATATTTATGTAAATAAATTGAATATTTGCTATAAACGGTATAAGCATAATATTAGTTGTTTAAACGCATATTAGATAGCATAATTAATTCTTATTACTTATTATTAGGGCCCATATTTATATAAAAATAAATATTTTTAATATTATAAATACATAAAATATCAATGTGTACTCGTATAATACGAGTATGTGGGATAAATGAAGATGATGAACTTTCAGTTAAAGATTCACAAATATGCATAAATATACACTGATTGTATTATAATACGTTGAAAAAAGTTTTTCAAAATACATACAAAAGTATGCTTCGAGATAATCATAAGAGTTTTCAATTTTATAACTTACCTTATGCTGGTATTCGTCACATAATAATTATATATAAATAATAATAAAATACTTCTATAAAAAAAAATGAATTAAAACTAATTTCTGAATCTGATTTTTTTAAATTAACTTCAATATATTTATTTTGATTGTCTGATATTATAACTATTAATCGTATAATAAATTAGTTCATGATACATTTTTTTTCAAATTTATGAAATAAATTTGTATATTTCATAGATTTTTTTGCATATGTATTCGAGCCTTACTTATGATTGGTATCGTACTATTGTTAATACTAATTTACATACACTACATTCTAAAACATATTTTTTATATAGAAATAATTTTAAGATTTATTTTTAAGTTTAAGTATTATGGTTACGTATATACATATATATATATATTAGTTACGTATATGAGCGTATGTAAAGTTTTTTATTATGCTTTTAAGATATAAAATAAAATGTCCTAAAGGAAAGTAGAATAACTATTTTGAGTAACACTATTTCATTAAAATATATAAACAAAAGTGCTAATAAATGTATTTTATACACACAGTTTAAAATTATAATATAATTAGATTATAGTTACTCACTAAGAAATGTAAAAAGAAGCAATGTAAATACTATCACATGGTGGATCAAAATATTACTGGTTCTTAAAAATATACTTTTAAATCTCTATGAATAATCATATGACATTTTGTATTAAAATATCACAATATCCACTAACTTAGAGTTTAAACTATTTTATCTAAAAGCAACATACATATGCCAAGAAAACATTTACTTACTTCTGACAGAAATTCAGATATTAAATATCCTAAAATGACAGCATCATTTGCTTCTATGTCTAAATGTGGAATACCAATGTTGCACGTATCCCAAAGAGTCTGCTTATATCCATCTAATTTCCATGCCGCTGAACCAATATCAAACAAAATAACTTGGGGACTACCATCAACTAACCATCGGCCTGTCAACAACTGATTTCAATTATTTGATTAGAAAATAATTACAGAAAATCCGCAGTCATCATTATTAAGCTCATTAAATTTATTTATTTTTATAACGCAGCAGTTTTCAAACGATGTTCAGTAAAAAAAAAAAGATTCCATTCATTTTTCACAATGGTTAAGTGAATTTTTTACTAAATGCATAATATTGAATTCAAAGTTTAAAAATGATTGGTAAAACGAATTCGTCAAGTATAGATTCCTTTTATTATTTTAAAAATAAAAATGAATGCAAATCGTATTATAATTTTAACTCAATAATATGAATATTATATATCTATGTATTATAAATTCATAAAGCTTATATTGAAATACTTTTTTTTTTAAAGCAATCCAAACGGATTATACTAAAAAATATGTTTGAAATTACACTGTTATCACTAATTCTAAGTTTAAGAGAACAGATTAGAAAGTATTTTTTTGTAAGATTAAATCATTTGTAAAATTTATAAAAATATATATTTATTTCAAATTACTTTCTAAAAAATTTCATATTAACTTCGCAGTTAAAACCACGTTCTCAAATGGTATGCGAACAATCAATTATAATTCTCATTGTATCAATAAAATGAATTATTTAATTTATATCCAAGCTATAAATAAATCATAACGCCATACCTTAAACCCTTGATCTCTCATTTTGGTAACTGCTGTGTGATACGGAGATCCTCCTTCGAATTCTAATTCTTCGACAGCTGTTCGAGCATAGTGTTCTTTATAAGGTCCCAACAAACAATATTGCTCTCCCATTTCTTCAGTTGAGACGAATGCTTTTGATCTGATAACTGTGTAAATACCACCAACTGAAATGCCAAAATAATAAATAATAATTATTACATTAAACACAATAAATAGATATTTAACAGACTAAATAGATGCTAACTTTAGTCTATTGAATAATAATAATAGCCATTTAAATATAAAGATAGATAATAACTAATAAGTGTTCAAATAAATTTAAGTACAATTTGGATAACACTCATAGATAATATCTTATTTATCAATTATAAATCTATCAATTTTGAATAAACAGAGGAAATTGTATACATATATTTAAAATACTCCTAGCCCATAAGGTAATGTCTGCTATAACACATGTAATCAATTATAAAATTATTATTATTATGCACTGGTTTCTCACGATTACACTACTTTTGTCGAATAACTAAGATTACTCGGCTTGGCAATAAATCTCGAAGTGCAAGGTGAATAAATTTCATACAATAAAAATGCTATTTGAGTTTTGGCCATTGATTATACCTATTTTAATATTATCTGTGTAGTATATCGTGTACCTATGTAGTATTGAGTTGTATTTCATTGTAATATGTATTTGTTTTTTTAAAATAATGGGATTTATAAAGAGTTTAAAAGGAGAAAATAAATACATTTGTAAAGGTTATATGTACAATTTTGAAAATTTCGGTATGGAAGAAAAATGTATATGGAAATGTTACCAATATAAAAAAAAAATAAATGTATAGGTCATATTCATTTAAAAAACGACGAGATAGGAAGAGACAGTCTTATTCGATTACAGACAAAACAGTTAATTGCGGAAAATACTTATACAACAAGTGAAAAGCGCAAGCACAAAGATCACGCACAACGAATTTCCAAAATATGTGAAGACTATAATAATAGAAACAAAGTGGATTTTTTAAGAGGAATTGTACATAACTTTTAACTTCAGTATTAAGTAATAAATATTTTATGATAAAAATTAATTATCTTTTATTGTTTACTTTATTATTACTTGTATCAGTCTTATAATCGTTTATTAAACCATACTTACCTGAATTTATTTTAAAAATGTTTGGCGATCAATTAACTTAACGAATAATTTTACCCGCTATAAATTTGATTGGCGATCAATTGTCCACGATCAATTTCACCGCGATCCATTTTAAATATGCACCGATAACATCAATAGACGTGGAACGTTCATTTTTAATTTATAAAAATTTGTTGATCAACAACCGTTAAGCATTTAAATTTGATAGTTAATATCAGAAAATTTTTAATTATAAAGTTAAATTTTATAGATAAACATGAAATTTTATAATACTAAATATTTTTTTTATTGAATCTTTATTATTCATTAAATAAAATTGAATCAATATTCATTGAAGCAGAGGAAATCGAAGAAAATGAAATCGATTATACAGAGTAATATTATGGTTTTAGACTTAAAAGAGTTATTGTTGTCAAAATATTTGAAATAAGTGAAAAAAAATGGTCTACACTTAAAATTTAATAAATCAAATTGAAAAAATATAGGTATATTTAATTGCTACTGTAAAAACATTCAGTTACATATTTTTGTGTGTATTTCGGTTATTTATTATATATGCATGCATATTTTTTATTATTTGTATGTAATCACTCCCAAACGCTAATTGTAACTTATAATACAATGATTTTATTATAATATATACAACTCATATATTCGAAACCAACCTTTGTTGCAAACTTCCCAAGCGGTTTCAAAAACCCATCGATTTTCATATGCAGCCGTTTGACCACGATCCATAAAGGCAGTAAAATCATAGTTACTGTCCACACGATAAAAACGTTTACTTGCTTGATCTTTAGTCATGGTACCTGGAAATTAAATGGTATTGTACAAGAAAATTAAACTAAAACGTTCGTAATGATAAAATGATTTTCAGCATCACTTATTGGGAGTAAGAGCTAACAGTAAAACCTAGTTCAAGGACACTTCTTAGCCTTTGGCAACATATTATTTGGCACAAAATCACAACCCACTGATAAACATTTACATTGCCAGTAAAATTCATAAACCATACGTTTGAAATTTGAAGTAAATTCACAGTAGGTATACCGTGGATAAAATTAACAAATCAGAAATAACCGAATTATAATATTTTTTAGCTTATAAACCAAAATATGATATAATATCATGTATAATTTAGAGAAATAAAATTAAAGGAAAATTAAAAAAATACTTGTTAAGTAATACAAATGTATTACTTTATCATATAGATTTATTTTATAATATATATTTGGATAACAAACTCGCAGTACTTCGATCTTAATTATTAAGTCATTAAATGTTTTTTCATTATAAATTAATAATTAAAAAAAAAACATATAGGTTAACGCGGTAAATAAGTTTTAGATAAATCGAATGTAGTACATGAATTAATAGATAAAAAATAAGCTATTATAAGAGTAGTCTACAGTCCGTTCCGTTAGTTATTTTGTAATAATTTTAGAAGTATAGAAACTATTAGAAGGTTATTATTTGTATATTAAGCTTGACATCAACTACCTATTTAATGATGTTAAATTAGTTTTTTAAAATACACGATTATTATAATAATCAACATATTTAGAACACATTTTTAATAAGATAAATGTCTTACTATTATAAAAGATTCGATCATTTATTAATTAAGGTAATTTTAAAAATTATTTGATTTACTTATGATAATACGAGTATTGAAATTATATAGATGATATTTTTTTTTTTAACAAGTTTAAAGTAGATATAAAAATATTAATCTTAATTTAGATAAATTTAATTTTCTCAATCACACATTGTTACTTCTAATATCCTAACAAATAATTAATTTTTTTAAGTTGTTCGAAATCAATAAAAATAGATAAATCACTATTTAGGGTAAATTATAGTCTATTATGTTTTTATCAATTGCAGTAAAAAGTGAAGCCTTAAAATATACACTAAAGGCTATAATTACAAGGGCTATTGAATTAGTATTTGAATAGCCTAACCTGTCTACATACTGGAAGTAGAAATTAATATCAGTACACCATCGATAATCAACATTATTTATATCTTAACGCTAATTTAACATTGGATACTATTTGAAATTATTTATAAAGTACATATACGAGTATTTAATGTACAAATATTGATGACTAGAGTACGGATTTAAAGTAATAAAAAACTAAAGAAAAGTACTAAAAAATAAAGCTTAAAAAACATTAAAAATGGGTTTAAAAAAAAAATTAATAATTTTCGCTATTTTGTATATGACTACACGGTGTTATAACAAAAACTAAATTGTAATTCTGAGTAGATAAAGTCCAGAGCAAAACCATATTTTTGTGTTTATTGACATTTCAAAATAAATTAATATACTATACACCATACGGTACGTGACAAACTGAACACACAGGGAAAGGTTGTTAAGAAATAATCAAACAAGATCTGGAACACATTATTTAATATAAAAATAAATATTAACATTTCAAGTACATTTATTTCGAACACATTTTGAAATAATGTAACTTAAAAGTAAAAAAGTACTCAAATACCCCAAATAGCAAATTGATATACGAAAAACGTAAAAAAATAAAATAAAAATAAAATGTCATTAATTTTATTCTTAATAGTATAAATCAAATTTGTAGCTGACAGCTGCATTTAGAGCAATAGAAAAAAAAGCAAATGCCTTCAAATTCCGTAATCCATTGACAACTCTAAAAAATCATCTTATTCTGTTGATTTAGTTCTAAGGGCATTAACTTACCAACAAAAGTTCAAGTTATTTTATTAGAGGTAAAGGTTTTGAAGTTAATAGAGCATCTATTAAAAAAAATATATAAAAATTTAACTCTATTCATGAATTTACAATAATAAACTACTATAATATTAAGAATATTGATTAAAGTTGAGTTTTGTCTGCCTATAGCATTATCGTACAAAATATTTTTTATAGAATAACTGATATGGATCAAGGAGATATTTAATATTAAATGTTAACTACCTTTAGTCATTATAATAAAAAAACAAAAAATCTTTGTAGATGTTGTATATAAATTTATAAATTTAATTTATAAGTGTTCATGTATTATTATATACTCTACTAATTTAATACAAAACAAGTTTTAAAGTTTTTCACATTCATGATATAGGACAATATTACTCAATGCTGTGTAGAAAGTTCATTGTATAAAATATATAAAAATAGAATCATCACTCATCAGTTACCAGATAAGTTAATTAAATTTTTTTTATATTATACATATTTATCTTAAGACTAGTTATTAGCTATTAGTTATTAAAACTAAATTATCTTGAAAAAAATTTAACATATATTAAGAATAAAAAATACATATTACATTTCAAAGGTAAATGGACGAAAATAAAATAATATAATAATGAAACTTAAATTATTATATAATAGCGTTATCAATAATGTATTTAATGATCATAAAAAATGTATACTCAATATAAAATACTCACTCGTGTATTCCTTACAGTAATTAATATAACAGAGGTATACTCGTATAATAGATAAATTTTAAAAATAAAATGAACATGTCAAGAAAAGTATCACAACACAACTATTCGGTAACAACTTAATCAGAGAACATTAACACCATGTAGGTACTGAAAACTAATCAGTAATCGGTAATCACCAGCAATAAAAGTAAATCTACAGCTGGGAACAAGAAAAAACCAAGCTCGTTTAATTTATTGATAAAATAATATAATAAGGCTGAATAGTACAGCCAAAATATATCGATCGCTAAAAAAGTGTGATTAAAATATTCCATAAATAATAAAGGTTAAAATAGCTATCAGATTAGACAATACAACAACATCGGTATACAATAATATTACAAATAAAAACGATAGAAACATTTATTTTTATTATTTATTATTTTAAGATTACTTCTATTTAACCTGATTGTCTGTATTTTATTAAAAATTTCAGTATTGAATATAAATTTAAATTTACATTATTAATTACAATTCATTACATAAACATAACATTAAAACAGTTAACAGTATTAACATTTAATTAGTTAATTTGATTAAAAATTAGTATTTATTAATGCAAATATAAATAAGAACAAAATTAATATTTTAAATTCAATTAGTTTAGTTTATAAGTTATAATAACTAATGGCTGCATCCGAATTGCGTGCGGAAAAAAAGAACTATGTTTGACAACAACCGAATTGCGTGCGCGGTTTTTTCGAGACACAGCCGAATTGCGTGCGCATATTTTATTTAAAGACAACCGGTTTTCACCGAGCTGGATGTGTCGGCCGGAGAATCATTTATCTGTATCTAATATGATAGTTATATATGGGTATTACAAATATATTTCAATTTGTAGAAATCTTGAAAAATGTACAAACCGATGTTTATGTCAAAATTCGTAGCTCAAATGTAACAAAAAAACGACGAGAGGTATAAGAAAAAGAAGATTATATTAATGACATTATGTATCAATTTCAAAATAAAATGTTAACTCGTTTGGAATTTATTGAAAAGTTGGCGTACAAAAATTTGCCAGTTGAGTTTTAAGTTTGAATACAAAACTCAAAATATATATATATATATAAACAAACCTATTTTTTTTTTTTTTTTATTTTTTCTTATTTTTATAATATTTAGACTGTAATTTTAAATTACATTTTTTGCTACTCATATAAAATATTTAAATATAATCGTTTTTACGAGATACCTAATAATTTTATTGTATTATCACTTGAATTAATATTGTTTTAATAATTTGTATTCGAAGAATAAATGTATTATTTAATTATTTAGTGTAACTCATTGGTTCATTTAAAGGTAAAAAAAAAAAAAATGCCGCAAAATGTGTGATCTGGCACACCGTGCGGCATCAACACTGTATCTCGCACGCAACTCAACCCTGTTTTAAAAAAACCACGCACGCAATTCGACCCAGATAACGATTTTCGCACGCAACTCGGAACCGCCGTGACTAATAACTCATTTAAATAACTCTTTAGATCGTAAAAAATTAATATATTACTATTTAAATTATTTTATTAGTTATAAAGTATAAATACACATTTTCATATTTTTAAGATAAGAGAATAACAATTGAATGAGGTACCTAAATAAAAAAATTACAAATCAAGATCAAAATTTATAATCTAAATAGGAATTAAAATTTGCGCGGATGATAAATTGGGCCTTAAAAAAAAGCTAGTGGGTAATTTCAATCCCGAGAAAAAAGATATAATAGGTAAATTGAGTTCCAGTAAAAAATAAATTACACATTTTATAAAAAATCCATTTTTTTATCTATGGCATAAATTGTGTACATTAAAAAATAAATTTAATTTTTATTATTACAATTAAATTAATATACAAGTGGTATTTAAAATATTATATTCTTGGTAAAAACTTAAATAATACGGATTTAACAAACTCAAATCGGGTTATTTTATTATTTGAGTATTTTGTAATTTTCTCTCTTAAATATTGTTCATTATCGAGCGTACTATTATTTTCTTTTACGCACGGTGGTAGCTACAAATAAAGACTAAATACTTGGGGGAAATTTGTTAAGTTTCTAGTAACACCATAGGCGGACATTTGATTGAATTTTGGGGTGGGGGGCTATAATAATTCAATGTAAAATAATCCGCAGGGGCTTCGCCCCCACACCCTCTTCTAGTGCACAAGTAAGACTTATTATTACTAAAAATATAAATATGTTTAAATTGTATTAAAAAAAAACACTAAATAACGTATATTTAAAAATAATTAATATTTTAATTTAATGACAATTATCTATTTGTATCAGCAGAGATATTCAAAATACCATCACTTTTTATATTTTTCGATATATTATTTTCAATATATAGTATTGAAAGATCGCTGAACCTTAGCCAAGTTTTTATTTTTTTCATTTCACTGAAACTTCTTTCGCAAGTAGCCGAACTAATTGGTATTGTTAATACTATTGTAAATAGTTTTTTATTATTTCTTATTTTACGATTTTCAAAAAAAAGCAACAGATAATTATAAAAACAACGAATAACAAAGTTTCGATTTGTGGGGGGGGGGGCTGAGCCCCCCTGATGTCTGCCTATGAGTATCACAATAAATACTTTAAAATAAATATACAGATATACTACGGTAGATAGCCGGTACCCAACTTACCTACTATCTTTTTTTGCCCGGAACTCAATTTACCAATTTTAAATGGTACACAAATTATCGCAAAGCCATTTTACCTAGCCTCAAAATTTAAAATAAATACTTAAATACAGGCTATAGTTATGGTTTTTTTATGTACATTTATTAATATAATATTTACAGATTATCATTATAATATTTTACCATTTTATCAAAATATATATTTTCAGAAATATGAAATTCTAGTGCGGAATATTTGACAAAATATAGGAACTATATAGGTAACAATAGCGTTTTATTTTTTATTAAAATTTTAGATGTTCGGCGTTACTGCCGTACTACACACTTCCTGTTTTGCATTACACATTTTATGTCCAGTGTTCACTAAAAAAATAGGGACTGATATAATACATATATGAATATTGAGTGTGTACCTTAGCTACCGTGTATTTTTAGTTGAATTCGTAAAATATGTAACATAGAAATATACAATTTAGTTTTATTTATTTATTTAACTTAATATACTTAAATATATATAACAAAACAGGGTATAAAAATTAAGTGTAATAACATATAGCAATGACATTTAGAATTTAAATAGAAAGAGGCTCCCGGTGGTGTAATATATATAATTATAGTTATAACCAATAATTTTATATATTTTTATTTTATTTTATACTAATACTAAATCATGTATGTCAAATGTCAAATTACATAACAAGTATGTCAACAATCTTATCAATTAAAATAAGATAGCCTAATATTAGTTTAAATCGCTCAGCAATGGAATTCAACTATTTGAACAAATTATTTACCTAATTCAAACTTGTTTAATTCATTTATAGTTCAAATCCTTTATAAACTGAAATTATTTTATATTTGTAATTAAAAAAAAAGGTAACTGAGTGTTATAAATTTATTCTTAAAATTTAGAATAAATATTTTCAAATAAAATGTATTAATATTTGTAGCAAATTTAATTTTTTTTTGTTAATATAGTCTTATAAATTAACGTCTTCATACAAATTTAAATTAGATGTGCACATTTTTTTTGTAATATAAATAGAATTTATTTGCTTTGGATTGTATGTTTACAACTATTTTAATACACCGACGTCTAAATAAAAATCATGACGTCTGTAATTTAGCAATAGATCAAAGTTCAAAAGATATAAATGAACACAGGTAACGAGCCAATAAAAGCAGATTTTAAGTTTTTTTTTTGTTTACTTTAACATTTTCATTATATGATTATATCCAATGAATAAAAATTGTTATAATATTTATTTTTTTTGAAGAACAAAAATCAAAATTGGAAGTAATGGAAAAAATACTAAAGAAGAAAAAAATACTTACCGAATATAAGGAATATTTCAACAAATTGTTAGGCAACAAATATTAGGCGTTACAAATAATGATATCACTTGGAAATGGGTAGCAATAAAATACAAATCCAAAAAACCGGCAACACGGACTTGTACTTTCATTTATAAATGTTGCAGAAAAACAAATGGTGTGCTTTTGAGAAAACGCATTTTAACGACACGTGAAGAAAAATTGGGAATAAACAAAACAATGATCGTTAGTACATTTATAACGCGCTATAATTAAAAACGTACGCAACTCCTTTAGAAACTGACTAAGAGAACCTCGTATTATCGTAAACAGACATTGGACACGAAAATGCCAATATGCATCATTACCACCGCTCTTACATCGGAAAACAATATGGAGATAAGATTATTGAGTCGGTGGGAACGTACAATGTCTATATATATACATGTGTATACATAATTATTATATTATTTACCAATGATCGAAGCAACGGCCCATACTGAACACATAGGGAAATTATTAAAATTATAATTATTATTATAATTCAAGGTATTGAATTAGACAATATAAAGTGAATAATCAACATAATTTCTTTAATCTTCGGTGATCACTACCGATTTATCATGTAAACTGGAAGAGCCTTGATACTATAAAATCATAAGTTATGCGTCTAGGCTCTGTAGTGGACACAATTAAAACTGACGTAGTCATGTGTTATTTTGAATATTTGAATACCTACATCGACATGTTGTAACTGCGGCGAAACGCAATGGTGCATTATTTATTATTGTAAAACGAGAATACCACGTACCTTCAAAAGCGTTGTGAGTTAACTGGAGGAAAATGAAACGATAATATTATGCAGTGGTTAGTACATGTATCACATGCGTCCAGAAAAACATCTACCGTGAAAATTTACGCGATTAGTGTTCGAAACATGACGGAAATACGTATTACTGTTCATTGCTATGATGTGCGAGCTGGACGGAAAAACGAGAGGAAAAACATACATACAACAAAAGCCGATTGTAAACTATTTACACGGACGCACACACTTTTAAAACAAAATAACAAATTTCAACAATGTCAGAGTGTACGTGTGCGCGCGCGCGCGCGGGAGTGGGCAAGGCAGACTACGACTCGAAACCACATGTCAGTCTTAAGTTTTGAGCGTGTGCTCGGGATATTATTGTTACACTTGTAATCGGACGATAACCACCGCACCCACCGCCGCTGCCGCCGCCGCCGTAGCCGCCACCGCCCATTAGCCATATTATATCGCATTACGGTCACAGACGACGCGTTTATATTTATTCGCCGCTCGTCGTTCTCTCCTCGCAAGTCGTAGACGGTGAAAACCGGTCGCGAAGTTCGGGTATTACGGTCTTGTACAGCGGTTCTCAAACTTGGGTTTGCGGAGCACCCTAAAGATGCTAAAAATAATCTACGGAGCCCCGAAAACCATGAACGCCAATATTATACTCATAGAAAACGATGGTTGGTGTTTAATCTGTTTTTTTTAATAATTTGTACGCCGTATACTTACAAAATATTCCAATAAATAATTTAATTTACGAAAAAACCTAATTAATAATTATTGATTCATAAGATTTAATATGAACAGTAATATATCTATTGTCTATTTTCGTTTAACAATAGGTACTTCAATACTTGGTTTGATGGAAGAAATTTGAATATGTGTGTTACCTTGTATGTCATGGCCATATCCAGTATTAATTTTTTATGGGGAGGGAGGGGTTTCATTTTAATACTATAACATAGATTTTAAGAATTAGAATTAAATTTAACCATATCATTGTTTTAGTGACCTGTAAAGATACAAATTTACTTAATTATTCAAAATCCAACATCAATTTTTATACTGTATTTATTTATTATAAAGAAATTATCAAATTTATAATAGATTAAGCCGAGTTGGATTTTAAAACAAAATCATTTACCTCGATTGTTTTGCAAACCGATTTAGCACCTCTTTAGGGTCAGCATGAATAATTACTATTGGCAATATCTTACCTACTACTTTTGAAGGAATAAATGCCCGTCTACTAGACTAAGAACTAAATATTATAGATATCTTCCGATAAAGTACTCTAACCAAGTACAAAGAATACTAAAAATAACGAAATAAAACATATCACGAAACATTCATTCATTCGTTGCGTCCATAAACCTCGGTCGACGATAACGATAACGTCACGTATTTATTATAATTTTATTCTGTTTCTGGCTACAAAGTTATAAGAATTAATAATAAATCTAGATGGAAAAATATTTTTTCATGGTTTTCAGGAACATTAAGGAAGACAGTTTTCATTTTTTTATTTTATTAAATTTTAGGTTTGAACCCGGAAACCTTCCCCTGAATACAGCCGTGTTGTACACGTTAAAATATACATTTCACATAAATGAAACAATCGCACTGATAACATTATTTGAACTCGATTTAGTTCAGATGTGCCCGCGAAGCCCTGTAGGGCTACCCGAGGAGAGCAGTTCGAGAACCACAAGCAAGTGCTGTTGCACTACAGTGCACAACACAACTGTTACGGTCATTATACCATACGACCGTTGCGGTCGCGAAACAGTGTAATAATAGCCGATGGGTAATAATACGGCGCACGAACGCGACCGCGTAGTTGGTCGCGACGCAAAACCGGGGAACGTGCGCGTCGCTGAAACATCAAGTCCCCGGGTCCGTGAGCGACGAGCTGCGTGCGGAACGCGTTCCGGGTTGACGTCCGGATGTTTTGCATAACACCGTAGACGTTGGACGTCCTAAACAAGTTGCACGCGTGTGTTCGGTACTTTCCCCTAGGTCGTAATTATTATCGGTTTTGCTCCCCCGAAACGAGCCGATAACAACACCGATAGCGAAGCGGCCGACGAGGGCAACGGCCCCGCCGCGGCACGTCGCGTTCGGCAACGTTATCGCGCCGCGCCGTAATCGCGTGCGGACGACGGCGCTGGCGTTGCGAGTGGGTACGACGACGTCAGTGAGACCGAAATAATACGACGTTCTCGGCACGTGCCGCCGGGAATATTTTTAAATAATTTTTCGCGTTTTCGACCGCGACGTCCGGGTATATACAGTGTGACGCGTTCGCGACCCATCCATGGTTACTGAATCGTTTTCGAACAACACTACCGCGCTGACCTCTACAGAGCACGTCGCCTACCCGCTTGCGGAGAATGCACACTCCAGCGTCTGTGCGCGGCTCTTGATATCCATTTTCAATAGTTTTCGTGCAATTGTCCTTCCCTACCACGTTGCCAGAAACCAACGACAACACCAGTCATCAAAACTGCACACTTATCGTTCATAACCGCACACATTTATTCTATATTGTTAAAAAGGGAAATTTGGAAGATCGATAGTTCAAAACTGGTTCACGTTGCCGTTTCGTATGATTTCCATTCATATTCATTTTTTTTATCCTGTGACCTATTTGGGATGGTGTTGCATAGCAAATCTTGGGATATTTTCGTTTTTAACTGTCCGAGTGAGCGCAGCGAGCAAGTGACCCCGCCCGGTCTCAAGGTGCACTCATATTATTTTAAATAAATGTATACGTTATTGATATATATCAATGTGTGCTGTATTGAACGGTTTAATTTGGCGGACATATGTGGGATTAAGATGTAAAAGTGTGCGGATTTGAACGACGATATGTTTTTGAAAGTGTGCGGTTATGAACGACGCCCTCCGGCAACTATTACCGCGGATTATTGTTTATGATCGAATGCACGATTACCGATTTTTTATCGTATTTAATTACGGTCAGATCACGGAACGCATTCAAATTATATTAATGTCTTCAAATGCCGAAAACGATCGTGGTAAATATCACCCTCGGTTCCATGTTAAGGCTTCAGTTCACTTTCAGTTCTTCATGTATCCCTTTTGGTCAACAAATATTTTAATTAAATTTAAATATTAGGTTCAGAATTTTTACGGTGGTTAAATTTTTAAATAGATCATTAGTTTCAGCAGACACGTAGCTGAGCGCTTAATCCGAATTGGTTCCAAAAAGTTCGAATTGGTTCCCGAATTCTTACGGAGGGTTCCCATTTTTTTACGGAGTAATTTCAATTTTCCTTCCCATTTCATACAGACTCAGGACTGTTTGCTTTAAGTAGGTATGGTTAAAAATTGTTTTTTCTAGTATTATGATAATTTCATTTTTTTGAAATTTGTTTATGCTTATTTTGATATAGGTATGCTTGTTTATAACACGAAAAGAAGTTAAAAAAAAAAAAAAAATAAAAAATATAACTTAACACGAAAATAAGTTAAGTTATATTTTTTTAATGTTTTGATTAAATATATTTATTGAATTATATAATTTTTAAATTTGACTTACATTTTCTTTTTACACATATCCAACGTCATCTGCTTTTTGATATCCAAATTTAAAACCATCTAACACCACAAGTTTTTTATTTTTTTCACTGTACATGAATTCGTATAAGTATATAAGTATATAACACGTAACGTACAGGGAACAACCAACAAGTAAAAACTAGATATTTAACCACACCACTCAAATCGTCATTATCTACGTATAATGTGTTTCTTATTTTATTTATATAAATATATTTATGATTGGAGAAATTATTAGATAAACTGAATTATTGGCAGAATCCATAGGCATAATCCATTATCAAAGATATTTTACAAAAATAGAATGCATAAAATATCGGGAACCAATTCGGATGCTGATATTTAGGTATGGGACCCGATTCGGATGCAGCCTAGCTGAAAGTTTGTAATTTGCACCACTGCAGGTAGTCGAAAGTAACGTTTGTAGTTTGCACCATAATAAGGGTACCTGTGTAGTTTTCACCACTCTCGGGTAGTCGAAAGTAGAATTTGTAATTTGCACCATAATGAGTATCTATTTGTTCGATTAACGTATATTCGATTATTCTTCGATATCCTCATCGACGTTGAGACTAGGTAGACTCGAATGACTAATAATTTTTCAGGATTTTTCACCTTACCTGGTAATAATTTGACGCAAGGGCGTATTTGAGAGGTGGGGGCGAAGGGGGCATTCGCTCCCCCCCATGGATCGTATTTTTTTTTAATATAATACATTGTCTTATTTAAAAAATGTTATGTACAAATAATTAAGAATATAAATTACTTAATAATATGATAATAAATTCAATAATATGTCAATTTGATCAGGGATATCAATTTTTGTTTATCTTCATATATCATAACATTTTTCGTTGAATATTGCTACGGTTATAGACATTTACAACCATAACCGAGGTATTTATCAGATAATATAAAGTAATTTAAAGTAACACTTTTTTTACCACATATTTACTAGTTAGTCATTTTTTGGTTCATTTATGCATATTGTATATTTTTGTATTTATTAGAGCTATATAAGTCCTTAATAATTTTACTCGCCTATTTTTTTTTTAATATCTGGTACTTTTTATTGTGCATAGTTATTTAGTCATTTTTTGTGCACAAATACATGCATAATTGTATATTTTATAGAACTATAACATTAGCTAATCCAAATAGTAATCATAATAACTGACAATATTTGTTTCTATATTTTCATAGGCGTGTTTACGGCTATGGCCACTCTAGCAATGGCCAGACCTGCAAAATTCAGCTCCGTTTTAAATTTATGCTTAAATCATTAAAGAAAATGATTAAATAAAACAGAACTAAATAATAAATATTTTCAGATAAAATATTATGTATGTATAGTATGTCTGTAACAAAAACTAACCAATAATATTTATTATCTAATAAATATTATATTTAATTTTTAATTTTTAATTTTCAATCTAATATCCATAGCTATAAGTACCCGTGTAGTTTTAGTTGTATTTTATGTTATATAACTTTTATTTTTTTGAAGAGAGTGAGTATATTATTTACTAGCTATAGTTACTGTAGTAGCTACAATTACTACGTACGTTCTCGAAGAAGTATAGACACGCCTATGCATATTTTTTAACTTGCAAATATTGGCCAAAAATATATTTTTGTAAATTGAAAACATGGTTAAAATCAAGAATAGGCCAGCATAAACTAACAGTATTGGCTTTGCTGCATATGCATAAAAATATTATTGTATCTATCGATGAAACAATCGACAAATTTGCCAAAATGAAAAAAAGAAATTTGAAATTTGTTATTTGACTACTTACCAACCTTATGTTTTCTACTTAGATATTTGTTAAATTAAATTACCTATCTTAAGTATTTTTTAAAGTTTTTAAAAAATAATTAATAGGTACTATTACTATAATTAATTGTTGTTTTTTTTATATAGGATTCAGGCTGAAGGTACAATTTTAATATAAGAACTATTTGTGAAATTACTATTTTTTCATTTTATTTGAACATAAGGTGTGATTTTAGTAAATCTAAAGAACAACCAAATCTATTTATTGCTTCTTCAATATTAATATCAATATCCTTTTCGCAACTTAAAAGAATAAGATTTTCAAGTCGTTTTTCACCCATTGTTGAGCTTCATAATTGTTGAGTCTTGTCTTTACTAATTTTACCTAAACGTAAATTAAATAGTGAATCATCAATTATAAATAATCTCTACTCGTAGTTTATAATAATGATTAGAGAACGGATTTAAATGCTTTAAAAAACAATAATAATGCATTAAAAAATACGGTTGAGTACACTCATAACAAAAATGATTTTTAACATTGAAAAAATTTGTCGATCAAATAAATTTAATCTGTAAATTTAAAATAAAAAATTAAAAAACAATTTAAATTAAATTAAATTTTTTTTTTATTGGGATTTTCACAAGCCATTTAGACTCTTGGTCGCTAAAACTAATTCCTTCCATTGTTCTCTATTGTATGTTTGTTCCCAGTCTCTTTCAATTTCTTCTAATATTTCCTTGACGCTATCCTTACATCTTTTCCGTGGTCTACCCTTTGGCCTCTTTTCTCTTATTATATATGTCAATGCTCCTTTCAATACACTTCTAAATTTAATTTAGTTTTATTTAATCTGTGGTTAGGTTTTGCAGTCGTTGGACAAACTATTCGTCTATTCTTATTAAATATTTCTATAAGTTCTATATATTTTACAATTTTTTTATACACTATGCAGGTATTAGATATTTTAATAATTTCTATATATTTTTAATTTTTTATTCATATTATATATTACATATTATTAGGCGCTTATTTGTATACGATTATAATTATTAATTTATGACTTTTTTCAAGAATATTTATTGTATATACTGAATTTTTCAAAAGCCAAATAAATGATATGGCAAACTATGGCAACGTTGCATATAAATTCGTTCTCAATCGTATTGTTTTTTGGGTTTTCTTTGGGTCAGCGGTAAGTTTTTTGTTAATTTTAAGTGTTCCCAATCGTTCAGCCAAAAAGGCATAACGTTCTCAATCGTTCAATAGCTTTCCTAATGCTTTGTAAGCCAGATATAAATTTGGGAACGCAGACACTAAATCAAAACTTGTTAAAACATGGAGGATACTAGATACTGTAATAGTATTTTTGTAACATATTGATTCAGTTTCATCATGATCAATTTCAGATTCACTGGTTTGTAAAGTTTTTGATTTTGATTCTGTGGTTTTTTTCATTGATAATGTGTCGTGAAGATTAGCCGGAAATGTACTTCCATCACGCAAAGGTACTACACTAGAACTAAATACTTTGTACTCATTTTTTAAATTTGATAACTAACCATACATAAATAACCCTTGAATTTTTACGTTGAATATATGTCCTTAACCGTGAATAGGTTAGGTACCTTGCATTGTTGCAGCGCCATCGTACGCCTGCGCTCATAAGTTCTTATTTCAATCAATGTGATGCTTCTCTGTTATTTCACGAAACTTTTCATACAATCCTTTTCCAGTCCCGTCAGCTGCAGCCTCAATTGCTACAAGCCTTTATTCAATGTCAACATACATATTAAGAAATCTTATTATAAATGAAAATTGCTTAATATTAGCAACAGCAGTAGTTGTGTCAATAATTACTGATAACAATCCAGCTTTTTTAATTTTAATTAAGATTGAGCATCTTACTAATCCTCCCAATATTTTAAAAATTTTATTTTGACTTATATGAGATAAAAAGTAAGTCTATTTAGTTTTTTTTTTTTTTTTTAATTTATTTAAGTGTATTTTTAAAACAGCATTATGGTGACTAAGAAGCTCTACTAATTTAAAAAAAAATGAAAATGTGTATTTATATACCACTAGCTTGTAAAAAAATTTCGATTTATTCCAACATAATCCTTAATATTCGTTAATCCGGCCGAGAAATTCAGTGTTCCCTAAATTTATGAGCACCTATATATATTATATATACCTATATATATTATATACCTGATGATGAATTTTTAATTCGAAACCGGTCGAACTTTACAAATATAATAAAACTCCAGGCTAAGCTTTTATTTATTTATTTCTATACATAAACTGTTTGTTTAATTATTTATTAATTTACGAGTATCAACCATTTAATAATTTTTAATTACACTTTTTATTATTTTATTATATAATAATTAGATTATTAATTATTAATTATAATTATAAACTATTAATACATAAATGTATTTACTGCTGGATTAAACATTTGTGGATCCCATAGGTAATAAAATGTTGGTCCCTACAAAATTATTATTTATATACATATTTAAACATTACTATCCAATAATTAAAATAAACAGCTTTAATGATAACCAACTATTATTAATAAATAAAATTATGTTTATTAATTTTTTTATTTGCAAAAAAATTGATTAATTATTATATTTCCATTTTTTTTTCAAAATAATTTTATTATTATTACTGCATACAACACCTACAACTTAATATATATTATAGATCATAATAACTTTTATTCTGTGTATTCGTAAATAAAATACAGATATAATAAAAAAAAAAAAAATAAAACTATAATTTTCCATCTTCGCAGGGCTCCTTAAGTGAGAGAGGCCCTAAGGCGAGTGCTTATTCCGTCTAGTGGGTAATCCAGCATTGTATGTATTCCTTTATCAGATTCCATTTTGTGGTCAAATTATCATCCCATTGTATAGAAAAAAATAGTTTTAAAAAAGGTTTTAAACCGCAGTTGATATTTACTGGACGTTTTCAGCATGCGAAAACGATTTTAAAAGAAGATATTAATTTAATATAATTTTATGTGTTATAAATTATCTCTAATAAAAATTTTATTGTTGAGATATTTTTGGTTAATCCGATATCAAATTTAAAATCACAAAAGAATTATTCTAATAGTTTAATATTTCAATTAAAAATGTTCATATTGTTATAATAATTGCTTAATATTTATGATTTATTCAGAATGAGTAGATCAAAATTTGCATTAATTAATGTTTTTGAGTTTACAAAATTATAACTATCAATATTAAGTCTTTAAAATGTGTAATATATACATAAGAATATTTAAAATCCAACATGAGAGTAACAAATAATGCTTAAAAATATCAATTAAAAATGTAAAACAAATTTTCAACATTGACAAGCTGAGAAATTGTTTTACTTAGAAAAATAAATTAAGAAAAACTATTTGAATAGTTATAAAAATAATTTAACTTTTATTTAAAGATAATTTGTAGCTATTAGTTAATAATATAATAAACCTTTTTGATTAACTTTTTATATTTAATCCCAAAGTTGAAGACATACATTTTAAATTATGCAAAAAGGAATGTTGTCATTCTAACGTTAAAATAATGAGGTCTTACTATAATTGAACTAAATAAGTAATAATGTATCAAGGTATGATCTCAATTTAATAAGGTTCTTCATTGATTTTTAACAAGAGTTTATCAGTAAAGCGACCATTAAACAGAAGTTAAACAGAGCAAATATTTTAAAAACAAAACATTTTGTTACAAATACACTATTATTTATAAATACAGTTTACAATAATTGTGCAGTAGAATTGGCTGCAATGTCTAATAATTTCCAAGCAGCTCTTGGATTTACTTCTTCTAAATCTCTACACATTGCCCAAGTATACATCACTCTGATTACAGTATGAGGATCTCCATCAATAATTAATCCATTAATATCTTTAATATACATGATTTGCTGGGCACTGAATGATATTATTAAAACTGGACCATGGCTCATTAATTTTCCAGTGACTACATCTACATTGTGTACATCTAATACTTTGCAGTATGTTTGATGGCCCTTTTTTCGATGCTCATTTATAGGATGTGATAGTACTCTATAAGGAGCTTCAAAACACCAGTCTTTAAGAATTTCTAGATCTTCCCGTGCAATAGCTTCAAGTACATTTGGTATGATATCAGTTTCGCATTGACGAATAAAGTTTACTAAACTGAAATCAGGTTCAACACGACATAATTCTGTTACTACATCTGACATTTCAGCATTTTGAAATACTGATGACAAAGTATTTGTAACAGAACGTGTAGCACGTGCTAATACATGATCACTGTCATCAAAACGTTCTTTGAGGTCCGATAATTTTTGCATAAATGAATTTTCAGATTTAAATTTATTCCAACTTTCCCATATCCTAAAAACAAAATTAGTTTGTATTAAACATTTGGTTAGGTTATTTTTATTTAATATTTTTATATTTTATATTTATTCAATATAACTTAAACTTAAATTAACATAAATAAACTTATTAATCACATTTTATTTAAGATAAATACTATTTATTTTTCATTTCTAATAATTATTTTTGAATTATTAGAAATAGTATTAAATTATTTTGATTGTTAATTATTCTACTATCAGTAAAACTAAATATTTAAATACATTAAAATTAACTAAAATACTGTAGGGTTAAAAAAATCTACTATATTTGTCCTCAAACATAAGAAATGTTTTGAGACTTGGCCAAAAAATTTAATCTAGTTATTTCTTACAATATTTAATTTTAAAATGTATTAACTACATCCCGAGATTAAATATTTGTTAATTATTCAAATAATATTAGTGAATAAAATAGTATACTTAAATGAAACTATTTCATTATGTTCTCAAATGATAATAAGATATAATTAATATTCTTACTTTCATTTTTACATTAATTCCGATTGTTAATTTCATTTAATCGTTATTTTTATACATAAAAATAACATTTTATTATGAGAAACAACATGAAGTTACTAAAAACTATTTTTAATAAAATATTTAATAATTTAGTTTATTCTCCTGTAATTTATACACCATATTTTTTATAATGTATAAATATTTAAATTTAAATTTAAACCAATTCAATGACATAACCTAATATTATAATTAAGAATCATACATAGATAAACTCAAATTATTTTATAACTATATTTTAATTAAATATTGTTTACATGGAATCTTTATGAATAGTAATGCCAGTTTCTGTTTCATTAGGAACAAATCGACCTTGGTTTCCCAAGTCTGACCGTTTTCTTAAAGATTTAGGCGCTTTGTACACCTAAAATATAAATAAAAATTATTATACTAATATGGTTTTAGGTATTATTGTTTAACTACTTACATGTGAATTTAATGAAGTTTCGCTATCAATTTGTGCTGAAATGGCTTCAGCAGTATTTGAAAATGACTTTACAGGTCCGGACTGACCAATTTTTGTTCCACTTTCCAAAACAGTTTTGCTAATACTTCCACTGATTTTTCCTGATTTTAAAAACATGTAAAAATCATATTAAAAATGAAATAAATTTATTAACAATTAGTAAAAACATATACAGTCAAAACGTATAGCTATATTAAATACTTAATTTTATAAAATATTACATTTATATCAAATAATATTATATAATTTTAATAAAATTAATAAAATTTTAGAACAAATGTGTATAAAAATTATAAAAACATTAAGAGGCATTAATGTTAAACCAAGACACAAAATGCTCATGATAATAGCTAAATTATTACTAAATAATACAATATAATAAAAAAACAACAATTAAGTTGATAAGATACTATGAAAAAATTTTGATTTTAAAAAGGTTATTAGAAAAAATGTATTATATATATAAATATAATTGAAGGCAGTAATAAATTATTAAAATGATTTCGAATGATATTGTATATTTTATTTTTAAATAACCATAATTGTTTTAATAAATAATAATAAACAAATGATCTAATGTTAATAAATTATATTTTTGATACACAAACTATTACAAGAGTTTTAATAACATGAAGCTGGATTAAGACATATGCACCCAGGGGCTAACCTTCTTAAAATTCAGCACTTTAATAGTTTTTTTTACTCTAAATGATACCTACATTATTTCAAAACTATTTGCCATTAAAACCTTGCTCCTGTGACAGATGTTCTTCTCGATTCCCCTTTAATCCAGCTCTAACATGAAGAGTACCCAATCATTCAAAAGGAGAAAAAAAACTTCAGCAAAAAGTTTCATTAAAAATTTAAAAATTATAGTTAAATAATTATATATATATATATAATAAGTTATTATATCAAAGCTTATTAATTTATACACAGATATTATAAAAATTGCAAATTAAAAATATTTGATTTGTTGACATTTTAATTTTTTATTTATTTACCGAATACAGTTTACGAATTTTGTATAAATTATAAGATAGAGAATATTCTATTATTAATAAATTATATTTTAATGTTTTGTTGAATAATTGTTTGTAATTTTAAACTTTTGGCTAAATTCAAAAATTACCTATCTAAAACCCAGACAAGATACAACAAAATTGTTCTTCAAAATCTTTAACATATAACTCTATTCATATTTAAAAAAATGGGTTAAAAAACTATTTAAATATTTATTTTATATCGATTAATGTATTTATCAACAATATATAAAGGGTATGAAAAACTAAAAACTTTATTTGTTTTCTGTAAAATGTAATATTAATGATTTGTCTTACTTAATCTCTTGAGTACAGTTATAAATATATAATTATTACTAAAAACTATACCAGCTTTTTTTGCTAAATCAGATTCACTAGCTTGATTCACTTTAGTCTTGACTGTATTCATAACTATGTTCACAACACTTTTGGCTTGCTGAGTGACTTTGAATGTTTCAGATTCAATTGTATTCAATTTCTGTCTGAAAATTGTATATATTTACTAACTGTAGAACTTTATGACTATTTTACATTAATACCTAGCTTTAATTAGATTGTCCGATTCTTCCAGCTTCTTTTTCTCAGCACGAAATTGTTCTAAATTTTGCTTCATTTCTTTGTTTTTAGCTATCTCATCTCTTATGTTATTGAAAACTTGCATAAAAAAATTTGGTTTTTGGGGAGGTGTTGATGAATAATACTTGAGACAGTGCTATAATGAAATAACAATACAATAAAACACATTATATTTTTATGTTATTCTTGATAACATTTTAATTCTGTACCGATTATAGTTAACTATCCTAGACATTTGTTGAAATTCAACAAGTGAAAAACTTATAAAGAATTTATTCATTTTTTAACTCGGAGTAACAAAATGTCAACAAAAAGCAATGTGTTTTTTAGAACATGCAGTTTTTTTATAATTAGTAAAATTATAATATAGGTTAAAAGTAAGATCTCTTAGTTAAAATTATTATACAACTTGAATCAATCACGTGATACGGGATAATGGATTTAATTTTTCACGAAGCACAACTGCGAATGGAAATATACGGAAAACCACACTACGTTTTTTCGTGAACCGAAGCATTGATTACTTCACCATACGAATACAATTTACTTACCGTATTTCTGTAGATATATCTGTACCGAGGCCAAACAGAATACATGGTAAATGTTCGAAAAATAGTCCTTAAAAATCACAAAACTACAATTTAACCAGCATTTGGTGAAAAATGTCTACTGTATTAGAAACATCGTCGATCCGGACGGACGACGGTAAATGAAAGAAATGTGATAAAAATTAAATGATAAGATGACGAGAAAAAAGGCGATTTCAGTCAATTACACATGGTCGACAAAATTGTGGGACAAATGTTGCAAGCCCCATCTATCAAATGGGGTTGTCAGTGATATTGAAATTGATCCTGTAAAACATGAATGGATCGATTTTAAACATTAAAATTATCGTGAGAAAACGAAAGACGACAAATACGAAAAAACGAGTTGGCAGAAAAACGAGTCGGTGGTCGTTAATGCCACGGGTCTATTGACCGCTGTCCCGTCGTTAACTGATCAACGAAATTCCACTACTCCCACACACCCGACTAAAACCACGTTCTGAGCAATCGGTGTTCGCCGCCCGATCTTTCGCGTTACGCAACTCATGATAACCTGGGCAACGCGAATCGCTATTTTCAGGATTTTTTGAGGGTAATTTTTATACTCGTTCAGTTATCCGAAAAATCAATGTAACAAGTTGGTCGTGACATTGACTGCCGTTCACCGATCCGCGAAATCACTGAAAACCGTTTAAAAAACACGGTCGTCCGGTGTCCTATGAATATTATTCATGGCAGAAAAGACGTAGAATTTTTTAATATTCGTAAATAATAATTCCATAATTCCATAAATTAAGCAAACCGTGGCCCAAGATTATCATTAGGAAAAACTTATCACGAAACCACGAAGATAATGATAAAACACGTTGATAATGGAAATTGTGCCGGACGTAAAGACACGGTTTAAAGTTGAACATGCAATAATTTTCCTCCAATCGTTCCGTAGAGTTTTGCACCGGATTGCCGTTTTAAATTCCGGAAAAACGATTCCGCGCCTTTAATACATAACCGTCGACATTTAATGAATTGAAAAACTCGAAAGATGTGGTCCGATACATTTCTCATCGTGTTTATCTCGATATGTACAGCTTTGTTGGGAGAAGGTAAATTTCGGTTGTTTTTTGTATTTTTTTTTTTTTTACTTTTTATTATTGTTTTGTGGCCAATTCGACGCTTGAAAGTAAACATTCGATTGATTTTTCTTACTTTTCTGTAAGACATGTGTCCACATCAGTTATATTCTTAAGTTAATAGCATTACACTTAAATGCAATTGAGGTAGTCACAGTTTCGTTCCATTACTTAACAAAGCTGATTATTAAAATTGCTGCATTACAGAAAAAGAAAACAATTAGAAAACAAGTTTTTTTTTTCTAGTCCATAGATATAATTATATATATCTAACTCATCAGTTATTATCAAGTATCTAAACTTTTCTTATCGTTAGTTTGATTATATATTGCCTCAAATATTATTTGATTTTATTAAATCTTATATTAAGTATGTAGATTTCAAACAATAACATTTTTTTGTATACATAATTTTGAATTTAAAATGTATACAATACACTAATATTGCTTGCAAATAAAATAATTGCTATTTTTCTTAAATTTTTCTTTATTTCAAGTTTTGATATTTTATAGTTTCAATAATGATTTTATTTTAGGTTTATAATTTTTAGTCTATATATTAATCAGTTTGTTAAAGAAATTTAGATTAATATTTTAATGAGTAAATCAACATTTTTTTGTTATTTTATTTACAAGTGATTTTTAATATATAGTTAATTATTCATTTTCATCTACTGAAAATATATTATTTAAATAAACTTGAAAGATGTCAAACAATTTGTGGACAAAGTTTACCACATCATTAGATTATTATATATATTTAAATGCAAATATACTTTTATTGATTACATTAGATAATTGTTTTTGTTGTATTAATATAACAATAATTATTATTCTGTTTCATAAAGTATGAGTAATACTATTATAGCAATGTTTTATGTTTGAATTTTCAAATTTAATGCCATTATAATTATAAATTTGCTGGCCCGATTGTGACTTCTAATATCGTAGTTATTATTGGAATTGTTCAGCTTATAGCATTATTATTGTACCTTTTTGTTTTTTCAAATGATATTTGTCATATTTCCATAAAGCTTTAATTTGTGGTGAGTAATTTGCAAAGATTAAATTACATTTTATTTGTTTAATATATTTCAAGAATATGTGGACAGGCTATTTTCATAGATTGTATTCAATTATAACCTAGCAGGCATGTTGCCAGGGGGGGTTACAAATGTTGTACCCCCTCCCTCTTGAGTGTGTTATACTTAAGTCTTATAAAGATAAAAACTCATCATAAACCGTGATGAACAAATATTTATCATAACAAATTATATACATATTACAAATGTATATATTCATGTGTATTGTACTTGTATGTATTGTACGCTTATACAATAAAGTATACGTAAAGTTATTATTTTGTATAATAATAATAATAATAATTTTGAATAACACGTCACTTTTGAATTACCTAGCCAGTACCATAACAAAAAAATGTATGCTCCTCCGCAAAAATAAGAAATGAGCCCCTAAATTTTGTTTAGGTAGGTATATTAGTTTAAAAATATTAATCTGATATAGGTAAATCACTTATTTAATATTACCATTGATTATATATATACTATGGATTGCTCACTGGCCGGTTTTCGATGGAATGAAAAAAAAATTCTGATAGAGAGCGATTCAAAACTAATAATAATTAAATCTTATTTAATTTTGGTCGTTGTGTCGTATAGATGGTAGAGACGGGCGTGTATCGATCAGTATATTATGCGAGCACCTTGCACGAAAATTTGTCAAATTTTATTTAATTCGTTAAGATTATTTTGTTCGGTGGTTTAACATGTAAGTTTGAGTATCTAAAAATATACTAGACAGTCGGAAAAATTCACATTGTATTTTTTATTTATTAATATTTTATTTTAATAAATTTATTATAATATAATTTTGAATCTCATAAGGATATTTTAGTGCCCTTAAGATTCCCCATGGAATGTTAGTTACATAGAGTAATAAAACGCTTTATCTTTAATATTGTTATTACTTAAGCTGGGTCCACACGATGATTGTAAAACGCGATAGTTACTATCATGTGAATGTCATCATGTGAACTTGTCGATAGTGACTATCGGACTATGGAGAAAACTACCACAGAATAATGCATGCATGATAGTTGAGAGTTACTATCATTGTGTGGATCCAGCTTTACCGTAGGTATTTCCCACAGATGTATATAATATTTAATATATATATATATATAATATATAAATCTGTGGTATTTCCACATGATAAGATTATACGTATTATAGATTACCTTACGTTTACGAACATATTTAATAATAATAATAGATTATATAAACATAGATTAACACTAATTTAATTTGAAAAAACAATTATTCAATTTTTTTTTCACGGGAATTTACTTTAACCAAAGTCCCCAAATTACCATGGGCCACCCCCTGCAACGCAGGGTTTGCGGGCCCAAAATTACGCAACTATACCTAGGTACGTGTCTGTATTCTAGTGTTGGATAATTGATTTAAAAACTTTTTGTATAATTTCTTTTAAAACTATTATGTATCTTTTTAAGTATTACATAGGTAATATAATGATTTGAAAAAGTTTTTTTTTATAAATTATTTTGTATTGTTTAATGATTAATTTTAATTAATGTTAACTATGAATTCCATTATATAAAATTTAGGGATTATTCTAAGGATTTTTATCAACTCCGCATTTTGTTTGAATAAGCCTATCAAAATAGAACCATGATCTCAAAATATACTGTCAAATTATAGATAAGAATGATAAAATTTGTAGCTTTTAGGTGAAGTCATTTAAAATGTAACTTATTTAAAGGACATAAAACAATTTACATTCGTGTTCAAAGTATTAATTTTTACTTTGCTCATAAATCATAATGTAATGTATAAAATAACACTAAACCACATTCGATTACAAATCAATTATGCAAAGTTTATTATCAAGCGCGCATCTAGCTTTTACGAACACGCAAAATAAGCCCAACTGCGCTTTAAAGTAAGCCCTGATAAAATTATTAAAACCATAATAAAACGTCTGTTAACAGGGTTGACATGGCTATTAGTGTATAGAACAGAAAAATACCAAAAGCTCAAAGTGGAAATTGAAAAATCTAGTAAAAAACGTAAGTTTTCCAATTTTTCAATATTTTTTATGTTACTTTGTTGATTTATTTAATGAGTGAATGTTATTAAATATTCAAATTTTGTACATAATAAAAATTAATTTAAGAATTTTTTATAATTTTTCAGTTGAAAAACGCAAAGAAGCTCATGGAGATTCAGTAGATAAACAACAAAAAAAAAAAATTGAACGAGTCGAGGAAAAACTTAAAATTAACAATCGTGATTTGTCAATGGTAAAAATGAAATCAATGTTTGCCATAGGTTTTGCATTTACAGCACTATTAAGCATGTTCAACAGCATGTGAGTTTGTACAATATTTTGTATTTGACAACATTTTTAGTAAAATATTTTATATTTTTCATAGATTTGATGGACGTGTTGTAGCAAGATTACCTTTCACACCAATTCCCTGGGTACAAGGATTGTCACATAGAAACTTACCTGGTGATAATTATACTGAATGTTCATTCATATTCTTGTATATATTGTGTACTATGTCAATACGTCAAGTAAGACCTGATTATATGTAAGTCATCCATCAAATATTAATTACAGTTGTTTCAATTTTTTTGTGTTATAGAATATTCAGAAGTTATTAGGATTCGCTCCATCAAGAATGGCTAATAAACAAAGTGGTGGTATATTTGGTCCTCAAACTCAACAATTTAAATAAAAATCTTTTAATAGAGTAATTCAATTATTTATGTAATTTAATTTTGATTTAAATTTTGAAATAAAGTTTTTTTTTAGAATAAAATTATGAAAATAAATTTGTACTTTAATAATTTTATTTGAGAGAAATTTGCAAATAGAATTTCAACTCAAGATTAATTAAAATGTTATACTTGGTCCAGTGAAAACAAAATAAAATAAATTATTTGAGATACCTAAACTAAATATGACATCCCATCTGAAATAATTTATTCAATCCTAAGATAAATGTTTGTTAGAAAAGAATATCTACAATATTTTTAGTGATAGCAATTAATTAACAAAATATATTTTTGAACTATTATCTTCTGATTTTAATAATATTTTAGATTTTATTTTGTTACTACTTTTCATAAAATTGATTATCGATAATGAATAAGTGTATACCAACTAAAAGATACAATTCTTATATCATTATTAAAATTCTCTGAAATCTCTAAAATGTATTTTATACCAGTGATTATTCCATTATTACATGCCACACAAATAAAATGTAATTTATTTTTATCACCTTGATTACTTATTCTTTAAATTACTAAAATATAAGTAACAATTTATAAATATTCAATTTCTTACATATGAATAAAACCAAATTCAATTATAAAATTATTGTAATAATTAATTTTATTAATTTTGTAAATATGTGAACATATATACACTCAATAATATATTTTATCATTGATAATTTATGTTAAAATTTGTGTCTGAAATGTTCATTCTTAGAAGTTATTATTTAAATAGAATCAGTGATAAATAAACCTTGAATATACAAATCAATACACAAAATAAATTGGAAGTAAATTTTAGTTAAAGAATAATTTTATGTAAATTAAAAGTACATTTTTATTATTCATTGAGGAAAGATATAATATTTATTTTTCAGGAAAATGTTATTAAATAATAATTGTATTATAGTTTTCATATATAAATAATATATTTTTATTTAAATTGATTGATGAAAGAAAAAAGAATATTAAAAACTAACATAATTGATTATTTTATTTTTAACTGGTACTTATATAATTTATAGAAGAACTGAAATATTGCTTTTAAAATAAATTAAAAGATCTTTTATTCTTAGAATTAAACTTTCATTTCTAAACATCAATATATATTGCTTAAATATTACTAACATTAAATTCATCTATCATAAGTAATAAATAATTCTTAATTTTTAAATATTTATTAAATGAATTAAGAATTACTAACAGCAAATCAATATATTATATATATATATATATATATATATATATATATATTATTGAAAAGTGATTTTACAAAAGTATGAAGTGGTCCAAAAAACAAGTTAATAAATTGGTATAATTCAACAATGAACAGTTTTAAATAGAGAAACATTTTTATTAGTATTTATTGACAATATATGATAAATGTAGGGGTCAGATATAATATTGGGCATTGGCAGTAAAGATTTCATTAAAATACACATTTACATATAAACGCAATTAATACAATATTAATATAAATATAAATATATATTATTACCCATTTACCCCTACTTTAATCAAACATTGTTCATAAAAGCAATTTAATACAATATCATTAGTCAGCATAAAATGTTGCGTATAAAATATTATTTGCATTACAATAATTAGAAATATTTTCAAATTTAATTACTTTTAACCAAAAATGTATTATTTATGTTGTGCAAATATATAGATTAACAAAATAAGCTTATTAATACATAACAAAATTAAAACTGCTGTTTCTCCTAACTCAATAAAGTATAATTACCAATGAATCTCAATAATTTATATAAAATGCATTATATTAATAACAAGCGAAACACAGTATATCATTATTTTTTAATTCAAATTCATATAATAAATTTTAATGAATCTTTATGTAGATCATTGTAATTAATTACATATTAAGTTTTTTTGCTGCTAAGAGATAGCTGAATAATTTTTCATTGTTAAACTAGATAAACTATCAAAATAAAAATGAATATCTTTTTAAGTAAAAGAGAAAATATAACCCACAAATAATATTATTAATGCAGTATTATTAAAAACTAGAATTTAATAAACATAGAATATTAAATTAATTTTGTTGTAAAACTTAGCTTTAAAAACAATTTTCTAAGTTTTAGACTAGGAGCAGAATATAATCAAACAATATTGTTATATACACATTTTTACCAAAAACCCATAGACTGTCCACCTGGAGGATTTTTTACACGGATACTCGACTTCTTAACAGGATCATTAAATTCAGCTGAAATTAATACATAGTTGAATACAAATACATTAATTTGTATAAAATATATGCCTACAATATTTATCAACTAATTAAATTAGTTATTCTTTTTATATGAATCATGATAATTATTTACTTACAACTAATTGAAAATGAAGAGCTTTGTAGATCACGTTGGCCTTCCATACGCATTCCTTTACCCGTATGTATCATAGAAGATTTTGTACAAGTAGATACATCACTTATAATACTTGATGGCGGAGAAATTTGTAATTTCGAGGTCTTTATATCAATTTCATTGTCGTGGTCATTATTTTCATACTCTTCTTGAACTTCAGATACCTTTGTAAACAAAATAAATATTTATAAAACATAAATTTTAAATTAAAACTTAATTATTTGTATGAATGTAACTGTATTAAATTTAATGGTATGTAATTAATTAAATACTTAGTTTTATTTCAAACTGTACGTAGGTAATTATTAAGTTTCAGTATCATAATATAAAATATTTGTAAAATGGTATTTATACAAAATAAAAACGAAATAAAATTAATCAAATGTTAATAATACATGTTAATAATACATTCTGTCAATTGTATTGTTTTATGATCAAAGTATATTCTTAAAACTATACTTAAATATTTTTACCATTCTGATCTAGATTATTTATTTTATTTTTAAATTCATCAAAATGAGTTATAAATCAATGTGCTTTTATTAAAACTGATCCATTATTATTATAGAAGTAAAGTATAAATATTTTTCACTAAATAATATAAAAAGACAACACATATACCTACCTAGTTCTCACTAATTAAAAACCCAGAATAACATCAATTTTATTCATAGTATTTACCTTTTCATTATTATATACAAATTCTGAATGTGTAGGCATGGGAATAAACTTTCCATAACCTTGAACAACTTTCAAGTTTCCTTCATCAAGACAAACGCGACCACCAACTAGTACATATTCAGGAACACCATGACATTCCATTCCCTAGAATTTTAATAACAAATTATAAAATTACATTTGTACATATATAATATATTTACCTCAAAAATATTATAATCAACTGCTTGGTGATGAGTCTTAGCAGAAATAGTATGCTTGCCTTTTGGATTCCATATAACAATGTCAGCATCAGAACCAACATCGATACAACCCTTAAAATTATTAAAATAATATTTATAATCATATGATTACATAAATCATATGTACTGTATGTATTTATTATCCCAGATTAAAAAAGTATGATTAAACTAACCATTCACATTTATTTCATGCATTAAGGCATACGAGTTTATTTAAAAATTAGATAAATAAATCAGAATATTTACATATAAAGAAGTTTATAAATTTAATAATTTGTATATTTTGATGCATGACTAAACTATCAAAAGTTATATATTTTTTCTGATATTATTTGAACTTAAATGTAATTATAGTATAATATAAGAAGAGTAATGTTACCATTAAAATTGTTAGAGAATTTCAATAAAACGTTGTATCAAATAATATAATTTTATAGATTTATAAATATATTATTTATTATTATAATAATAATAGATAGTAAAGATATACAGCAGTAGTATCATAAGCAAATATCGTTAAGTCTAAATATTATAAAATAATTATACTCAAATAAAAACTTCTAATTATTAAACTAATATAGTCATTTATTATTTAAAGTATATTATTTATATAAATGTATATTAATATTTCAATTATTATGTAGTAATATAATTATATTGATAAAGTAATGTTTACTTTTTGATAAATTTAAAAATAAATTTTAAATTTCAAATTCTACTTACCAAATAATAAAATTTAAGTTTATACTTAATATTAGTGTATATATAGTGTATTATAGTGTATAGTTAAGTATTGATATCTTTACTCGGTTTTTAATAGCTTTTATTTTATTTAAAAAAAAAAAAAATTATTAAAATTTCAAATATTTTTTTTTTACAATCTTTTAATTTTTTCTAAAAATTATTTTGTCAATTGAATAAATAAATAATTACATATTTATCTTACTTTTTTTGGATAAATATTAAAAATTTTTGCAGCATTTGTGCTGGTTATCGCAACAAATCGACAAGGATCTATAATTCCTGCTTCCACCCCTTTTTCCCAAATAACTGACATACGATCTTCAATTCCATTTACACCATTAGGTATTTTACTAAAATCATCTTTACCCATACATTTTTGATTAGAGTTAAATGTTGCATTATCACTGCCAGTGGTTTGTAAATTGTCACTGAAATAAATATTAAAACTCAATAATATAGACATTATAAGCAATTTGTTTGATGGATTAGATAAATAACCATAATAAAATTACCTAGCTAACATATTCAATAAAAATGATGGAGTGTTCGGATCCGACCTTAATGGCGGACTGAGAACATGAGCTGCAGCATCGGTCCAACTTGTTAATTTCTTATCATCCCAATGAGTTCCAACAGAAGCTGCTAATGTTTCACCAAAAATTTTAGCACTGCCATTTTGTTTGATTTGTTTAGTACGATATTTTGCTAAAACTTCAGCTGCTTGCTTACTCATTATATGTACAATATATAAGGGTGATCCAACCTATAAATACAATTTTTATTAATGAAATAAATTATATTTAATATTGCAAAACTAGCTAATAAAATAATATAATGTATTTAATTTGATCAAATCTGAACAAATATTAATTTGTTAATAAAATAAATCTTTAAATATGTTGAATTATATTTTGAGTCTAAATATTATTGAATACCGATTAATACTATTTTTTACAAAAAGTAAAACAAAATAATTAAATAAACAATTAATTATATTAATTTTATAGACGTTTTAAGATTAAATTATGTATTTAACCTGATTAGACAGTGTACAAGCTCTATTAACAGCTTCTGCTTCGACTTCTTCAGGGCGAGATAATCCATGACCATCAGGCCCATTAATACCAGACTTTAATAATCGTTTTGTGTTCTAAAACAAAATCAATTGAAAATATAAATTACTAGTTTTAGAACGGTATTACATTGCTTACTTCAAATATTATGTCCCCATTTTCTGCATGTACCATTGGAATTGCACCAAGCTCTTTACATGCTTCAAAAGTATTATAAAGATCAGAGTCATTCAACATAAAAACTCCTTTATATGCCATGAACATCTTGAATGAGTTAATACCATGTGATTTACAAAGATCTTCCATTTCTCTTCTTACCTAGATAACATAACAAAATAATTATCTACATAAAATCTAAATAATAAAAAATGAACAATTGTGGATGGTTTATCCTTGAATGTCTAATTTATAAATATATTTTTGTGAAAAAGGTATAAATAACATTTAAATTTGAAATTTTTTAAATAAAAATTTAAAATATAAAAAAAAAATCAACTCACCTCATCTGACCATGAAGGAATGCCAACATGTAAGCCATAATCACAGCATACTTTATTTGTTGCTCGTGTTCGCCATTTATGATATGCATCTAATAATGACTCACCCTTACTTGGTAATACAAAATCAACTGAAAAAAAAAAATACATCGTTGTTTTAATTGACTTAACTTTATATTAATATAATATACAGTACTTATCATAGTTGTTCCACCAGCTATTGCAGCTTTAGTTCCTTGATAAAAATCATCCACAGACACTGCTCCCATAAATTCTAATTCCAAGTGTGTGTGAGGATCTATACCGCCTGTAATTTGGTATTAATTATTTTTTTTTTTTTTTTTTGGTTTTAAATAATATTTTAAAAATTAAAAACAATATAATTTCAACCTATTCAAAATATTAAAAATGCATGTTATATGATGTTTATTTTTGGATAATATTATATTTAGTGTATAATATTGTCTTTAATACTTATCAATTAGATTTTAAAATATGAACATTATTTTTAATGAATTATTATAAACCAGAGACGGTTTGAACATATACATCTTACCGGGACTGATAAATTTAAACCACCCATCTATCATGAAAAAATTGTTCTGGATCTACATTATAACTGCTTTAACGTTGAAACATTAATTATGTACGACTAAATATGTTTATAAAAGTCCTGTTATACCTACTAAATTTTAATTTATTTAACAAAAATGTACCTAAAATATGTTTTTATCGGAGTATCATCCCGGTAGAAGGTTCTTACATCCGCCTTTGTCATAGACTAGTGTACATATCGTGGTAAGACTAGAAATTATATATTTAGCCTTAAGCTCTAACCGTGAAATATATAATATATATATAATATACGAGTATAATATAATATGTCTTAGGTTTTTTCAACAAAAAAGGTCTTATATAATATATAACTCGTGAGGAATATTCAATAAATTGTAATAAACATTTGAACAAAAAATTTGTTCATACGATTATAAACAATCCTAACAGAGTAATACAAGTGTCATTAGTTAATATATTTTATCGTCTAAACCAGCGGTTCCTAAACTTTTGTAAATTACGGACCACCCCTAATGAAAATTTTTTTAGAAATTGCGGACTCCCTTACTAATTTTTTTTCGACTACATTTTTTTTTTTTTTTACTAAACATCTCATGTTATTAAAACCAAAATTCTAATAATTATTTTATATAATAAATTACATTAGTAGACATAACAAAACGCACATAATTATAAATATTTTTATTACACTTAATTTTTCAGTTAATTTTAATTTTTTTTTTTAATATTCTTAAAATTTAATTTGTATTGGCTTAATGCAATGGTTACTATTATATTTGAAGCACAAGTCTTGGAACATCGTAAAAAGATAAGATTTATCTATTATATAATAAAAATATATGAAAAAAAATATATATTATATAAAATAATTAGGATTCGGACTTATAGCATTTGAACGATTTCGGGTTTACACGAAAATTATTTTATTTGATGTTATATGGCATACATAATACAACATAATATTATATAATTATAATGTATAAGATTTTTTTTAATTTTAAACTAAGACATAACGCGACCCAATCTTAAATTTTACCAAAATTGGATCGTGACCCAGCGGATGAAGACCAATGATCTAAATCAGCGGTTCTTAACCTATGGTCCACGGCCCTCTAGGGGTCCGCGATACTTATGTCGGGGGTCCGCGGTAGCCCTAACACATAACATACATCAATACATGACATGAGTGCATTATTATAATATTGTTGGATTAATATTATTAATTTTTTTCATTTATTTTTTATTTTATAATATTTATTTATTATCATAATATGATTTTATCACTATACGATGTTATAAAACTTATGTCTCAACCGTCACATTAAGCTAATAAAAATTACATTTTAAGAATATTAAAAAAAGAAATTAAAACTAAAATAATTAAATTTAAGTTAACTGAAAAATTAAGTGAAATAAAAATAATTATTATACTTTTGGTATTAATAACGTAAGATGTTTTGTAAAAAAAAATGTATTCGAAAAATAAATTAGAAAGGGGGTCCGTAATTTCTAAAAATCTTTCATCCGGGGTCCGTGATTTATAAAAGGTTATGAGCCCCTGATCTAGATGATTAATACCAATCGAAAGATAAAAAACCTGTTCTAATCAGAATGAAATACTTTATTTAGGCAATTAAAAATTATTGAAAATAATTATATAATACCAAACCTGATAAGTTCTATATACCGTTTAATCAAAGTTTAACTATGCATACATGTATATTTATATCTTCATTATTTAAACACTATTCATTGATTCGGTACGATTACATAGATATAGTAATATCGAAAAAAGTATAACAACAATAAATATAAATGTTATTTATTTCGAATAGCTAAAATGTTTTGTAATCGGTTGCTTTAAAAATAGTGAATTAAAAAAAACTAAAATCTAATTTGTACAAAATCTATGTACAAGCAAATATTGTAGATAAGTGTATTGTTAAAAAATTAAGTATAAATATTATACAAATATATTAATAAATTAAGATAAATCCAAGAAAATTTATCAGAAAAACGGAAGTTTTTATAATAATAATAATATTGATAAAAATGTTTAGGGAAAAAATGTTTATAGCTTTTTTCTATCATTCTACTCAATTTAAAATGTATGAAAAAAACATTATTCGCTCGAATAAATCAATTTTAATTTCAAAGCGACATTTTCAATTCATACTACCAATAGATGTTTTTCAAACAAAATTCTATTCTACTTACTCGTATTTAAAGCATATTGATCTACAATAAATATATTTAAACTTATAGTAAATCAATTTAAGTATTATATTAACTAAATAAAAAATATCCTATAATAATTTTAAATGTTTACGATTAGTTACTAAATAAAACACATAAATATTGATTGCTTAATATTTTTAAAAAAATTATGAAACATTTAATTTAAGTCAAATAATAAATGACGTTTTATTATCATATTGGCCTTTAAATTTATTCATATTCATTTCGAACTTCTTTTATACCTCAACTCGGTCTGGATTTCATGTCAAACAAATTATGTACGTCTCGATATTGTATATTACCCAGTAGAGAAGTTGTGCTTGGCGCTCCAATAGATGGTGATGACGTCAAAATAATTTACACAGTATAAACATTGCTGTAATAAGATAATTCTTTGTCATTGGTAAAGTAAAACATTTAATTTGAAGCTAAAAGCAGAATTAATTTCTTATAAATATTTCTTTTAAACGTGCAAAGCATGTCCCACCAGTTATTGAATTATGTATTGGATAATATTATTAGTATTACAAATATTTTTTATTTTATATTAAAAATTACCAAAATGCCATAGAATAATTAATAAAAAAATTAAAATGTATACTTAATATTATGTTATTTTAATAGCACCAAGCATCTATATATATATATGATATATATTTTGTAAATTGAATATTTTATATGCATATTAGCAGTGGCGTAGCCAGGGGGGGGCTAAGGGGGCTAAAGCCTCCCCATGGGCCGTGTTTATATGTATAATGTATCTTGACTATTTAATAGAATCAATGCTCGTTTTAATCAAAGGCTTATTGATATTATGCCACTTGAAGGACTTATTCCGGCCAATTTAAATATGTATGACGATAAAAATATTATAAAACCTGCTAAAATATATGTCCAAGATCTCCATGATGATACCTCATCTACAATCAGAGCTGACCTGTTCATATGGGGGCAACAATGGAGTCAAAATACTATTCCAAAACCGAATTCTGCTCTTGATTCACTCTCTCATCGCACCAATCTTCGACCTAACATTAAAATACTTTTACAATTATTCGCCACGTTACCAGTTACCTCTTTCACTCTGGAAAGAACGTTTTCAGCATTTAATCGCTCAAAATTTTTTTTAAGAAGCACCATGTCGGAAAACAGACTGAATGGGTTAGCTATGGCTAATATAAATAAAAAAGAGCAATTCGATGAAAGTGAAATAATAACTGAATTTGCCAGAAATTCGCCTAAGAGAATGCAGCTGTCAGAGTGGAGCAAGTGACTGAACACTGAAACCAAAATTATTATTATTATTATAAATTATATAATAATAAATATTTTAAAACTATACTAAAATGCTTGAATTACGTTAAGAAACTTGGTGGTAGATGGTGGGGGGTTAAGGGTGAATTCTCATATCCTCTTTTACCTTACTTATCCTAAAAAAGTGGTTAGCCCCCCCCCCATTTAAAAATCCTGGCTACGCCACTGCATATTAGTATATGTATAATCAACAATTGTAAAATAAGAAAAAAGCTTTATTTAGATAAATATTAGAACATTTCAACTGCCGTAAAATTTAGGATATTGAAGTACATTAAAATCAATAATAAGTAAAAAATTAATATTTTTAAAAAAATAAAATTACCGACGTGACTTAAAATTTTAAAATTATTTTTTAATCTACTAAATCAACGTTTCTCGTCCTCTTTTCATTCTCGTACCCCTTGACCACTCGTCATTGATTTACGCACCCACAATTGTCAATATTTATATTATCACATAGAACTATAAGATTATAAAATTAGTTTTAATGGAAAATAAATAATTATAAGCAATTATTTATTTTAATCCGTATGTACCATATAATATATATAAAAAAATTATTTTAATTTCACAATTAATTTTAAAGTAATCCTTAGACCTGTTTGGTAAAATTTAAATTTTGAAATCTGGTTCCATGGATGATAAGTAAACTCGTAAGTCTAAACTCACAATAAGTCTATAACGATTCTTGTTTTTAATGAAAGTGTATGACGAAAAAGCCTTTTCCACAAATACAGTGCTCGTTGTCAAACATTTTTTAAATAATTTATTAATTCAAATACATAATTTATTAAATGTTCTGTTATTATTCTTTTATTCCCGAGTATCTTCTCGTATCTTTTCGCGTACCACCAGGGTACGCGTAACCAGTGGCGTATCCAGGGGAGGTTAGGGGGTTATAACCCCCCCCCCCGAAAATGTTTAGTGTATGTATATTGTTTATTGATTATAATAAAAACACACAAAATTCAAAAAAAATTTAATGTTCCATTTTTTATAACCCCCTCCAAAAAAAAATTCTGGATACGCCACTGCGCCTAACACCGGTTGAGAAATGCTATACTAAATGGATAATTTTATTCCGTAGTGAAATTTTTTTAGAGGTTATTAGGATTGACAATTATATTTAACTTATGTCAAATGTTAGGTTGATATCACTATTAAAGTGAAATTAGTGCAAATATTTTTTAAAGTTAAAAGATAACAATTTAACAATATTTTTTAATTAATACTACTTCTAAAGCCATTTCGAATAATTTGAGAGTTTATTAAATTATTAAATTATTTATTCATTATTTAAATAAATTATGAATATGTATAACTATTTCCTTATGAATAATGTGACTGAATTAGAACTTTTGCAACAATTTAAAATTAAATAGGTATTAGCTGATTTTTAAACTAGTAATTATTTTCATGGTTAATATATGATATTTAACGTGATTGGTCAAAGATCATCCAAAAACATGAGTTTGAAAATCTTCCAAGCTTTTGTACTGACTTAGTGAACATAAATTTAAAAATTACATCATATTATTATTGTGTTTATAATTTTAAAAATTAAATTTAGGAAAATAATGATATTCAAATTGTTATTTGTAAAATGATAAAACAGTGTTACAATTTTCCTGGGTAAATCTGAATAAACTCGGTTATAAATTAGAATTTGTAATTCTTACCATTAACAATATATTTTTACCGTATCTTACCTATATTGTTTACTAAGAGGTCAGAATAATTGTTAAATTGTCAATAATAACCTTCTTTTGATAAATTTAATTACAATGAAAAATAATATAATGGTATAAAATCACATTTGAACCAGAAATTTAATTACTAAATGATTTATTAACTATCATTACTCATTATTACACACAATTTGTACATAAATATATATAAATTATATTATTTACCAATATAAGTAAATAAATTTTTAGTTTATGTTTATAGAATTGAAACTTATAACTTTACCACCAAAGACAAATACGTAAGTGATACAATAAGGTTATAATATAAAAATGCAATTTACAGCAAAATATTATAAATATTGTAGTATATAACATTACCTGGCATAACCAACATTGATGTTGCATCAATAATTCTTGTACCTCCTGGTATAATAAGATTACAACCAATCATTCTATTGAAACAAATATATAAATATCAATCGTAAAATTACAAGACGGCATTGTAAATCAAAATTTAATTCATAGGTAATATATTAAAAACGTATTTCATTTTCAAACTAGAAACTCTATACGTTTGCATATTTATAAGAAAAATATGTATTTAAATTCTAATTTGATAAAAAATGTGTTGCAGGTTATCTAGTTTTTATTTTTTACAATTTAATTTCCATATTTTTTACAGTTAGAAAGTTACTTATTACCATTGATTTAAAAATATCTAATATTTATTCTAAGATCGGTATTATTACATATTTTTTCTTATTATCACAATATTTTGAATCCATCGTTATTTTTTATAAAAATCTTAAGTAAAATCAACTTTATAATATTTAATGGTTAATGTGCAATGCAACAGATTGCAAACAAGAATACGCGAGATAATAACGAAACGAATATGGTAGCAGTGAAATCAGTATTTACTATTAATTTAAATAACTCGTAATATTACATGAATTTTTGATAAACCGTTCATAAATGGCTATATTATAAGAGGAACACATATACAACTATTTTTTGAGATTATTTTTAATTTATATTATTTTTTATATTCTAAATATGCTTCCACGGATGTCAGATGTAGAGAGATTATTTTCGCTGTATACAAATCAACTAATCGAAAATCGGAAGCAGTGGTGGCCCGTGAGGTAATAAGGTCATGGGGTAATGGAGGCTTATAAGATGCACAAATAATTTGTAAGATACCTATTTAGGTGGATAAAAAAATATAAATTTTACTATAGATAGGTACCTATGGGAATATATAACGCACTTATCAACACATAATTTTCCCTAAGCTCTTCGTCACGGTAAAATTAAAATAAATTGGAAAAAATAACTTTTTATGTATGAGACATAAACAAAAAATCTTGTTTCTATGATCGAAACGATACACGGATTGATAAAAATTAGTTCGGTGCACACATCAAATGTACCCCAAACGACTATGTATTACTACTAACCGACATGTTTATGCATCATAGGCGTATGCAGATTCCTATTTCCAATGTGCTTTTATTTTATTTTTTTTTTGATCACCCACCCCCCTTAAAAAAATAAAATAGATATATAAAATATAAGTAAGTAGGAATAAAATTCATTAGAAAAACTGATGTGCAATCTGATTATCAATGAACGCCAGTCTTGGCAATTATTATTTTTTTGTAATTTAATAAAATTGATAAAAAAAACTTTTGATTTTCCAAAAAAAAAGAGTTATTAGCCCTTTTTACCTAAGTACCTAGTACCTACCTAAAAAAGTCTCAGATGTGGCTATAGCCCTAAGAGCCATACCCGTGTGCACGCCTATGCTCACATGTAGCTAATTTTTATATGAACGCCCGTAGCACGACAAACGTGTGCTCCGTTAATTATTTAATCTCTAATACAAACTTCTCAATACGAAAAGCTGCAAAAACTTTTTTTAACAAATATATTTGTTAATTACAGACTATTTGCATAATAAACGATTATAATTTACTATAGGAATCTAATAGTTTTTTATATAATTTGTCTGAGTGTTCATGTGCCCTATGCACCACAGCACAATCCGCCACTGACCGGAAGTAATTTAAATAAAATGTGCGTCAACATATAATTATCCAATACAATTCAAATCACAAGTAAACTTTAATTTTTTTTTTTATTTTAAAAAAGCATTCAATTTATTTTATTCCTTATTTTATGTTTTTAATGAACCGTAATACAAAATATTACATAGGTACTTATAAATATGTAATATTATACTTTTATATTAAACAATTTATTTACATTACTTTTTAAAAATACATACCTAATGATGCCATCTTCAATATAAACATCACTATCGAACATTTTGTCTGCATTAATAATTTTTCCATTTTTTATCAAAATACGATTTTGAGAGCTCTAAAAAATATATGTAACATTATTTGCAAAAATAACAACATCGTTTGAAAATTACAATAATTTTATCCATTTATTTAATTGAGTTATTTTTATTTATGATTAAACTATATTTATTGTAGAATATAATAATTACAACTTATGATTAAAACAAAAATATTTATTATTCAGGTTTAAATACATATTTTACTTTGGGTGAGTTCCTATTGCAGAGTAATTTAATTTATAATAAAAATAGCAGAGTGGTACATAGAAATTATAAAATTATGGCGAGTATGTATCAGGAACAATTAAAAGTTTACCTTCAATTAAACGAATTTACAATTTTTCAGTACGCTTTATACTAATAGTATGATTAAAAATTTGAAATTTTCGAAAAATCAGACAGCTTATAAGTTTAATAAAAACATAATCCATTCGAAATAATTTATTAAGAATGTTTTGAAGACCGGATAGGGTATTATACTAGTAACCGCCATGATGTATTTATATTATTTCACACGCTACACAATATAGTGTTAATTTATTTGCATAATACGACACGGTCCACAGATTAAACTACTATGTAGAAATAGGGTTATTAAAAAATTAACTTTCAAACATTAATAACACATTTATTTTTTAACAGTAACTCTGCTTATACTATATAACATGTATATATATTAAGTACTTTATTTACATTGTTAACAGACAAAAAATATTTTAATTAAAAAGCCAAAATCAATAATAATATGAAATTGTATACCTGTAAATGAATAGGAACTTTCTTCACAGGATTCGTCTGGTTGGCCATATTTTAATCTAAAACAAATAAATTTGTAAAATTATGTAATTCAATATTAAATTTTCAATTATAACAATAATTTTACACATTGTAAATATTTCAATAAATATACTATAAATATATATATATATATATTTTTAATTGGCATAGAAAAATGAAAAAATATAAATTCCAACTAAATGAAAAAAAAATAAAAATATTTCAACAAGTATTTAATCAAGGTTTTACACCAAAAAAAGTATGATATTTTAATTAAATATATAAAAAAAATGTAACAAAATTGTACAAAAATCTTTAATAACCAATAAAATAATAAAAAATAAAATAAAAATTACTTAGTAAATAGTTAATACTCATAAATAAATAGTTTATTTATTTATTTATTTCTAAGTATAAACTATATATTTATACTATTATAATTGTTAATATATATTCACAATGTTTATTTATTAATACAATAATTAATAAATTAATAAGGAAATATTGAAAATATTTTGCCATTATTAATTAAATTAAATTATGTAATAGTATTTTTATAAATTTAATATATAAGCATTTTAGAATATGAGATGAAATAAAATAATTATTGTAGAAATAAAGGTAAAATTATAAAAAAAAAAGATAAGATTAGATAAAGAGAATTTTTTAGTAACACATGTATAGATCATAAAAGAACATGCATATTTTTAATGCTATTTTTACTATAAAGTTTACTATATGAAATATGAATTAATGAAAATACAACAATTAATCAATGTCTATAATAGTGATTCCCAAACTGTAAGGCGCACCTTCCTAGGGAGACACAAGCACTTATTGAGGGAGGCGCAAGGCAAATATTTATATTGTATATTATACTATTATATATTTATTTTTAGATTGACAGTAATTTGTTTTTATTAAAACAATAAAAAAAATGTTGTGTTATTTCTTCATGGGACTCACAATTATATTTCTTTTATTTAGGGGATGTGTAAACTAAAATAGTTTGGGAACCGTTGATCTATAACTTTAAAAAAAGACTAAGAATTGTTTGTAATAAAAAAAAAAAATGAATTTACAATGTAATGTTAAACTTAGTTAAAAAAAAAAACACAACATTTAAATACTTTTAACAATATATACACATACTTTTATAGATGTATAGGTATACAAATTATTACTTTTTTAACATTTTAAACCAATAATAAATTTAATTCTTGATATTATTTATTTATAAATTATAAATTCAATATATGATGTAATTGTTAAACAATACCTATAGCTTAATATAAATTATCTATTGTAATATTACATAGACGAAGTAATATCTGAAATATTAATATATAATAATTTGAACGATTTAATTAAAAAAGTAGATATTTTTAATTGTAAAATTAACGTAAAAATAAAATCAATTTATTAAAAAATATGTAACAAATATTTATAACCTATAGGATTCAAAGAACATAATTGAACATAATATTATTTAAAGTAATAAATGTAATTGCTTTTCATAATATATATAATTTATTATTTAAATTCCACTAAGTTAATTTGAATCTTTAAATTAACTATCTGTCATATAAGTAAATAGAAATAATATAGGTAATATTATTAAGTTCTTCAAACTTACAGTTAAGATAAACAAAATAAATATAAATAGGTAAGTACATAATAATTTTTGTACTTCAAATATTTGAGATTTTAAATTTTTACATTTTTACATCAGAAGGAGGTATTTATGAAAATTATAAACATTTCAATTTATAATAAATAGAAATTTGAGATCAGAATTTGAAAAACAAAAATTCTAATTTGCTAATCTATAACAATAAAATAAAATAATAATAGTCACATTTAGAAAAATGTATTTAAGTTTGATCTTATTAATTATTAAGAATTTACTGCAAAAATATAAAGAATTTAATTTACTTAACTATACACACACATTTATATAGGAACTCAAAAACCTAAACCTAACTTTTTTTCATTGTAGCAATATTAATTTCTGAAGGCATAAAATTTATTTATTTATTTAATAAATATTAAGACAAGCAAAAATAATTATATTGTATTACTATACATGGATCATGATTTTAATCTTGTTTATATTTTGGGTTTGAAACACCAACACTTCTGTTATTAACAAGGAAATATTTTAATAGCAATCAATAAACTAATAAAATGGTTTTTTTTTAATTTTTTTTTATTGTACTCCCAAGGCTATTTTCTTTTAGCCATTTTCCAAGGATGCTAACTTGATATTATTTAATGGCTAAACTGTCAAAAGTAACTAATATTTTAAATTACTATTGTAGTATTACACGTGTTAGCTTAAAGGTACAATTAAGTAACTATTGTACAAAAATAAAAATAGTTTTAATACAACTAACCCATATTTTAGTTGTTAGCTATTAAAGATAACTCAAGTGTCTCACACATTTTTCATAATATAAAATACCAGGACAGCACTGTTTGTATTATTTATAATAGAATTAAAGTAGGTCATATTTAATTTAAAAATGTTGGTAGGCTTACAAATTGCAATATTGAAGCAAAGTCACTATTTAAAGTGACTTTAATATAAAATTAACTAATAAAAATAAATCATTGAATAATGATAAGAATATAATTTCAATAAATAAAGTTATTTATTTAAATCTTGATAATAATATAAAAAAAAAAGTATTCATAAAAAGAGGTAACCTGAGAACTTGCAAACTTAAACGACCATAGATAAAAATCAAAACTAATTTATTTCAAAATGTTAAGCCTTATTTCAATAGCGTAATCAAGGTTTTTAAATAGGAGGAACCAAGCATTTTTTTAACACGTTAGGTAAGGCTTTGAAAATTCTAAATTGGTATCAGAGATTAAATTAAATTTTTAATTTAACACTAAATTATATAAAACATGTAATTTCAAAAAAAAAATTATTTATTTATTGATAAAAAACTTAAGTTTAAATACATATGAATTATTTTTTAAATTTTTATAATTGTACCTATACAACATACTAGCAATGCCTGTATGTTCAAAACAAATAAATTGATATTTTCAAAGTTTTTAACTGACAATTTGATGAGATTAAAAATTAAAAATAATTCACGAAAATAGTAATCGTTTTTATCATAGTAATAATAATTACACGTAAAAGCAATTCAAGTAAATTTCAATCAGATTTACTTATTTTTTCCAGTAATTTAAACAATACTTTTTTTTAATGTTGGGTAATTTTTTTAATTTTTAATTTATATACGTACATAAAAGTTATGAAATAGATACTTAATGAAAATTTAATAATAATAAAACCAAGTCCAATTATTTCATACTTTTGTATCATGTTACTTGTGTATAAAGTGTAATATCTGTAAAAGATTTACTCTAGCTTTCGAAACCTGTTCACCCAGAGATGTATTTTTGGAGGAGATTAACCCCCCTATCCAAAAGAAAAAAATTTCAAAAGTCATAAATGAAATACGAATGTAGGTACAAAGAAAGAGAACATTAATATAATTGTATATCATAAATTTATATCATGTGGTTGTAATGTTTGTATACCAATATTTGTATTATAATATTATAAAATTATTTATTTTTTAGAACAATTTAAAATTTCCCCCTCTCCCAAGAAATGTTTTTAAAATACGATACTATGTACACCAGTATATGTATTTGACAGAAATAAATTGTGAGGTAGTACTTTAGAGAAACATTTTTATCCAGTATTATATATATATATATACTTACTACAAATAAATGTAAAATTTAATCTGAATAAGTATTGGTTAATAATTATACCAAATTACCAAGCAGGGGCCAATATCTTAACGAAATATGGTAAGAAAAAAAAGTATTGCTTAATATATTGGTGCTACTCTCATATGCGGACTACAAATGCATACGGTCTACCATCATAAATGTAAACCGTTATCGTAGCAGAAAAAATAATTATTTAATAAACACGTACATCCACTAAAAGATAAAATTGGTCAGATAAAATGTTCTGATATATACATGTCTTGTATTAAAATATATATTAGGTATATATATATATTAGATACACATTAAAAGATATATATTAAAGGTATATTAAAAGATAAAATTGTTGATATACCTAAACCTACCTACAATAACAATGCGACATTATAACGAATTTAATAAGTTTGTTAGTTACGTATTGGTTGTCGATTTTGTTGTACTGCGTTTATATTTGTGTCCGTTTTGTATATCGTGTGCATTATGCAATTAAAGGATTTTTATTCGACTGTCGCAGAGTGAAGAGAATGCCACTGCTTCTTTGAGGAAGTAAGGTTTATTAAACACTGCCGAAGAAACATTATCATGTCATAAGTGTGAATCTGTATATCGTAAATTTTTTATTATTTTTTAATATTGTGGTTTTTCATGTATTTTATGTAGATATATTATTATTAATACATTATAATTTTCAAATTTGAGCTAATAAACATATATTATAATTATGAACATAACGTATTACAATATAAGTATATACAAGGTAGACTTGTGCATACGTGAGCAGCAACATGACGGTAGTCCGCAAATGAGAGCTGCACCAATATTTTTATACAACTTATGTTTAATATCATAAACATATGTCAGGGTTATTAATATATTTTCGATCTATCTAGTACAATAAAATTAATTATTACCAAAATTATTATCTTATGAAATAAATACATACAAAATACGTGGTAATAAAAATATTGAACCCCTCCCCAAAAAAATGTCTACCACGCCCCTTTACCAAAGCATGGTATTTCATACATTCATGTTATGGTGAGTAGAGTTGAGCATTGGTCGAATAAAAAATTATTTATTTATTTTTCATTTGATTATTCTAGTTTATTGTTATACAACATTTAAATTTTTACGATTATTCGTTATTCATTATTGTACGGGTTATTCTGGATTTTTGTATTCATTAATTGGTTATTTATTATTCAATTATTCGTTATTCATTATTTCTCATACCTAATCTCGTTGATCTCAAATTATTCGTAGATGACTTGAAATTCTAACTTTATTGAAAATCGAAATTAGTAGGTATTTCGTATTTATTGTTATAAATACAAAACACCGATTTAACCGATTTATATATTTATTTATATCATCTACTATCGACAAATTCTTAAATTATATTGTTATAAATGAGGGGCTATTCTAACTAGTTTAGTTCTCACTATCGACATGGAATTTAATTTAATTTTATTTTTGATTAATCAAAATTTATTTACAAACTAAACTAACTACTCAGATTTTTTTTGATTTTTTATTCATAACTAAAACTAGTTAAAATAAAATATTTTATTCTTTATTCATAAAATAATCAATATGTTAAAAATACCTAAAATTATATACGTACACATTAAAAATTTGTTATTTTTATTCATAGCTGATCCACATAAAAAAAAATCAACAGTCGATAGGTTAAGTTAAGCGTGTTTAGATTATATACACACAAGAAAAGCAGAAAAAATAATAATTTTTGATGTTTAAGGATTTAGCGTGATAAGCAAACCGTATGACGATATTTTTTATTTTAATATATGTATTTTATATATTATAAGTTATATTTGAAAAAAAACACATAAAACTAATTTCCCAATCATAATTGAGCTTTAGTAAACAAAGATAAATACAATAAAACCTGTCTAATATGGAAAGCTATCTTTTATGAAAATTGATTAATTGGTCCCGGTGACTAATACATTTTTAAATACATCATGTCCAGGGAAAGATGAAACTTGTCTAACGTGAAAATGGAAACATTATTTTCGTCTTGTATCTACTTGTTTATCATGAAAATACCTATTTTAAAATTATCAGTTAGTAAATATAATCTAGATATATCAATTAAGATTATTTAGTTGCACTACATTTATTTTTACATTAGTATTGTAGTAGTGTTTTGTACTTATAATAACGCCGTGAACTGCATCCAGTTTTTATATTTACATATTATTTTTAATTGTTTGTACGTCAAAAATCAATAAATGTTTAACTTTAAATGAAAAATTAAAATTGAATCGAGTGAAAAAATTAAATTATTAGTAAAATAAAATAGTGAACTTTTTAAGTGTGGAAAAAGTTAAATGTATAATATACTAAACTTTAGTAATTAAAGCAAAACAAAATAAATAAAGAGCAATAGATGAATGGTAAGCTTAATCACACAAATTAATGTAATTTTTAAAATATAAATCTATTTATAATAAAAAGTTAGTAAAATTTAATAAATAACAAAGCAATAGGTATAAAATAATAAATATTTATTGTAACACTTTTTGGTGTTCTGTATTAACCCTTTCCGTCATACATTTTTATTTTTAAAAAAAAAATTTTTTTAACTATTTTAAATTAAACTTAAATTTTAAAAAATGTTAAAGTTGGTCCTACATTGATCTTACAGCCTGATCTTGAGATATAATGTGTCCTCTCAAGAGGACAAGACGACATAAAAATTTACTGTACATATTAGACTGATCCCGCCTAGAAGGTGTATGAAGAAAACTACCCTTCCGTCCAAGTAGACACGCCTTTGTACAGCATCAAATTGAATCGCATTGCTTTAGAAATAAATGGTAATGTAGTGAAAACTTTCCGAGGCGGAATTACATTGGGTGAAAATGTTGTTTGGGTATTACTCTACCGACTAATAAGCTATTGACGAATTAATTAATTACATACAAAATCAAATTAGATAAAGGTTTTCATAATTTCCGGAATCAGTCTTGAGAAATGTTTAATGTGTTAAGGCACAAGAAAATCGTCGTAATCGTTTAAAACCAATTTATACGATGTAAATTAAAAATAATTTGAGTAAAACTTACCAGATACGTAAAATTACGTTCTAAATCGGGTAGACGTGTAAATAGAATTTATTTATGTCGGTAAAAATTATTAGTAGTAATAACTCTCGTTGGGTATTGATCGTGAATATCGGCGATGATAACAAAGAAAATCGGTTATAGAATAATAAAATGTTAATAATAAATGCTTGTTGTGCGATAGCGGGCTGAACACGGGACAGCGGCGACACACGTACTGCAGGTGTACGGAACCAATTACTACTACGGAAATACGGTCCGTATACGTCGGACGGTGTAATGTACTCGATACGCCGCCGCCGCCGCCGCCACCGTTATCAAGCAACGATAGATATCGGTTTGCGGTTGTGCGAGTGAGTTCGTATGCGAACGGAGTGGTGTATGTGTGCGCGTGTTACCCGGGTTGTACGAGCGTGCGCGTTTGCATTTAAGCCGCGTTTACACGACGACAGTTTAGAGCGACAGTAACTATCGTGAGATCGTCATCGTGTAAACGTTATATAGGAACTATTATATTGTGACGGAACCATCAAGCGATAGTTGTTAATACAATCGCGATAGTTCTTCCGTTCTGTCGTCGTGTAAACGTCATCGTGCAACACTATCATGATCGGCGGATACCCATCGGCTTCGATCGAGCGTTCCGGTGACCGTTGTTTCACGTCAAAAGTACGTTATTATCTGCTGTAGTTTACCATATCATCACACGTGAAATTGTAATCGTGGTCAACAAGTGCCAAAATATCGATGCTAAATGTGCCTTTGGTAGTTAAATTAATTTCATCCGCTACGTGCTGGGCAGTCTAATATAATAAGATTTCCAATAAATACTTGAAAACTCCAAGTGAAACTGGAAAAACACATCGGAACATTACACATGCACAATGAACTGTTACGCCGTGATAAGATTATCACACTATCGTCTTGTGTAGGGCGTGGATACTTCTCTTTCACGACAGTCAACTATCGGGCGTTGTCACGATAGTCACTATTGCTCCAATCCATCGTCGTGTGACCGCGGCTTAAAGGGTGGCGCAAGTGTGCGCGCGAGCGCGTACGCACCCGCCCGTCCGTGCCGATGTGCGTGCGTGCGTACACTTGTTACAATCATTGATTGAAGGAAAAACAACGGGACCTCCACGAAATAGATGGCGCTGGAAAACGAGGCTGTTGCACGGATTCGAGTCGCCTGGTTCATAAATGTACGCGTTGTAACGACACTGGCGTACAGTCGTTGTGATTTGTTAGTTTTTTTGCTGTCTTGTAACCTACAAACTGAGTACCTATGGTAACCTATATCGCTGTGTTACCGGCCCCAAGTGCCTACAACTGACCTACATCGAACGGTTTTCGATTAGCCCCGTGAAATTACACCACCGTTTCACATCCGGCCAACGATATGATGATCCGTGCGCGATACGCTTCTTTGCTGCCCGTCGCAGTATATCACTGTATATAAAAAAATAAGACCGTAAAAACGGACGCGCGATACGATTCATAAGCGGCCGAGGGGTTGACCGTTCTAGACCAGTGGTTATTCTAAATACGATATGTCGATTAAACGTATTCGATCCACACGATAATCGCTATTTAGAAGTCACGCAAAAATGCACAAATTTGCCAGTCTTTCGACCTTAGTCTAGGACGGGGGGGGGGGACCAGCTGGCGCACATCTTTTTTTCTCACTATTATTCGACCCCCAATATGATTTTTGACGTAACTTTATCAAAATATCAAACGATTTTTATTTAAAAAGAAATACGCATTATTTCAACCAATAGTGTAATAATTTGAAAACTTTTTACCCAGGCCTTCCTCGAAGTGATGTAGATGAAAAGATATTTATAAATGCCTATTACAAAATATACACTGGTCACTGATAGCGATGTCAACGATATATCGTTATATTCTGTGTATATTTTACACCTACTATGTATAACAAAATTATATTGTAACCTATATCGACATTATTCGTGATTTTATGTTTGGTGGCTCGCTAGAAGATAATTGCTTACCAAAGTGCCCTGCCAAAGAAGAAAGGTTGGGCATCACTTTTCTGGACTGTAGCAAATTCATGACCCACCCCAAATAACGTCACTGCAGTGGCGGCGCTAGGCGTGGTTGATGTGGGCCATTATCCACGGCCTCGCACCTCAAAGGGCCTCGCATTCTTAAGGGCTTTATAATTAACCATAAAGAAATATGGGAGAAGTATCTATACAAAAATTAATGTATCTATGAAATTATTCATAAAAAAATCATAAACATAATAATTACATATATAGGTACTCGTCAATAATTCATCATATTAGAATACAATTTTGTACCAATGTAGTTATTTTTTGTTACTATTGTATATTAAAAATACATTATATGAGCGTCAGTTAAAATTGGAAACATGATTTATTATTTCTAAAAATCATAGGACAATTTGACAGAAACAGTATTGTCAGTATTAAACTATTAATGTCTAATGGTCGTTTCTTGGAATTCCTCTATAGTCAATACATGTATTGAGTATACTATTGTTGCCGAATGTTATCTTTCGTCATTAGTCATTACTAGAGCAAGGACTTTCATGCATTAAAAAAATCATCAAATATGAATTTAAAAATATGCTCTTATGAATCAAAAAAACTAAAAATATGCGGTTAATTATGCTCTTAAAAAAATTAATTTTATTATTATTCACTATAAGTTTTAACTAGATTTATTTTATTAAATTGATTTGGAATCTTTTTTTGAATGTTGGATCCTAATCTTCTTAATTATTATTCTGCACCTAATAAAACAAAAAAGGTATTTTAAAATAATTGTTGAATTATTCTCAAATATTCACCTTACCTAAATTAGAATTGCACTAAATTATTAAATACACGAAACTAACACACACGCAGTAAATCTTTTAGAACTAATTTAATCTATCCATTAACTATAGATAGTTGATACTATCGTTTTTAATTTATCATTATATATTCAATTTGTAAAAATACAAAAATAGACATAATAAATACCAGGGTTGAAACGTTTAATACGGTATAGTATAAAACACGTATTATAAGTACGTATAAAACGTATAAAACATATAGTATAGAACACAAAATTATATACGTTTTATACTGTATAAAAATTAATTTATAATATTTAAAGTTCAAATTAAACTTATTAAACTAACTATAAAATAAGGAAACATACATTATAAATAGACAATTGTGGTGCTATTATATATTAATAATTATCAGTATCTTATCGCAGACATATTTATAGTAAATCCATTGTACTTAGAACTTGTGATATTTATAACATTTTCAATATTTTTTTTTTTGTTGTCATTCGATTGAAAATAGGTTTCTGCCTTCTGGTATAGTATATTATTTATATTTTATTATTACATTTCATTAGTCTGTGTCTTGTTATCGTCGCGTTCGCACGTTATTGTGTTATACACAAACACAATTTTGAATATAATTCAATATAATTTTATTATTTTGTAAGTAATTTAAAAATTCAAATAAACAAATATGACTGTTCGTCCAACACATAGTGGATGGGATGTTAATTATATATGGCACAAAGAAGAAGCAAAAGGTAAAAAACGTTAATTAGTGTATATAATAATTACTTAAAAAATAAAATAATACAAAATCTAATATATATATATATATATATTATTAATTCATAGGTAAACAATTAGCAAAATATTTACTTTGTTCAAAAATATTGTCCAATACGAGTAAATCACGTTTATTGATGCACCGTAATACTTGCAATACTTCAAAATTATTCAAAATAGTTACAACAGGAATTAAAAAATCTACTCATTCTACTGCTACTAAAATTATCCGTAATGAAGAACCGCCAGTATTAAAAATAATGGGTAGAGCATCTTTTCCTATCTTACCAGTAGCGTCAAGTTCAACATCTGAAACTCAAACTCAAGGTAAACGTAAACATATAAATATATTTGAATCGGATTCAGAACCAGATGATCCATTTAATAATGCAAATTCATCTACTACTATGCCTAATTTAAGTTTAAATACATCCACTGTATGCTTATCGATTCCATTAGAAGCTGACAATGATGTTCAACTCGCAAGTTTTTCACGTGAAAAACAATTAGAAATGTCTAATTCTAATGATACTATCATACTTACTCCTGAAAGTTTTACCTCAAAAAATTCTGATACATTCGTTACACTAAAAAATAAAAATAAACAGCAGGATACTATTCAACGTTACCATGATAAAATAACAAATGCTGAAATTGATTTAGTTAATTTTAAATTGGGAAAATTGTTTTTTGGATGCAATATTCCATTTTCTGTAGTCGAATCGGTACATTTTAAAGATTTTTGCCAATCATTAAGACTCGCATATAATCCACCATCACGAACTACCCTATCAACTCGCGTTTAAATAAAGTACACGATAGTTTTTGTGCAGCTATAAAGTTTCATTCAAATTCAGCTCTTCTAATAAATAGTTGGAAAAATGAGGCAGCTAATATAAAAAAATGTTGCTTGTTTACTGCATAGTTCTAATGGCGAAGCACTTTTCTTAGAGTCTTTTGATTTAACCGGTATTAAAGAAACTGCAATAGGAATTTCTAATATAGTGTACAAAAGTATATCTTTAGCTTTAGAAAAACACAGCACTTATATTTACACAGTAATTAGTGATAATGCGGCAAATATGATAAAAATTAGTAAACTTTATGAGTATAAAATTTAATAGGAAAAGACTTATTTTTTATGTATACAAATAGTCCATACTATTAACTTGGCAACTGAAAATTTTACTTAAGAATATGAATATAAAAATATATTATATTGATATATTCTGTCTGTAGCAATATTTTTTATTATTTTCTTTTTATACGTTTTATACGTGGGGTATTATACGTGTAACGTATTAAACGTTTTATACGCGTATATTATCAACCCTGATAAATACTGACCATTATTATTATTTCAAAATAATATTTATCTCTATCGTTTTTATAAGTTTATAACAAATTTTTAACCTTGATTCATGAAAAATATTCACCAAAGCGCTTGATTTTCGATAAACCATCAAAATATGCACTAAAAGCTTAAAATATGCTCTTATAATAAAAAATATGTCCCTTAAACCAAATAATGTCCAAATATGCAAAAATATGCACAAAAAACTTTGAGTATTTCATCATAAACGTTATGAAATGTATTTTGTTCTTACCAAGCATACGATAAAGTTAACCAAAAAAAATATGCAAATGCATTTCTAAACAAAACCAGTACATCAACAACTACAGACTTAGATGAATCTAATGCCAAAATGGATTTAAATGAAGGAACTTTATCCAATAAAATTTCAAAATACAATGAAGAATTGACAAAAGAAGTTGAAACTAAGTCTAATCTTGAAACTTCTCCGCCAAAAAATACTTTTGAAAATAAAGAAATTACTCTTTATGTTAACTATAATATAAATAATATTTGCAAAATAACTCATCAAATATATAATAAAAAATAATTTAAAATAAATATATCCAAATATTTATATAACAGTCAGAATTGTGCTCACTATTCCTGTCAGTACAGCTTCAGCAAAAAGAAGCTTTTCGAAGCTTAAAATAATTAAAAATTACTTACGAAATGCGATGACACAGGAAAGACTCTCAGCCATTGCCGACGCTAAGGGAGGACAAATGGGACATTTGACCAGGGTCTCGCGCTTGTTAAAGGGCCCCTTGATTTTTAATTATCATCTTAATACCGTGAGACACATTGATATTTTATATCAACAAATTATAAATCTATATTATGCCTATCATCAGTTATTTGGAAAATGATATCTAAATTTAGCCATAGTACAAATTACAAAGTAAATCGTTATTGATACGACGAAAGCGTAATATTTTGACGATATCCGTCGACAGTGGCGGCGCCAGGGGTGGGCCAGGGCCCACCTTAAAAAGTCTCGAGCCCCCTTGTGGCCCACCCCAAAAATTAAATTTAATCATATTATAATACTAAAAAATATCTCATGAATAAATCATTATTTATTAAAATATGAAAATATTAAGTCATAATAGTTAGATGACGTGAACAACATTTTGAATGGGTTGAAAACTATGCACTATGCTTTCAAGCCTTATAAATAACGTGTATTTTCCAGCGGCTGAATACGAAAATAATAAGTTTTTTTTTTTTATTTAAACTTTGTGGGTACAATTAGTTTCAACAATTACAATTAAAAATACAATTACCATAGAAACAGTACAGTATAAGATTAGATTAAAAAGCCTGAATGGTTAAAGAAAGATATTATATTTATTATGATGTTTTTTTGTTGGTTTGAAAGTATACTTATAAGGTCGAAAGTGATGTTGGAGGTATTCAAAATAGATAATAGGTGGTCACGATGTGTTGATAAGCTGGGACAGATGAAGAGTAGATGGTTAATATCACAGACCATAGGGTCATTGTATAGTGTACAGAGAGGGGAATCGTCCAATGACAGTTTAAAGGAATGAGAAGGAAGTCGTGTATGGCCAAACCGGAGGCGAGAGAACGATATTATGCATTTTCGAGAAAGATCGATGTTATGAAACCATGGTAGTGTTGGAATGGTTGGAGATATCTTTCTGTACCAGGTGGCGAAGTAAGGAGGGAGTGAGACCCAGTGTCTAAGCCAAAGATTAGAAGTACAGGACCTAAGGATGAGGATAAAATCAGACCATAGAATTTTCATACTTGGAGGGCATTTGAGTGAAGCAGAGAATTTAGCTAGCTTGTCAACGAATTCGTTTCCCGCAATTCCAGTATGGCTTGGTACCCATATGAATTGAATGTCCAAGCCAGATTCTATAAGGGAAAATAAAAAATGTCTGATAGTGATTATAAGAGGAGAGAGATGTGATTTGAAAACGTTAGAAGAGAGAGCTTGAAGACAGGACAGAGAGTCAGTGGCGATGAGATAATTGTTTGAAGATAAGGATGAGGCTCTGTTGAGTGCCTCAATAATAGCGAAACATTCAGCTGTAAAAGAATAAAAAAAAAAAAAAAATAATAAGTTATATTTATTAATTATTAAATATTAATCAATGTTATTAATAATTTTGTTGAAAATTCCATGAACTACGGGTTTAGATTATTAACCAACTATGATAAAGAAAATACAATGGAAAACATTCTATTTTTAGATACTTTTGAAATAATATTGTATTGTCTAGTTGTAAAGAATCAATAACAGTTTAATCGACGGCAATGCGCGAGGTACTGTTATCTACAATCTACTGTATATTTTTAATTTTGTATAATCGTATATTCGTGTATGTAGTTTATACTATTCTATGTTTTGTGGTCATTTGACAGTTGATTTTGTTCTTGATTGTTACTAAACTGTTTGGTGTTTAAGGTATTTTACCGATACGATTTTTCGCCATTTTAAATTAAATCAATATTTAATTAATTATTTGAACGTTTTAACTCGTCATCATGTCAGAAAGCAATATCGAAAATGAGACTATTAAAACAAAAAAGGTCAGATCTATAAAATATTTTTTTTCTGCGCCTAAAAAGATAAAATTGAAAGTAAACAATGCATCTGATTTTAATTCTTCTTCTGATGGTAATTTTTTTTAAATAAATATTATGAGAATTAATAATTAATATTAAATCATACCTAATGAACATTTTAGCAATGAATCCGAAAACTACAAAATTTGTAGTAGATAAAAATATTTATCATTTGACTGTTGGTGATTGAACATAATACAACTAATACACTAATACAGAGTTTTCAAAACCATTTAAAAAGTAAGTTGACAAACACATTATTTAATCATATTCAAATAAAATTAAATAAATTAAGATTGATATAAATAAATGTGTTGCACAGACATATGATGGAGCTAATTTTATGAGAGGTTCAATTAATGGAGTTCAAGTTTTATTTAAAAATAAAGTTCCTCATGCTTTTTATATTCGTTGCCACAATCATCGTCTTAATTTAGTTCTTGTAGATGTAGCAAAAAATGCAGATGAAGTAAATTTTTTTTAAATTTTTTACAAGATTTTTATAATTTTATATCTGGATCTTAAATTCAATCTAAGTTTATTGAACTTCAAATACAAATTTTAAAAATTCCAAAACCAATTGAACTTAAAAGATTATGCCTTACTCGTTGGTCATCTCAAATTCATACAAGTCGAGCTGTTAAAGCTACTTTGAAAGTTATATTGTTGATATTATATAAGATTTCAAATGAAAAAAAGTATGCGTTCCTCAGAAGCTACTGGTTTACTTAAGAACATAGATTTTAAATTTATATATTTATTACTTTTTTTTAATGATTTACTTTCCCAATTTATCTTGTTGACCAAATATTTACAAGATAAAAATGCTGATATGGCCAAAGCAATTATATTAATGAATTCTCTTAAAGAACATTTTTATGAAATAAGAACTGATCTAAGTTATCATTCAAAATTATATAGTGAATCCAAATTAATGGCAAATAAATTAAATATAAAACACCCTTCTGCACAAAATAAAGAAAAAAACAAGAGTTAAAAAATTACCCAAACATTTGCAAAAATTTATAGTTGAAGGTAGTTCATTGGAAAGTTCAGTATTAAGTTCAGAAACTGATTTTCGAAAAAACCTTTATTTAATTATTATAGATAAAATCAATGCTGAACTAAGTAAAAGATTTTCTAATAACGAAGATTAATTGATGGGAATCTGTGTAATGGACCCAAGAAATAGTAATTTTTTGGATAAAAATCTTATTCATCCATTAGCTTATATGTGTGATATTGATTCTTTAGATACTGAATTAAACATTATTAGAAAATCAATAAAACAATTTGAATTAAAATACCATTCTATAAAAACTATTTTTCAATTTCATAAATTTTTATTGGATTATCAACTAGCATTTTTTGAATTATACAAGTTATTTACTATTGCAATTATAATACCTGTATCTTCAGCAGCATGTGAAAGAACTTTTTCATGTATGAAAAGAATTAAATCATATTTGAGAAATTCTATGCTTTACAACAATCAATCTAGCTTAAGCATATTTGCTATAGAAAAATCTGAAGCAAAATCATTAAATATTGAGGATATAATCAATATTTTTGCTGAATGACATAACAATAGAAGAATTCTATTAAAATAAATTATTTATATTATTATGTATTTTATTGCTGTTTTTTTTAACTTGCCTACATGTGTTATACAGGTACTTATATAATATATTATTATCTTATCGTTCTTATTATTACCAATTAATTTTTATTAAGTAAACAAATAATTAATATTAAAAGTTTTTAATTGTTCAATTTTATCTTTAAACACAGTTGTTTTTTATTTTATCTTAAAATATTATTTTTATATTGATTTTTTTTTTATATATAATAAGATATATTTGTTGAACTGTTTATTTGAATTGGTATTATAACATAATATAATGTTTATTGTCAGTTTAAAATATTTGTAGTTATGTTTTTATAGTTACAGAAACTCAATTGTACTACAACTGATGCCTGATGGTGTAATTGGTATTGAGTGTAATTTTGGGTTAGGGAGTATAAAAATTAAAAAGTGTTTACATGAATATATATTTTGTTAGGAAATAAATACTATTAATAAATGTTTACAAATCATTGTTTTAGTAAGTTTACATGATGAAGTGTGAAAAAAATTGAAAAATTGAAAGTTAACCCTCCCCCCCATCAGCACAACTTCCTGTCATCACTATTGTTTTATATATATATATATATCAAGTCAACAATTTGGCCCTCCCTAAAAAATTTTGGCCCTAGCCTAGCCCACCTGGTATTAAAATTCTGGTGCCGCCACTGCCCGTCAAGTAGGATTCCTACAATAAATAATAATATAAATATTTATTTTCTATATAGTTATTGTTTAAAATTTGAAAAAAACATTATTTTTTTAAAAAAAATCCTGATTTAAAAAAAAGCTGGAATTTCGCCCTTCTCTGGGAACTTTAAGGCTAATACATATGTCCAGGACCTCGTAATACCTAGCGCTAGCACTGCTCTCAGTATTAGTAGTTTTGTTCATTGAAATGAAAATTGCGAATAATTTAAATTACAAAGATATACTTAAAACATTTAGTGAAGCAAAAAGCCATAAAGTTCATTTCTTGTAAATAAAATTTAAAAAAATTTAAACTTCTTATAGTATTATTAATTTAAAAAAACAAGTATTTAATTTTATAATTATGTGTAAATAAAATTATACTACAACTACATTTGCAAATAAAAGGTTAATAATAAGAATTTATTGTTTTAAAAAATTCTAAATCTTAATATTTATTAAATAATTATTGTTACATAAATTATGTTTACTAAAAATTTTAAAAAAAGGCCTTTTTAAGTCTACTTCGCCCACATATAAATTTTACCTTGCCTCACCAATGGTTTAAAACTTCGAATTGTTAAAAAATGCATGGTACACCACCATCAATGCTCCCATCGTAGGTATTTGGCGGAATAATAGTGGTGTCTAATAAACAAAAATAACAACATATTTGATTGTTTTTTAAGAAATTTGAAATTATATTGTATTTATTTAAATAATTTAAATTGTGTTATTGTATGCACTATTATAAAATGTATTATTATTATTATTATTATTAATTGTTTATTATTTATTGAATCGTATGACATAAATTATGGTTCTTTTTCAAAATATCTCCAGTAATAATATCTCTGGTACAAATAATTTTAAGAGAAAACAATGAATATTTTTAATGTACCTAGATATTATACAACAACATATTAGTAAAATATAATATAACAAGTATTAATAATATATACCGAATAAAAGTATTTCTAAAAGAAATTTAGAAATGTATTATGTTTTTAATTATGAGCCTGGATTTATATGCATTTAAAAAAGTCTCAAATATGATGCAAATATGCAAAGAAAAAGTGGCTAAATATGCAATTATATGCATTATGTTACAATTATAAAATGAGTTTTTTTTTTAAAAAAATCACACTTTTATACCAAATAAAATTTTAAATACTTTATCAAAAATAAACAATTGATAATATCTACTCCTTTATATTTCAAATAATTCAAATCAACCTAAAACTTTTAGAAAACTTAAAAACGAGAATACAAATAAAAAAAAAAAAACTAAAAATAAATATTTTAGATCATTTGAAAAACTACTCTCAAAAAACTAATAGAAAACTTAAAAAAATACAAAACTTTTAAAATAACATTTTTTGAAATTTAAATATTTTAAACATAATAATATAAATTATAAAACATGACAGAACAACACTTAAAATTAAAATATTAAAATAGGTTTTATTAATAATTTTCATAACACTGAACAATAATATATTTTACCATATTTTCTGATATCATTGAAGTTCTTTCTTTTCAGTTAGAATTAACTTATACGTACTAAAAGACCTTTCTACATCCATCAAAGTTAAAGGTGCAAACATGGGCTTACATATTTATGGTGGGGGAGGGCCTTCCAAAATGAAAAACACCATTGTTAAAGATTGTTATTTTTAACATGGATATGTTTTAATGCTGGGGGTTTTCAAAAATATGTCGCGACTCTGAGAATGTTGCTTATGGGATAATTTAATATTTAATATTTATAAAATATGTTTATTCTTTTAAGAAAATATGTGGTGAATTTTGAGTGACTCCAATAAAAAAAATTGTTTATAACTATGTAATTTTTATACTTTTAAAAAATTATAAATCATTAAAAAAATTGAGTTTTTATTTAAAAAGTCTAATATTGTATCCAGTTTTCTTAAATTTCAACTCTAAAATTAATAATAAAAAAAGTTAACATGTGAATTATAACAATAGGAATTAAGAGAAATTAATACATACATCCACATTCATAATTGATCCCATCACATCAGCCCCATAAATTGTTGTACCGAAATTTTTACTCTTCCAATATTTTCTTTCAACTTTGTTATAATCAAAGGCATCAGGAGCTTGATTGTCTGAGGAGCTTTTGATCAATGCTTTAAAATCGGACACTGATATTGATCTCTTTTTTGAACTAGTTATGGTGTATATTCCCTGTTTACCTTTTATTACCAAAAATAATTATAATAAATATTAGAAGATTAACCTATATTATTAATCCGTTAGAATAATATGAATTATTAAACTAATTACTTGTTTAACTGGAGCTGAGATAATTGTATTCATAAAATCGTGATCATTATAAGGATTCTTCCTTTGATTTCACCCAATTGGTGGAATAACCTAAAGAAAAAATAAATTTTTTAAATAATAAAAAAAAAAAAAATGATATAACAAACACAATACAAATGTATAATCAATTGCTATGAATTTCATAAAAACAAATAATAAAATATGTACAGAATTCAAAAACAAATTTATAAAATTGCTAATGTTTATTCTACAAAATATAATTAATTTCTTTTTTTATTGCTTTGCCTTTGATAGAATACAGCAAATAATTAATTTTAATATCAATAATTTAGTTAAAAAAAAAACTGTTCATATATATACATTATATCTTGTGGTTTTACAATAAATGCAGTGTCTAATAAAGCAGTTCTAACTATGATTTTAGAATGGCTAAATAATATTTAAAAAATATAAAAATTTATAGTTCATAAAAATTTTTAAATTTATAATATTAAATTCAATAAAAGTAGAAACAATAAAATAAACAAAAATAATAAAAAAGTTATTGCTTACAACATACAAATGAAAAATATAAAATAAATATTTTATTTACTTCATAATTTTTATATTATAGTATAAATTTGGTTTTAGCGTAGGGCGCTAAGATTTGTTAAAGAATTACATTTTTCCTGCAAATACTGTTGGTCAAGTATAATTTAAAACGGAATAAAGAATTGCAAAGTGATAAAATTACGTACATTGCCTAATCCAGCATGGTGTGCACTATTTAATTCCATGAATTGGATGTAAGAAGGAAAGTTTATAAATTCTTTGATGGTAAATCTAAATACCATAATTTTAGGAGGATCACTCATCTTGGATAAAATATACATAAACATATTAATAATAGTAAACACAATAAAATATGTTCATTATTAATTAATCAGACTAATTATAGTTACATATATTTTTATAATTTACATATATACAAGGTATAGTTTAACCAACATCATTATGAAAATAAGTAAAATAATATGGCATTATTTTTTATTGCGATTATTTTTATTTAATCACTAATTTTTTTAAAATTATTTTTCGATGAAAGATATTTGAAAATTTAAATTTATAAAAAATACAAAACGACAAATTTATCAATAGTAAATACCAGCACTATGTCCTATCGCTAATATTGAAAATTAAAACTGTTAAAACTGTTACTTATAAAAAGTATATTAAAATAAAAAACAAGAAAAAAATATAGTATCTATATTATCAAGTATTTGGGCTTATATTGCTAATATAAATTTCATTACAGCCTTAACTGGAGAACCGTAAATATAATCACTGTCTAGATAACAGACAATACATGGTATTGAAGTAAAAACAGAATGGATAAACAATTAACTGAATTTTTGACTCAAAATATTGTATGGATTATGTATTGATATAGTGCTAAGAGTGATTGTATTAACGATGAGAAAATGACAAGGCCATCTCATTTTAAGATACAGGGATATTCAAAATACTTACATATTCTCCAACCAGTGCCTTAATAACCGAGTGTATTGCATGTATAAAACACATTGGCCTAGGGCCTCAATGATAAAAATTGAAAAATATGTAGAAAGAAAGAAAATAAAACTATTTTGTTATAATAATTATTAATGGAGATTGAAAAATTGATCAATTGTTTTGTATACCTTATTGTACATCAATGATTCTTATGCGGCCTGAATGACTGAAATTAAAAATAGTTAGGTTATGATCGATTAAAGGTATGGTTTCTCTGCGGAGTATAAACGCAAGGGAGACATTAATTTTATTTACACCCAGACATAAATTAGTGAGTGGTTACAGCACTGTCTAAAACAGACTTCATACTATTCAAAATGAATTTCAACTTTAAACAATATTCTCAGATGGTAATAGCATAATATTGCTTTAAGTCGTAACGTAAGGATAGTTTTCTTATTGTTTGGTTAAAAAATCATACGTACTTTGTAGTGACTATGAGAATCCGACAAATCTATGTTGAACAAAACTGAACGGATAATAGAGACATTTCAGATTATTCACAACGTTCGATTCTAGTGTTTTCGATCAAACGGCCAATGTACAAATGTCGTAAAGCGAAGTTAAAACGAAACTATCAACAATCATAATTGACAACAGGTTATCTGGTAAGTATCGTGCCCGATTTTTGATGTCTTCATTATTGGCATAGTCACTACGTGCCATTATTAAAACAATGGTGGGGCCTATTGAATACAATTCATCCAATCCGGTAGGATGTCTATTGTTCTTTCAATTCGGACATAACACGTGGGGTGTTACTGGAGTCGATGATTTCGAGAATCGTACCGTTATCGTTACATTTCAAATGTAATATATTTATCAGAACCCGATGCCGCCAATAATCAATGATCATGCTCACGGTCTTAGAAGTGGTTAGCCGGCATGCCGTTGTAGTCAACGTTGTTGTCTTATCACACGCGCGACTTGGCGTCAACGATAAGAATATTGTGTTCTCTTCGGTACTACGTAATTTCTTTACTTGCATTACTGCTATGCCTCGACGCGCAATCGTCATGTTAAAAATACATTTAATTGCCGATATTGCGGAAAGCAAGTTTAATTTTAGTAACCTGAAGGTCGAGCTGAATCAAGCTGGTTCGAAAATTCTTATGTAAAAATCATCTACTGATAACCATAGACCTAATATAAAAAGGTCTATGCTGATAACATCGTAGTATACTTGCGTACCTGCTATCAATATTATGATTACGATCATAATCAAATTTTCCGTGTTACAGTCTAAGGATCATTGGAGCATATTTTAATGTTTAAACAATTTTAAAGTGTATCCTGCAGATCTGTTATACATTTTTGTTTAACGATTCTCTATGCCAATAAAATATAAAAGATTAACAGTAGTGTTAAAATCATTTTATGTAAATAATTATACTTATTAGAAATTTCAAAGTATTTTCTGCTTATATTATAACTGTTCTTTTTTGTAGGTGCGTACCTAGATTTGGTTTGTTATCAACAATGAAACTTGTTGTTTGTGTTAAAAAAAACACAACTGCCCTCTGTATTGAATGTCATTCTTGAAATATTTTTATGCTTTAGTATGTATATATATGTGTGTGCTTCTTTTTTTAAAAAAAAAGTTTTTATAATATAGAAAATAAAAAAATTGTAACAAATCGATACCAATATCGAAATACTAATATATATACGAATTATCAATATTGTGCATCACTAATAATTATAAAAATATTTCTGTATTTACCATTTCAGTTAGTACCCAAGTATAATTGGTACTTATATACATTTCATTTAAAAATATTCAGTGTATTACCAACCCAAAAAATTATAAACTAGATATTTTAATGTTGCCATAATACTATTTTCAACGGTAGTTGTAATTTTAATAGTAGTATTAACATATTTAAATTTTTTCAGAGTAAAATTATTTAGCTACCTCGAATATATAATTATTATTTTTCTTATACATTAAGAGGTATAGCTATATAATAATAAATCAAAGACTGATTACCCTACATTAAATATATTTTGCTAACCAATTTTATTAAGTCTTTTGTATGTATTCTGTTTTTATAATAATATCAATATTATAATATTATGTAATTTTAGAATTTTAGTTTAGTTTAGTTAAATTGTTACTTATACCTGCTATTTATCCATAAACGCAAATCATTTATTTCTTTTATAGTGATTTAATCAACAAATAATGAACAATATTTAATACTAATACCAGAAAAATTAATTAATCTTATCATCAACAACTTTAATCAAATAATTAAATTCTAAAATCTTGATAGATTTAAATATTGAAAATAATTTATTTTATAATATAATGATTATATATAATATTATATATCTATACAGATGAATATTATTAATACAAATAAATTTATTGCAGGATTACGAATTATCGTTTCACTTATTTATGGTGAAAATTTGTCAGTTTTAGAATTGTGATGGATGATAATGTTGAAGATAAAATAATATATCAAGTTTATTTAACACATATGAAGTTATTATCATCAAAATTGACATCAGCTAAAAACAAAGTTAATTCATTTTACAACATGTGGAAGTATATGCAGTTTTACATAGTCAAACCAGAAGTTATAATTTTTCTAGCATTACTGCTATGTTTACTTCTCTTTTCTGGAAATTTATTTCAAAGCACTAATGGATTTTTTAAAAAAATTAATAGAAATTTGTCCTTTATTGGTTTTAATAATTTCCAACAATTAATGGTTGATGAAAAAAATGCACTAAGTAAGAACTGGAAATTTGAAGGTAAAAATGTAGCTTTGTATGCCATTAAAGGTAGACGATCTCAAATGGAAGATAGATGTGTCATTAAAACTAATATTATGGACACAGGCATTTCATTATTTGCTGTTTTTGATGGACATGGGGGTGAAGTGAGTGTAAAAAATTGATATTATATACATTTTTTTTTTTTTTAATTTATGGTAGTTTTAGTATATGTAGTATGTAATATATTTTAATAATTAATAATAGATTCAACTAGAGACTTGTTTTTGAGAAGGCTTCTTTAAAGTTATATTAAATTTGAACATAAATTCTCTATGTTTTAAACAATTATATAACATTTTACACAAATATTAAAATAGAGATTCATAATGAAAAAAATTAAGATTTTTATTTAATATATTTGGCAATTGAGTGCTTTTTATAATTTGTGTGATACCATGTAAATAATATTTTTGAATATTTTACTGATTATTATTACTCAAAATTATATTATTCTCACTTAGAAAAAGTATAACAAATAAATGATCTACCTGAAATTAAATATGAAAACATTCTGATAAGTACAAACTGGTTGGTGGTTATCAAAAAGTTTCCAAAAATGTTTTCTTAGTTTGAATATTATTAAATATAATAAGTCTCAATACTTTGATTTGAGTATTTTTCACATGGAATTTTAATTTAAAATTTAACCTAAATCAATGTTTGTGATTTTACCTAATATTTAAGTAGTACACTTTCCCAGTATTTTTGATTAAAATGTAATTTTTTTAATAACATTGACATATATTATGCATTTTTTTACTTTTTGAAGTTATTAAATAAGTTAGTACAATTTATAACTCTAATTTCACATTGTATAATATTAAAATTAATAGAAATGGTATTATTATTGTTTTTACTAATTTACAAATTTGTTTTATTATTGGAAACTCGTATCAATATTTGGGTTTTGTGTTTGAAATACAATTTAAATTACTTTACTTATAGTGTTTTAAGTTGTCTATAATTAATTAGTTATATATTTTATTAATTATTTTAATTATTTTCAGTTTGCTGCAGATTATGCAACTACACATTTAATGAAAAATCTAATTAATAAGGTAGTTGAAGTAAAAAAATTACATGATAAAAATCCTGATACAGCTTATGAAACCAAAATAGCAACTTCAAATACGCCAGACAATCTAACACCTCAGATGAAAACAAAATTAAAAAAAATAGAAACATTTTCACTAACAAAAATAAAACCAATCACCTCCACTGATGATAGTGCAATCCATCATAATAAACATAAACAAGATACATTAAGCTTAAAAAAAGATATAACTTCTTCAAAAAATGTTGAAGATGTAACAATAAATCCTTCGTCATATTTACAAAAAGGTGGAGGTATTAATTTTTCTAAGTTATTAATTGATGAAGTTCTAGCTGCTGACAAACTATTAATCGAAGCAGCAAAATTAACTTATGATATAGCAGGTAATATATTTTATTTTTCTATAATGTCAATAAATTAAATATCAATTTAAATTTACAAAAATCCCTGACTCCTAACTACATTAAATTCTTTATGATTAAAAACAAAATAATAAAAAATTGAAAATTGTATTATTTGTAATGAAAATTTAAGAATTAAAAATTTATAAAAGTTATGGTTATAGATTATAAAAAGTAATTATTATGCAACATGTTAAAAATTAACAAATAAAAGAAGTATATTGAATAGCATTATATTTTGACCATTGAATTTGAAGTAATTAATACTTCATAAATATATTAATGCTATTATTTACCTCAAAATTGCAATTTTATATTCTGCTTAATAAAAAGTGAAAAATAAATATTTTATTATATATATATATATATATGTATAAATGTTGATAAAAACATAAAATCCTCGTATATATATATATATATATATTATACTAATCAATATTTAATTTGGAAAAAAAATTGAAAATATATGAATTTCAGTAATTCAATTAAATAATAATAATTATTATAATAAATATGGACATTTATTATATTTAAGGGTTTTTTTTAAAGATTGTTTGATTAATTGCAAATTAACCTTGGGTCTAATTGAGTCTTAAATGATACTAAAGTTGAAATATTTTAACTTTTTTGTGTTTGATATTCTAAATATAGTCTGTTGTTCCTATTTGATAAAAGCTTAAAAAAATGTTATTACCCCAAGATTTTAAAACATCATTATCACTAAAACATTAAGAACAACAAATATTAATCCATTTAGATTGAACCCGGTATTTAAATATTTAAGGAACTTAAAACTTTCCTGTTTGTATAACTATTGTTCACACAATTAGTTTTTTTTAGAGATTCCTAACAAATGCTCTTAAATTTCTCTCTATCAAAATTGACCCCAATAATTTTTACTATCCTATTAATACAGCAGTATTTTGATCCTCTCAAGTGGTTGAAACTTAATTGTATTTAACAAAAAATACTCAATTATTTTAGAAATTAAAAATGATTTAATATTATTATTTACAATAAATAATAATATTATATCATTTTATACACATTTCTAATAAATTAACTAATTAAAGAATTAAAAAAATGTATTTAAACTCAATTTATCTTTACATTTATCTATATTAAAACTGCTTTTCTTCTTCTTTTTTTTGGCATTGATTGTGAAATATTTTTATAAGTAGCTCATATTCATTAATGTGTTTTTATAATTTGTGAATAAATTATTGTATTTTATTCAATCAATCCCTCATTCAGTGAGAATAATTAATTTAATCATGCATTTAAGCAATATTGGTGAAAAAAAAATGTATTTATAAAACTTAAGTCAAGTATAATATATAACCTAAATTAATTTTTGGAGTTTAGGTGTAAGCATCTAGTTATCAAAGTTATAACTTATATTGCTAATTAGTAGAGCCAAAAACTTGATATATTTGCTTATATTTTTTAATGCTTATTTTCAAGGTTTGTCTTTATATATATAGTTTGATTCATGTCAATAGTATAAATTTTATTTTGTATTAAGTTATTTATTAATACATTTTCTTTTCTTTCTTAAAAGTCTGATCTATAAATCTTTAATTATACACAATATAATATTAAAAAAAGCTAAATGGTATTGTCATAGTATGCATTAATTTACTCATTTGTTTTATTATTATTATAAATCCCACACCAATAAGGGTATTGTGTTGGGAATTATTTTATTTTATTTTTGACAGTGAAACAAAACATTTGTGAGCACCTTATTATATTTTTAGTTCTAATTTTTTTTTTTATATTTAAATACTTTAATTTAAGATGTGTGATTGCTTGTGTTTAAATTTGTTTGTAAATATTTTGATAATATTTTGAAGTTCAATGAAATTTTAATTTTTGTGTCAATTTTTTATATCGTTGAATCATTCAACATATTTTGATGTGCATTTTTTTCAAGATTCAAGGTCATTAAATTACATTATTGGTTATATTGATTAGTTTATATGTCCAATTTAGTTTTTTTTTATTATAAGATATTTAATTTAGAACTATAAAAATAAACCTCATAACAATTGATCTTATTATTTATCTAGTTTTATTTTAAAAATTATTTTAGGAAGCACAGCACTTATCGTTTTGATAGAAGGCAATACATTATTTGTTGCGAATGTTGGAGACTCAAGAGGTGTAATGTGTGATAAGAAAGGAAATGCTATACCAATATCATTTGATCATAAACCACAACAAGTAAATTTATATTTTTATATATTTTTCTTATTTATTAGATTTATTCATTTTTATTCATATAATTTATTTTAGATGAACATTTTAAAATTGTACTGATTAATAAATTATTTGAATACTGAAATGAGTAATTTAAGCTGAAAAAACTCAATATTTTATTGGTATTACATATATATATATATATAATATTTTAATTACATTTTTTATAAATGTTTATTTACTTATTCATTAGAATGTGGATATGTTTTTTTTTTCAATACATTTTGTGTTGTGAGTTTGCACAGTTCAACAAATAAATTAGAAGTTGGATAATCATAAGATAGTTAAATGATATTAATTAAATTTATATTTTATTTACATTTTAAACCAATTATACTTATAGTCTTATTTAATTTTTATATTATGAATAAAATATTTCCATCAATACTTTAGTATTATCATTAGAGCCCAGGTTTATATGCATTTAAAAAGTGTCAAATATGATACAAATATGCAAAGAAAAAGTGGTTAAATATGCAGTTATATGCATTATGTTACACTTTATATAATGGGTTTTTTTTTTCAAAAAAAAACCACACTTTTACACCAAATAAAATTTTAAATATTTTATCAAAAACAAAAATAATGGTAACCACTGCTTTATACTTCGAATCATTTAAATCAATGTAAAACTTTCAGGAAACTTAAAAACGAGAATACAAATAAAAAAAAAAAAACTAAAATAAATATTTTAGATTTTATAAATATTTCAGATCATTTGAAGTGTTGCGTTTAATCCGTGATTCCGTGAAAGTGTTAATGTCTTAGTCAACGCTTGGATGTAAGTGTAGAGAAATAATTTAAAACTTTTTATAATACGTTGATTTATTAAACTGTTAAGAAACTTATCCTAAGTACAATTAAATTTATTTAATTGCAAATATTTTAAGTCCAATAATAAAACTGTAACAAGCATTCAAGTCCAAATATTTAACTATAGAAATTATTCCTAAGTCATAAGTCCTAACAATTAATTTATAAAAATAGTTTGAAATATTTCTAAGTCCGGACCATGACATATAGTAACGTGAAGGTGCCCAGTGCAGCATAGCCAAAACTCGTCTAAATAGGGCCTGTTCGGGACCCCCTTTTATATCTGATATATGCAAGTGTGTGTGTAAATCCCAAGTGTGTATGTGTATATGAAAAATGATAATATATAAAATTTAATATGATAATTCTTTATTGATTCTGTATGCGTGTACTATATCTTGACCAGCCCATATTTAATGACAGATCCAGGATGTGGTTAACCACCCACGTGTGTGTGACTCCGATGTTCATATTCTTACTTAAACAGATAACCATGTGAATAATTTAACTTATTCACGCGTCTGGTTTCGATATTCATGAGAACCTCCTTATAATATGTTTTCTATTATGTGACTACGCAGTACGCGACAGAAGTTACCTATTCTCCAAAACGAATAAAAAACTTAAAAAAAATACAAATATTTTTAATTTATTAAAAACCCATTAAATATGCATTTTATATGCTTTAATGAATAAATATGCAATAACCCTCGAAATATGCAAAATATGCAATATAACATTTGGTATTTAAATTCAGTGTGATATGAATCGTGGACATTTTAAACCTACATAGACGTGTATACACTTAGTACATGCAAATGCATATAAATCCGGGCTCTAACTATCATATTGTAGAAATGGTGGTAATTTAAAAATTTAATTTTTATACAAGTTATGTACATTATATTATGTATTAGTACACTTAAAATATTATTTTACAATTAATCAATAATCAATTGTGATGATGTTTTGCCCAAATATATACATTATACAAATTTATTTTAATGCCAGTGACAATGTTTTGTAGAAAAAATAAATATTGATAATAAATTATGATGATTGCTAACATAAACATTTTGAAAATAAATGTGGACTAAACTAAAATTTATAAATGAAAAATAGTTGTATTGATGTAATTAAAAAATTATGACTTATTCTTACGTTCATTTTTTACTTAATTTATTCTGAATAATCTAGAAATTGTACAAAAATATGTATTTAGACCTCCCATTGTTCTTAGTATTACTTTAGTAAATGCTGTGGAATGAGGTTATAAGTGTGCCAAGGGGGGAGGGGGTAAGTGCTCTAGGGTGTCCAAAATTTAGGGAGTGTCATAAAAATTGATAATAATGAGAAAAATTTGGTGTTTTATTTTAGATAGGTATTATACTGAAACATAAGATTTATCAAATTGTATATTATACCTAAACTATTTAATATGAAATTGTGTAAATAATGTGATTAATGTGTTTTATGTGCCTATAATAATAAATAAGTGTTACCAAAGAATAGAATATTATTGATAGATAGGGCTCAGATCTTAAAGCAATTGCTTTTTTTTTTTTATATATGAGATAGAACTCTAATTTTTTAATATAAATTCATTAGTTAATTTATTTAGTTTATTAGTTTCCAAATTAACCAAATTATTTTTGCTTTTTTTGGCTTTTATTTTGTGTAAATGTTTTTTGCTTTTTCATTTACTCTAGCTGTGGAATTTTTTTATGTTTATTATACTTTAATAATAAAAAAAAATGTATTTAATTAATAACAAATGTGAAAACCCAGAATACGGACTATGGTTGTATTGGTTTATTATTGTTTTTGGCTTAATTGTCAAATAACATATAGATTATCTATCTGCAAACAGATCATTGACAAAATGTATAAATATTGTCTTAGATGCAGAAAAGAAGTTAAATGAAGCAAATGGGGATATTTCAACTGCAATATCGGGTAAACTAAATTGTGTTCTTTTGAAAAACAAAGGCTGGAAACAATTACTAGACATTAATAATATACTGATGCTGTTTAATCAAACAAAATAAATTATCATAGGTTAGATTTAAATGAAATCTCTTGCAGGAAGTGTGTACCAATAACTTCAGTGGATGTAAAGCATTCGTTTTCTATGTATAAAAACATTCTGTCAGATAATAGAGACAGTTTCACTCCTGCATCTTACAAAATACATGTTAGTTAATTATTTTATTAATTTAATTAATTTTTTTTATTTAATTTTACTAATCCATGTTAATTTTTAGTCATGCTATTTTTTTTTGCTTTTTTTAAAAATAAATATGTTTATTTTTTACTTCTTTAAGACGATTTTGTGCCTTTTTTGTTATTTATTATGCTTTAAAATCCGAGCTCTATTGATAAATAATTTAACTAAATACATTTGGAATGAAGAAAATTATACTCTAAAAATGCAATGTTAATTTTATAAGAAAAAAATTATGGGGAGGGGAGGGATCGTAAAATGTTGCTGTTCTAGAGTATTTTTGATAATTAAAACGGCACTGAATGAGATATATAATTTACCAAAACTTATGTAATATACCTTAACCTTTAATTAAAAATGATTTAGTTAAAAATAAATAAATGAGTATTTTTAAATGTTTACCTTTTTGTACATTTATGTCAATGTTAAAATTATGAATATTTCTCAATCATTTAACTCAAGTAAACACAATTTAACAAAATGTATAAAAAGTTATTTTGTTTAAAATTATAATTTTATATTATAATTCATATATAATCAAATAAAACTTTTCAAAATAAATTTTCACATGTTTTATACATTTTTCTTATATGAATAAACATTTTTTACTGAATAATATTTAACATTATTATTTTTAAATAAATATTATCAACTGTTTTATGGAATAAAATCAATATAATATAATAAACACTATGAAATGTGATGAAAGTGTAATTGTATATAAAGAGTACATTTTCTACTATATTTAAAATATTACAAACAATACTTTATACATGTATTTCATGTATATACCCAAATTATTAATTTATATTACATTTTTAATTGATCAACTAATTAAACACTTTATTTAAATTTTAGATGCGAGAAAAAAAACGAATAGCAGAAGCTGGTGGGTTTATATCCTTTAATGGCGTTTGGAGAGTTGCTGGAGTATTGGCTACATCTAGAGCACTTGGAGATTATCCATTAAAAGAAAAACATTTTGTTATTGCCAATCCAGATGTATTAACTTTTGATTTGTCTCATCATGATCCACAATTTATAATTCTTGCATCTGATGGCTTATGGGATACATATACCAATGAAGAAGCTATTGATTGTATTAAAAACCATATCGATGATTCATTTTATGGAGCACAGTATTTAACAATACAGTCATTTAATAGAGGATCTTTAGATAATATAACTGTACTAATCATTAAATTTCCGCCTATTTGGAGTAAAGAATCACAAACAGTAAACAATGGTGGAAGTGAATAATTTTTTATAGTTACAAAAGTAAGCTTATTTAACAATTTAGGAATTTTTTTTTTGTAAGTTTTTCTACTTTTAAAACTAATTTAACATTTTATATGTTAGAAGTATACCTACCTACATTAACATTCTGTGAAATAATTTAATGATAATGTTCAGTTTATAATTGTTGTATTTTTGTTTATTGTTTCATGTCATTTTCATTAATTTTATAAATATATTGTTTTCTTAAACCTTATAACTAGAATACAAATTTTGAAGGGATTTGTGTTTTTTTTTATTTTACTATTGCTTTAAAACGAAGTCATGTCAGCTACATATTCAATGTATACTATTTAGAATAAAATGCACGACATTTTTTTTTGCGTTTTTTTGTATATAAATGCTTTTTGGATATTTTGAGTATGTACTTTTGCCTTTAAGTTACATTTTTTCAAAATGTGTTCTAAATCTTGTTCAATCATTTTTTTGACAACCTTTCCCCATATGTTCAGTTTGTCATATACCATATAATATATAGTAGATTGATTTATCTTGAAACGACTATAAACATAAAAATATTCTTTTACTCTTGGAAATTTTCTTCTCAGAATTACAGTTCATTTTTCTTTGTAAAACCATTTGCGATAGTCATTTACAAAATGCCAAAAGATAATTATTTATTTATTTTTTAAACCCATTTTTATTGCTTTTTTTTCAGTTTACTCGAAAAATGTATGCAGCTTTGTTTTTTTTTTTTGTGTGCATTTCTTTAGTTTTTTATTGCTTTAAAATCAGTACTCTAAACGTAAGAAAAATAACCCGTAACTCATAGAGTGAAAAAATATAAGGTTACTGGTACAGTGTATTGTGATACATCGCTTCATTTGAAAATAATATTTGGACTGCTTTAAATTAAATACTTAAGTAGTTTTATGCATATATATTATAATTATAATATAAACAATTATTCTACATTTTTTTTTCATACCAACAATTATTATTTCCGTGAATGTTTTGCAAATACAAAATAATGTAACACAATTATTTGGTAATCCTTTATTTTATTCTAGGATTTTTCAAAATCGGTGTTTTATGTTAAATAATGTAGAACTAAATTTTAAAAAAAAAAGTTCAGCAAATAATACAGTGCAGTGTAGGTAAGATATAACTCACCATAATATTTCAACAATAACTAGTAATGATAATGATCAAAACCCCCAAAATCTATTTTATCATATACATATCAAAGGTATACTTTATATTATTAATTTTGTAACAGATATGTATAGTAAAAAAAACGCAGCAGTATGTGACACCGCACTGTACCAATCATGGGATAGTAAAGGTTTTGAGTTCTGATAATTGTAATTGGTGTTACAATTTTTTTATGAAGAGTACTTTTTATTTAATAATAAGTATCATTATTCATTTAGAATTAATCTAATTATGAAATTATACAAAAAAAAAAAAAAAAGATATGGCTAATCAAATATATGAATTAATTCTAGTGATCCTAGAATCTATATAAATTATTTACACTTTATATCATAATCAAATTTAATCAAGAGACCCATAATATAAATAATGTTTTATGTATTTAATCATATTTATCTTGACTAGCATTTAAAATAGTATTTAATATATTTTTATAAAATATATATAATATAATTATGTTCTTAGATCTAATATAATATTTCCTTATTATGCTAATTTCTGTGTGAAAAGCAAATGTGAGCTTGAGTGGGTCATGTTCTAACTTATTAAGCATCCCTAGTCCACTGAACCCCTTGAAATAAACAATTACATATTTCAACAAGTTATTTTATAGCAATTTTTTAAGTTATATTATAGTAAAATAAAATAAGTGTTTTAAATAATATTTATTGCTTTTAGTTAAAAATAATACTGATGTCATAAGTAGCTTTTCAAATGTTAAAATATAAAAATGTTTAATATTTGATAGATTATTTTTTTCAAGTTGTAGCCTTGAAATTATACTTAATAATTGTATAACAATAATAATAAATCTTATTTAGCATAAATAAATTATGTATAAACTAATTACTTTTAATAAAATATTTTACGTTAAAAATGTAAGAAATAATATTTATGCATTTCGATAAAATTGTTGTGAGGAATATATAGTATCTAATTTTGTTTCCTGTTATTCATTCAATCATCTATCCATAAAACTATTATATATAAATATGTGTTAAGTTTGAAATATAAAAACAAAATTTTGTATATAGCTTCTACATGATTCAAATTTTATACATTTGATATAAATAAGCCATTTTTTAATTTTTATTGATTTTTTTAAAACATTAGTAGTTTTTGACATAAACATTAATAATTAAAATTAATAATAACAAGTTATTTCTTGATACAATTAAAATAAAATAATAAGAATATTTTTCCGTAGTTCTTTAATTTCTTTTTCACCTAGATAAATTTTTGTATTATTTAAAGTTTAAGTCATAATTTCTTCTTCTTCTTTTTTAAAATAAAAAATTAACTAGTATAAACAAATAAAATGCATGGATAGTTTTCTATGTTATTGTACTTGCTTGAAATAAATCAAAAACCATATGATAAAAATATTAAATTTATAATAAAGTTTAATACATAAGATATTAAAAAAAAAAAACAATTGTTATTTACTATCATTTGTAACTAATAATGTTTTACATAACAATTAAAAATGTATAAATAATTGAAAATAGCCAAATTTAACATTTTTATTTCATACTATTTGGACGGAATATGAATTTACAGTCAAAAATTTGAAAATCACATAATACAATATGTTTTGTACTTACTTAATAAATATAAATGATTTATGACAAAAAAGAATATAATAAATAAATAAAATTACTAGAACGGCTAATATTAATAAACAAAAATAAAAATTAAAGAAAAATGCTACATTTTATATTAATAAAATAATTGTAATGTAAGAAATTATCACAAAACACAATACTTAACAAACAAAGCTTATTTGTCAATCTCAAGAAACTTATTTAGTAATTTTGACAATTATATGTATTGGTGTGTGAGTCATTTATAATTTATATACTAAATACTACAGTGAAAATCTCTATATTATGTATTATTTTTATACATTACAAACTATACATTTGACAAAATACTATCAAATATCAATCAAATTGTTTACAATAAAAATGATTAAAAATAAAAGTTAATCTAGTTATAAAAATAAACCCTGTAATCCGTTATTGAGAAAAACAATTAATGGCCATTATTACAATGAAATTAATGTTTACAGGATGAAAATTAATGTGTGCATTATTTGAGATTAATTAATTCTAAATAGCAAAAAGGTGGGTGCCTATTAGATACTATTTACATTGGTAATTACGTGAAAATAAATTAAAAAAAAACAATACAGCTATTATAACTAAATGAAATTATGATAAATCAAGGTAGTAACAATGGGATATTTAAATACATATATAAGTAGGACAAAATATTGTTACACTAAGAATAAATTAGAGATAAGAGGATGGATATTTTATATAATTTTAAATTTTGAATAGCTTATAACTAAATACAATAGTACCCCAAAATTCAATCATATGTGTATAGTACAAAAAACATTAGCTATTTATTTTACATTATTTATAATGTAATTCGTATTATATAAATTATGAGCTCCAATCACTTTCAGTGATTAACTTAGGATCTATACTTTGGATATATTATTTTTAATTAAACAAAGTATATCATACTTTTCAATAAGTATGTATTAAATATAATTAATTAACATTTCTAGCCTACTGACCATGTAATTAGTGGATTCTGTGTTCAAATTATAATAACACTATGAATCCGCAACCAATAATGATACTAATTAGTTCTTACTATAACTTACAAAGGTGATCCAAAAATAATTCAAAATGTAAAAAGTAATAACATTTTTATAATCTGTTGAACAACATATAGTTTTAATATTTGACCATGTATAGTTTTAAATTATGTAAATTTAACAGCATATAATTGTAATAGAAACAGCTGGGTAAATTATTGAATTAATAACACATCAGTATTCAAACTTTTTATGAATTTAAATTACATTTGTTCATTACCAACACTAATTTATATTTTAATGATAAATTCTTAACACAAACCATATTTCGTATATTTTATATTCTGTTTCATTTGTTTTATTTTGATATGTTTAACACTATAAACAACCTCAACATTTTATTTTAGTAAAAAAATGTCAATTAAGGATCAATGGAAATCATCCAGATAAGAAAAAAGACATAATAAATAAATTATTAAAATAAATTCAAACAAACATGTTACATCTACAGACATAAACTCAATAGCATTTCTTTTTAATTTAACTGGACTTTCTGTGGACATGAGGACCCAAACTGACCAAACAGCTAACCATATATATAAAATACCGATTGCTACTATTTGCAGATGTCTGCAATATTTTAACTAGACATATAAAATTATATTATACTATTGGACATTTAAATGAAATTCAATAATATTTTTCTGAATGAAAAGAAAGGTAAAGTAATTTGAATGTTGTAAAGAAGAAACCACGGTTTTAAACTGAAAATACCAAATACCGTTAATTATTTTTTAAATCATACTTAAGTATCTATAATAAAAAAAATATTAAATAAACAATAACATTAAGATGTATTATAATTATAGTATGGATATTTTAATATATAATACAAATTAAATTAGGATAGAGGTAACCAGTTGTAAATAGTAAATAAATACTTTGACCATTTGACATAGTAGTAATTTTGATGTATAAATAATTAACCTAATAGGAAACATTACATAGTAACCTATAATAGAAATTTTAGCCACACAATATTTTGTCAATATATCATAACAATTTTATGTCATTTATAAAAATCTGAAATCAAAATTAGTGAGAACATAGAAAAAGAAATTGTTTTCGTTTTATCATGTATTTATATTCAAATCGCGTACAATAATTATCTATAGTTTTTATTATTGTAGGCTGGCTAATATATGAAATATAATTATTCAAATGTTATGTGAAAATTAATTATTAGGTATTTGGTATCGAAATATTTAAAACTGCATTTACTCATAAAAACAATAGTTCCAAATTGACATAATTCAGATTCAAGTACACAGGGTCCAAAACCATGGAAGACGATGAAACTAAAATTTGTGAAAATATATTTATTTAACACCAGAACTAAAAGGTGATTTATATTGAAAAATAAAAAACAAAACTTTCTGAATTGTTTGTACAATTTGAATCACTAATCAAGTAACAAGTGATTAATAATCTATAGATAAATAAATGATAAAACATACAAATAATAAAATGATTTTTTAAAACAAAAATGTCTCAATAAAAAAAACCATGCCTTTGCTTAGTAATTAAATATGTTGAAAATAACATTCATAAAAATTAAAATTGTTTATTGTTATTAATCAATCATATTTTCAATATTACAGAAATAATGAAATGGTAATGAGACCTGTTCTGCCCAAAATGATAAAAAAAAAAAAAAAACGACTTCCTTGATAAAATCTTAATCCTAATTTGTAAAATAGAATAGAATACTTTTTAGATACCCATTTATTTTATTTTATATTAATTTTGAATGTGATGAATGAAATATATATATTATTATGTGCCCTTTTACCATAATTAAGGTCGCTAACTATTCAGCCCATAACCATAATGACTTCAATATTTTTATAAAATAAATAGCTTTATTAATTTTCCATACGTAATATTAATATTATTAAATTTAATCTCAAATTAACTGTGTTAATATAATATTATAAAAAATAAACGATTTATCTATATTTTCTAGACTTTTTTTTACTTTGGATGTTTTATTTTTCATGTATTTTTCATTTAATTATGATGAAAATTAAAAATATTTATAATTTAGAATATAATTTACAAGTAGTTATACTAACCAGGCACTTTATTGGACGGAAAATATAAAAATTAAATAACGAATTAATTATATAATGGCTACATACATAAAAATGAATAAATATAAAAAAATACTTGTATAATAAACATATATATTTCAAGTATGCACAAAATAATGAATACTAAAAATGAAAATTAATATTCAACATAAAATAAAGATGATAGAATAAAAATATATCATTATGTATTAATATATTTTACATTTAATCTGAATTATATGAACTATAAAAGATGTACACAGTTTAAACTTTATTAAAATTACACAAATTTTAATAATTTTCATCAAAATTATTTATTGTTTAATAATTATTGTAATTCGTTCATAAAAACTTGAAAATCAGGATTGAAAAATATAAAATACATTTTAACTTTTATTATGACATTCTATGATAAATAATTTTTTTTCTAATTTGAATTAACTGAAAATTCAAAACAGATGATAGGCACTATCAACTTAATTCATACTAGTTAGATATAATTTAAATAAACTATGAAACTTTTATAAAGTTATTTTTCTAAAACAACTAGTAATATTCAATAATTTTGATTTAAAAACAAATTTAATACTTAATAACTGAATTATTATAATTAAATATTTTTGATGCTTCAATTATTTAACATAATAATTAAGATAATTTTTTTAAAAAACATCCAATATTATGAATGATAATTCATTAAATTATGTTTTTAAAGACTATTCAATTATTTGATAATTTGTTGATACAATAAAACATTTGAAAAGCATTTTTCTATAACGGCTATCATTAATTAATATAATATGTATTATTAGTTAAATATAAGTTAATAAAAATATATTGGTCACTTCAAAAAATTATTTATAGGCATGAATCATTGATAGATTTATAATTGTATCATAAGTGAAAATATTTATTAGCATATACATTAAAAATAACTCTTGGAATTTATAAAACTATTTTATTTTTTAATTGATAATTTAAATATTTTTTTTAGAGATGAATTTATTTTAAAAATGTATTTGATTATTAATGAGTTAATATTAATCAAAGTAATACAATCATAATATGATACTATGATATTGGTAAAAAACAATTATTATTTGTAATAATTAATTAGAAAAACAAAACATTTATGTAAATAAATTATAAGACAAGTAGTTACTTTTTCTTTGGAAACTACGAATATAAAAAAAAAATAGAATACTACTGGTGATTTTTACTAAGTAAATGGGAATTAAAATCATATACATTACTACATTGTTCACCACAAATATTGCATTTCCATGGATTTGTTTCAGAATGACACCCCTTGTGAAGAAAGTATAGTGTTTGGTCTGGAAATGTTATACCACAAAATGAACATTGTAATGTATTTTTAAATGCCACATACCCCCAAATATTAGGATCAGTGTTATGCGGTTGAGATGCTTCTGGGTTATTCATAATATTTATTTTACGTTTGAATTCCTCACGCAACAATGATTTTAGAGGAGATATTTTTATTAATGAAGACAAGCTTGTAGTTTGTCCAGACTCATTTTCACCATTGTGTACATCATTTAAATCATTTTTTCTTGAAGGTTCTTCTCCTGGTTCTTGCTTTATAGGAATAAGAGAAACAGATGGTGTGATTGTACTTACTTCACCTTCTTGTAGATTGTTTACTGGCAGTAGAGGTAATGAGGAAATATTAGAATTTGAATCTATTGACTGTGGAGAATTTGGACATTCATTATCTTGTGAAACATCTTCATCAGCAACACTTTGAACAGGTTCAGTTTTCACATTATTTTCGTTCATCTACATATGAAATTATAAAAGAAATTTTTTAAAAAGTGAAAACCTAGTAATCATTAAATAAATATAAATTATATTAAGCAGTAGCGGCGTAAATATTATTATTAAATGAAGCAATTACATGTGTATTGAATGCCCAACATAAATAAAATTCTTAGATTCAGAGTTCAATTGTATTTGTAAGTACAAAAATATTAAAAATAACGGGCCCAAACAAAATAATACGTAATAATATTTTATGTTAAATGTGCAAATTATGCAATACACTTTTTTATCACAAAACACTATCTACCCGCTTCATTTTAGTTATGAAGCAGCTGCTTCAATAAAACTCCCATTACGCCGCCGCTGATATTAAATTTGGTCTTATAAGAATCATTCTAAAATTTTTTTTTAGTATTACCAACTATTGAAAATCTCATAAAACATGTAAAATATTTTAAAATTACAAATAAAATAATAAAATAAACAAAAAAATTATATAATTAAATATAATTAAAGCAATGTTGATATCACAGAGTAACAATAATTTTTCAAATGTATTTGATAATTTGTTATGATATTTTCATAACCAAACATAATACAGTGTAAGTCGTTGGTTTATTTAATAAATAAAATTCCGTACACAATATCTTATTAATCAAATATATTATTATCATAATAATAATAATATTATTATCATAATAATAATAATATTATTATCTATCGCCTAAATACTAACACAAAGTGATAAGTTTAAAAAAAAAAGCCTCTAAATAAAAAAAGAAAATCATTGTTTTTTAAAAGTAATTTCATGTTGATATTGTATACTATACCATAAAAAAAAAATTATAACTTTTAAAATACTTATTTTTAAATCTTTATTATGTCATTATTAAACATATTCATTAGGATATCCTTAATATGCATGTAGGGCTAACTTTGATAATCTCATGATATATCATTCAAATTATATTTTTATTGTTTATATGACGCACTATATGAAAGTTTATTTATTCAAAACTATACTAATTTAATTTTTACCTTATCTATTATTAATTTTCAATTACAAAGAAGTTCAGTTATTTACAAACTCTTATCTTTTTTTTTATCAAAATTACCCTATTATAAAGAAATATTAACAATTCAAAAATTTGTTGATGAATTTTGATATAGGAAAAATAATTCAAACTTAATTTAATTGATATACTTATGAAGATCAATAATTGTTTAATATTTTTTATAAAGCTTAATTTTCCAATGATAAATTAAAAAAACAAAAAAAAATTAAAATGTAATCAACATTGCTCCATTTTATGGTACTAGTTTAATGGGATGGACATTTTATTATTAATATTTATGTAAAATAATAATAATATTAACAATCATACTGATTAATAATAATTTGAAAGTTATTAAAATTATTTAAAATATCATATTTATCAATTTGTAGCTATTTTAAAAAAAATAAGTAATAATTAATGTTTACCATTACAATTTAAATTGTTTTATGTAAATACACATCTAATAATTTCATCTAATTATTTTTGAACTATTATTATAATTTATAATCTAATTTCCAATTTGAATTGTTATATTCTTAAGTGTTTAAAAAATGCATTAATCATCTATTGCAATCAAAAGTATTAATATTTTAATGCTTATTTTGGTTTTTAATTTTTGAAAAATTTAAGAAGTGTTATACTATTTTGTAATGGAATTTTTTAATGTATATATAGTAGTGTAATTAGTACTGAGGCAACAAATGGTTACCTAGGGTCATAATTTTTTTTGGATAAATAATTAGATAACTAAGTTTAGTAATGCTATAAGATTCAAATATATCCTATTTAAATAAGTTTTAATAAATAGTTTGTGAAACTACTGGTTTACAGAGTAGTTTACTGCACCAGTAGTTTACTAGTCTCAAACACACTGCTGTGTCTCAAAAACACTGCTTTAATGGCAAATTGAGCCATATTATGCCTTGGGGAGCTTTAATGTATAGCTATGCCACTGTGTTTTTATTCATAAGATCATAAACTTAATCAATAAATTATACTACACATTTTAAATTTTTTAGAATATATTGGGTTATGTAAATATACTACTATACAGACCCTAAGATAATATTCAAATAATAAAATACTATACTTAATGTTATAAATAAATAACTTGACAATACTAATGACTTATGGATTTTGTTTTATTAATTTCCAATATACAAGGTTCAATATTATCATGGAAAATATACAATTAATTTATTTATTGTATAACTGTAGATCATTGTTATTTTAAAAAAAATATGAAAAAAAAATGTAGGTTAGTGGTAAGTAAATATAATAATTTATTTTAAATTTCACTTACTTGAGAAGAGGAAAAAGAGGAGCATTCAGTAGGAGAAGGTTCTGTCATTGATATTTCAACATGAGGTGTAAGAAAATGCATTGGTGGCGTCGCATTACTTTCTGAACGACTTCCACCTATAGAGTCTCCACTATCACTACAAGCTCCACTAGTACTAACATTTATACTGTCAATAGGCAAATGATGTTTTGGAGAATTAAAAACACATACACCAGGATTGTCTAGGTCAATACCGTGTCTAAAAACATTTAAAAAAATAATATTAGAATAAAAACAATAAAATACATGAAAATATATTTTTAAAGTGAATAATAATTTACCTGTTAAAAAAATGAACTCTCAAACTTTTCATTGAAGTAGCTCTAAAAGTGCATAATGGACAAGATTTAACCACCTCATGTTGACCAACATGTTCATTTTGAAAATGAGCTCTCATTGCTATTTGTCGTTGAAATCCTCTATTGCATATTGGACAATGAAATGGTAATGACTTTGTATGAGTAGTAAAATGTTCAGCTAAATGATCTTTTCTAAAAAAACGTTTTTGACAAATTTTACATTCATAAGGTTTAACTCCGGTATGTCTCATTTTATGTCTTCGCATATTAGCACCATTTGAAAATTTCATATTGCATATATCACATTCAAATAATTTTCGATTCGTTGGTTGCTCATTTTCATTATTACTTTCAGTTCCTTGACATGTTGCTAAATGTGAAATTAGATTTGTTTCATTTAAGGTTTCATAGTTATCACATCTATCACATCTATGAGTAGAAGTTCCACTATCTGAGACGGTATCATAGTTAGAATGTAATCCATTATCTATATTTGCTTGATCATTTTCAATATCACAATTTTCTTCAAAATTATTATTTGAATTTTCATCATTGTTTCCAGAAGAAACATCAAATTCAGTTTTCACTGGCGAATATGTAACTACTTTAGACATGATATGATAACGTTTCTGTTTTTTAATAATTCAAGAGAATATTCACTAATCTATCATAAGTTTAAATATGTATTATTTGACTCTAAAAAAAAAAAAAAAACAAATTTATAATTAATAAAATAAAATAACAATAAAAATAATTATAATAATGTATAAATAGCTTTTCAATTTCTCTTTATTAATTATATAATATACATTTATATTTATTCATCTTTATACATATATTTAAAATTTTTTTTACTTTTTGATATTTTTGTAATATTTTATGAACATTAAACCATTATTATTTTTACAGTTGTTATCATAAAAAAACAATAATGAATATGATAATATCTGAGTTAATATATTAATATATATATTCTTTCAAGTCTAGAAGTCAGAAGTAAATCTTAGAATTATTCTCTACAAAAAATTTCTTAATATGGAGTATTATATTTTTAGTAAAATAACAACAGTCGAGAAAGTAAAAACACATAAACAATCTTTTAATAAGATTTGAATTTATGTTCTCTAAAATAAAATAGTAAATATAGGTATGCATATTAATAAAATAATAATGTTTTTTACCCTAGGTAAGAATAATTATAAAAAAAAAAAAAAAAACAATTTGAATAAGCTTCATTATAATACTTATATCAAAACATTTTTGAAACAGATTGTTGATTATTGTATAATATATAATAATAACCAACATGAGTACTATAATTTATTAATATGTTAATATCATATATACACTACTGTTACTACTTATAATGCAAATATTGCATACTATTTTAAATAAAAATATTTATCAATATATTTAAGACTTACATTTTACTATTGGTTTGAATCATTTTTAATATATATTTAACATTTAGTAATAATAATTGAAAAATATTTATTTCATTTAAGCATAATGTGATAATACTACTTATTAAGCAAAAGTATTATATTGTTCATAGTATAGTAAAAATGATAAATATAATAAGATAATTAATGTTATCATTATTTATTAAAATAATTCAAATGAACTATTAAACGGACCAAATATATAAAAAAAAATCAGAACAAAAAAAATAATAAATAATAAGGTCATACGTTTGTAAGTTGGGTAAGAGCTATGTAGGTATATAGGTTAGTACACAGAACATTGGGCAAGAATCATATCAGAATATGTATACTATATGAGCCTAAAAACTAGGTCAATTTTGTGTAAATTGTAACATACCATTGAAAATTGAAGATCATAGTAACTCCAATGGATCAAATAACGGCAAAACGTACTTTATTTAAAATAAAAATTGTTATAGTCAATGTGAACAAACAACATAACAAATTTAAAAAATAATTTAAAAAAAATGGAATGAGTACAAATATTCTAGTAGGTCAGACGACTGATAAAACCAAACAATTTGTTGGATATTTACTTAAAACACATATTTAAAAATATAAATAACAATTTATAAACTTAAAACTATATTTTAAAATTTATTTAATGTAAGAATTTAGAAAAAAAAAAAAATGAAAAATATTATATACATTTCATGTATACTTAAAAACTAATTGTTGATAAATGATAATAAAATTCTAGGATGGTGGATCTACCAGGTGTTTTTATTATTTTAGTTGAAGTTTTAATAGCCGCTAGATAGCACTAGCTATTTGGAAATATACTAAATAATAACGAAATATATTGAATTAAAATAATAATAATATCATTATTTTTTATTTATTATATACTTATAATATTATTAATTACCAGCCACCGACACAGATTTTTGTTACACAAAACTTTTTATTTCACGATTCCTATCACAGCCAGTCAAAATAAATATCTAAGCGCACAGCAGTGCATCGGCCAAGTTCCTGCAATGTCAGTGTATCAAAGTTATATGAAACAATTCCCCCAGTTATTCTAAATAGGGTTACCAACCTTCCCGCGTGAGGCGGGACGTCCTGTTTCCAGGGCTTAAATGATGCGTCCCGCGATGCGTATCCGCGGGATGCTTATTGTCCCGCTTTTTGTAAACCTGTGTAAGTATTTTTATATAGAAGCCTTACATTTTTATTGTGCGCATTTAAAACTATTTTCGTTCCGAAATTCAGACAGAGTCGATTGCACGTACCGGTTTAATCAAAAATTGTAGTATTTGTAGATTCAATTCAATATTCAGTACACAAGCACTTTTTCAAAAAGAAAAAAGAATTGTCTTATAATAGGGTGCTCTTAATTTAATTTAAAAAAAAAATTGCGATGAATACTTTAAAATAGCGATTATTTTGTTAATTTTATTTGAATATTTCAAATTTTAAATACAACTGATAATAATTATTAAAATCGTTTTCTCTTGTTTCTGTAAATTTGTAAGCATGTCCCGTTTTTTTAATGTATAATCCCGCATATAAATATCTGGTTTCTTGTTTATCTGTAAATAAGAGTTGTTAACCCTAATTCTAATCCATATATCTCTGTTTCCTCTTAAGATAAACTTATGAAATTTAAAACACAGATTAACCTCGAGTAGCTTAGGATGTTGTAAGAAAATGATCCCTTAATATTGTATCATTTCAAAATAGGAGAATTTCAAAATTTGCAATTTTATTACTGACTCACTTACTGATCATCTTAATCAAATATAAAAGATTGTAAAATTTTTTTTCAAATTTTAACAGGTATGGGATCTTTTTTCAATAAATCTTCTAAGAGAACGCATGCCTTAACTTCTTTTATGCAAAAAAAAAATGCCAAGAAATACACCAAGTAGATGGAATTTTTCTTCTCGTTTGGTAAACACTGTTTATGAATATCACAATTGTTTTAGAGTTATTTCAACACGTTTTAGACAATTCTGATGATTGGTACGATGAAACAATAGTTATATCTCAAGGTAGTAATCAAAATAATTTGATTCGTGTTCTCTTGATTTTGAAAACAGCGAACAGAATTCTCCATCAATTAGCCGGTCTACAATTACTGGGTGGATACGATATCTTCTTTGACTTTTTTTAACCCGTTTTAATTATTTGTATAAATAATACGCACATATCATTGAATTTAAAATTTATAGATTCACCTGTCCAAAAGTTAAATCTAAAGTATTTAAAAACCAAAAAAAAATCAACTAATTACAAAAATAACGTTTCATACACAAACATGACCGACCGAGTTTGTCATCAGCTAAGCACTAAACGCTCCGTCATTGGTTAGATGACTGACAATCAGCACGCTTGGTCAGCGCCTACGGTACGCGCTGACCATCAGTTGAGCACTTATTTCATCCTCAAAAGTTTCTAAAATGGTGCAAAAACTTTTAATTTGGGGGAAAAAAATTCTTATAGAGGAAGAGACATATCTTTTATTAAATACCAAACAAAGTTGTAGCTTTTTAATACATTTTCTAAATTACGATTGAAGTCTATACTTTATTGTAGTAATATTAACAGCAGAAACAATTCAACATAAATAAAGAGTAATTTATTTATAAATCTGATGACAATGTATATAAATTGTTTAAATTTCAAATAGTATAAATTATGTTTCCATCACATAAAATATTAAATATTTATAAAATATTTAAAAGTTAAAAGCAAAATAAAATGAATCATAATATTTGAATGGATATAGTTAAAAATATTATAAGAGGCTTTTAATTAGATATGAGAAAAATTATCAAAAAGTAATTTTTTAAACAGTTTTTGTAAATTAAATAATAACTACTTACATTTTTATATGCAGTCAACAATGAAAACATTGTATAGTAAAAAAAGTTTTAAATATTTACTAATATAAACATCGATGAATAAAAACATATGTTGCAATATATTATATTCATTAGTTTAATTATTATAATAACTAATACATATTTAATCATTTTCTTTTCCTAAGATTGAACGTAAAGTACCTAACATTTTTGCTTCAGAAGATTCATGGTCGAATGATTTGCTACCTGTAAAATAAAAATATAATTTATTAGTTTAACTGATTATAACATTGTACAAACTAAACATTTAATAAAAGTTAACTACTTCTTATTCATAGACTGGGAATTGAAATAAGTTTTGTTTATTTACCAAAATATAAACTATACATTAAATTTATTACTTTTAAGTTTGAGTTGGTAAAATGGATTTCATTATGTAAAATTAAACCAAGAACCACTATCCCATCAATGCTTTTTTTATTTTTGAAAAAATCCCTTTATCAGCTGTTTGGGTTGATTGTGTTTGTTCAGCTGATGGCCCTAAAAACAAAAAGAAACTATTTTTGAACAAAATTTGTTATTTTTCAACTTATTCGAAAATTATGTTTTTTTTTTTACTTAAATGATAATTGGTGCAAGTTATTTTAGATAAATATATAAAAGAAAATGTATGAAAACTTATCAAAAATGAGATTTGAAATATAATGTTTAAAAACATTTTCAAAGAGATTAGATTTTTCAAGAATGTTATTTGATATAAAATCAGCATTGTAGGTTACTGTAATTATTTTAATAAAAAAATATTAATGTTATTATTATGCTACTTATTATAATAAAACATAAATTAGTCTTAAGATATATTTATTGGTTTAATTTAAATTTTAATAAATATTAAACGAATTGCTTATAAATAATTAAAAAAATAATAAATGGGTAAGACTTATTACACTGTTCAGTTCATTAACTTAACAAATACATTGTATTTAGTATTTAATAATAATATTATAATAGTGTATATCATAATTTTTAAAATTACAAAAGTTATATATCATTAAAATTAATTTTTCTAAAACCAATAATATATAGTAAAATATTAACATACTTAAACTTTACTATAGATTATATAAAATAAGATGATGTACTTCAAAATTTACTGGTAACTTGAAACAGTCTCAATGCAAATTAACTAAATACAAGAAATTCAGTTATTCAACAATACTTTTTACTATAATTTATAGCATCAAATATAAAACAAAATAAGTCAGTGATGCGTAGTCAAAAACCATAATTTCTCATTAAGACACAATTTATTAATAATTTCTTAACAATAGTAACACTGTTTTGAGCCATTTTTAGTTTGTAAAAATTTTGGAGAATTATACAACTTAGGCCTTGAATTTTAATATGTATTTTCTGGTTTTATCTGTACCTTGATAAATAAAATTGAATAAAATTATAACTTTTATAAAAAAAAGAAATAAAATGTGAATTATATCACTTACTAAATAATTTAGAAAACAAATTTGATGAAAATTATTATTTAAAATGACAGTTACTTACATAAGAAAAGTAACAAAAAACAGTTTCAATAACTTTAGATATTAAGAAACTATCATTTCAATAATATAGAAATATATATAGAAAGAAATTAAAAAATAATTAAATAAAACTAAAAACAATTGGGATATTAAATAAATATTTAATATAAATAATACTTTAATAATTATATAATTTTATATAGTAATAAGTTCAAATAATATAACTTTTATTAGCTTATAAATTAAAAATTGTAAGCTACATTTAGCATCAGTAATTTTTTAATAATACATTTTAAAATTTTATAAGCAGTACGAACATACATTTAATGACTGGTGAATTATAAAAAAAATATTCTGATATTAAAGACAAATGATAATAACAAATTTATCAGTAATTAAAAAAAAAAAATTGGAAATTAAAATGCATGAAATTTATTTCTAAGTTAATTCAATGATATAACTGTTGAATTTATATATTTAAAAACATTTTAGTCATATTATCCATTTAAAAATCTTAACTACTTAAGTTGAATAACTTCATTAAAATTGTATAACCAAATTTAAATAAATATAATAATTGAATACTAACAGTAATCTTGTTCTGTATATAAATCTAATAATTTGTTATAGTTTACATTCAAATTTTCTACCAGAAAAAATTATTATTTGAATAAATTCCCAGGCTATGAATCCAAAAAAATAATTACATTTATAAAAATAATATATTCATCAAGAGTGGCTAATATGCGTTAAGTATATCTATAAATACTAAATTCATATTTTAAATAAATAACTTATCACGGAAATATTATTACTATGCATCAAATATTGTTAAATAGGAATAAAAATAATAATAAGAATAAAGTAAATATTGAGATTATTTATTAAACATTATTTTAATTTTAATCAGAATACTAGAATTTCATTAAACTATGTTTTGATTAATACATTTATATTAAAATATTACAATTTTTCATAACTAATAATATCAAAGTTTGGAATTTACAACTTACTCGTATAGTAAAATTAAAAAATCTTTCTTATTACTTTGGTATACTCTATTAAAAATAAATGTTATTTTATAAACTAAATATAATATAAAAAAAATCCTGAAATATAAGTTTTGAAAATTGATGCACAATGAAAAATGTTTTAATAAAAAACTTTCCAACTACACTTTAAAATATAGCAATGTGTAAACAATACATTATTTTTAATTTCCTAATAATATCCACTAGAAGCTTTGATGTACATAGCTAATAAATTACAATTTATACAAATAAGTTATTTACCATCTTTCTTATAAGTTATGTTTCTTATTGTTCCAGGTGTATTTTTTTCAAGTTCTGCATAAGCTTGAATTAACGCTTCCTGTTTACTAGTTAATGAATTAGGTACTTCTATCTTAATATTTACATAATGATCACCATGTTGATTAGAATTCATTTTCTTCATTCCTTGTTTATTTAATCTAATTTTTGTATGTGAACTAGTTCCAGGAGAAATCTATTAATATAAAAAAATATCAAATATATACACATATACATTTTTGATATTGTTACGGACATACATAAATGTAGGTCCTTACGACTACCAATACATAGGGGATACACATAAATAGGATTGGGACTTATATCATAAGTCCTTGTGAATATTCAAATCTTACAGAGTAGTCACATAAAAATAACTGGTATTATTACAAAAACTGAAACAATATCAGGAACATGGTTTTATAAGGTCATAAAACTGTCATCGTTTGCAATGACCGAAACAATATCAAAAACATGCCCTTATAAGGTATTATAAAATTGGATAGTAGATACTTTTCGAAGGGTATCTAGAATATTAAATCATTAGAAACTATGTCCGAGTCAAATATCCCATAAGAACGGGATATATAAGGTAGTCCTGAACAGACTATTATTCAGATGTGTTTAAGACGTGTTTTAGCAAGCACCTTCACGACAGATTAAATTGTCAACTTGTACTTATAAATATTTCAATAAAACAGTTTAACTTAGTCTGAGTACTTTTATTGGAATTATTCTCTCACATCTACTCTTCAACGGTTGAACTGATGGCACGCAACAATATACACCAGATTTCAACAAATAAACTTTAAATAATACCTGCACCGTGTGATCTTCATAAATTCCTCTAACTCTAATAGATCCGCCTAATAAAGCTTGTGATATCGAAATTTTAGCATCAGTGTGAATATCCGATCCATCTCTACGGAAATAATCCGATTTTTCAACTTTGAATGTAACAAAAACTTCATTTCTATTAACCAAAATTCGAATAGTTTGACCATCTTCAATTCCTGGAAAAATGAATGAGCATAAAATAAAATAAATTTAAAAATTAAAAACAATAGTAAAGAATATTTAGAAGCCAATTCATTTGGATGGACTTATTTATAATCATTAAAATGTTTGTATTATTGTGAGTAAAAGTTGATAATATTTATTTTCTAATTACAAATGTACTTTAAGTTAAAATATATAACACAATTTTAATTATTAAATTATTTTATTTATTGATATTTATTAAATTTGTTACAATTAATACAAAAAAATATAATAAAATGGAAATAACAAATGTACCTGCAACACTAATGTGCCGTGGGTAAATACCTGACGGGTAGGTAAATATTTTGGGTATTTACCCACTAAAATATTTACCTACCAAAAATTTGGGTAAATATTTTTTTTTTTATCTGGTCATACTGTATATTTCTATTTTTTCTACTAATAGGTATCTATATCATGCAACTGAAACTACAACCATTGATTATAGAATAAATCTATTCTATAATCAATGCTACAACTTATACTACTACAGTTGAGTCACGATAAAAAGTTGAAGGGGGATAAAAATTCACTTCAAGGTTTGTAGATATGTATTATTCGAGATATCTAACTAATTTATAGAGGAATAATTTTCTAGAGGAATAAAACAAAATTTGAGTTGTCAAGTTTTTTGAGTTATCACGACACTCGACTATACTAACTGATCAATAAAAGTTCTTTTGTCAAATGTTATTTAATTTAGTACTAGTTTTTTTTAGTCATGGGTCAAGAAAATATCCTGTGTGAAAGCATTACCATCGCAGTGAAGATAATAAAAGTGTGCTATGTAATTTCTGTGATAAAATATTCAAATTTGCCAAAGTGAAATTAATAAAAACTTCATATATATAATTTATGTACTCTAATCTTCAGTCTTGGAAAATCATAAAAAAGTCAGGAAACAATCATAAAAAAAGTATTGTGATATCCATGGATTGGTTTTAGCATTAAAAATAAATTTATCCAATTTATTGAGTAAATACCGGGTAAATACCCGGTATTTACCTAAAATTATATTTACCAGGTATTTGTTCATCACTAACCTGCAGGCACTGGAACTGTTACTTTTTTGCGTTGTACAGTACTTCCTTTACCATGGCATTCCAAACATGGATTTTTTATTACAACTCTAGTTCCTTGACATTGTCTACATGTTGATTTCATTAAAAAAGGACCTAAAACAAAAATATTTTAAATGATTTATTAAAAAAAACAAAAGAAAAATTGTATGCCTCTTGATATTGTTTCCATTCCAGTTCCATTGCAATGAGTACATGTTGTAGCTTTATATCCTAGCTCACTACGTGAACCACGACATTTTGGACAAATGTCGACAACATTAATATTTAAATCTTTATTTACACCTCGAGCAGCTTGTTCAAATGTTATTTTAACAACAATCTAAAGAGAAAAAAAAAATTAAAATTATACTTAGAAATTTATATTAAAAAAAAAATATTACTTCTTCGGCAGCTCCAAAACCGAATTTTGAATCCGCAAAATCTTCTTCAAATGATCCACTAGATCCAAAACCACTTTGATTAAAAATTTTTCTAAATAATTCTTCAGCATCTACATTGGACTGAAAACTCCATGCATTTTGGAAATTTTCATTTCCCATTCCTGCTCCACCACCCATATTATTTGTGTTGCCAGTAGATCCCCATGTATCATATGCAGTTCTTTTTTTCTCATCTCCCAACACCTAAAAATAATATTCAAAAATTATGAAAGGTAACAAAAATGAATTAAATTATTCTTTATCATTATTTTAAAACATACATAACTTATTTGATGAACAATAAATTAATTTAAGCTATAATTTGATAAAGTAATAATTAAATACATATATTTCAGCGTATAAAAACCAAATCATTTTCCAATTATACTTATTTATAATATACAAATTCAATGGGTTTAATTTGAAAGAAATTAAAAAAAAAAATAAAATATTGTGAATAATGTTAAATGTTTATACAAGTTAATATATAATATATAAATTTTTTTTTAAGACTAAATATCCAAAAAATATTATAGAACACTTATTTTTATTATACTCAGTTTGTACTTACTATAAATATAAACCAAGAAATAGTTTTTCTTTTTCGGCCCATTGAAATTTTAATATCTAACATTTTCTAAATATTGATTTATCTCTTAAATTTTATTAAATAATATTTCTTATACATAAATATATATATACTAAATATGCACTCAGCAATAAATCCAAAAGTAATATAAATTATATTTTAATTAAAAATTAGATAGAATATTTTTTAATATTTTACTAGATATTTGATTGAATAAATTATTCAAAATTCTAAAGATATTTGAAATAATAGTTTATGAAAACATAAATTATAAAATGTAAATTTTATAAATTAAAATTCTGCAATAAAGTTATTTTAAACTTATTTTGTCACAACAAATTTTAAATATAAATGTATTTAAAAAAAAATTATATAAGGCACTAATATTAAAAGTATATTTGTAAAATTATAAATTTTTGATCAAATTTTTTATTAATACCATAAAAATTTGTAATGATCTGTTTTAAGAATATTTAAATGAATTAAAACTAAATATATGAAGATTTAAAAAAAAAAAAAAACCAGAAAATGTAATATTTAACAGTATTATTTAACAAGACAAATATTGACTATATATATATATATATATATATATAACACTTACTTCATATGCTTCAGAAACTTCTTGAAATTTTTTATTTGCACTTGGATCTCCTTTATTCGTATCTGGATGGAACTTCTTTGCAAGTTGGTAATAAGCTTTTTTTATATCTTTTTGGGAAGCATTTTTTGGAACTCCTAATATGTTGTAAAAATCTTTCTTATTTTTCAAATAATTGCTTGTGTGTATACTTTTGAAACTATATGGATACAGTGGCTTAATGCCTGCAAGACACAAAAAAACAAATTTCAAATGTTGTGATCAACCATTTCCTTATTTTTATACTTACAGTGTTTGAATAATCGATTATCAGATAATTTGGAGTAATTGAGAAATGGAGAAACTGTATGATAATTAAATTTTTGTAAGTTGCACAATAAAGTTGGACAGTAGTACTTATTTGAAACTAATAGTTTTAATTTTATAATATTCATAATGATCAAATTTTAATCGTAACGTTATAGTATTCCAGAAAAATAATCGTGATGCATGAATAACAATGTAAAATATTGAAAAATTATAACAATACTTATATAAAAAGCACGATCACATAAACCACAAGGTACTGATGCCGGGATAAGACATGATGTTAGGAATGTATGCATGTACAATGTACTAGAAGTTTCTGTAAAAAGTGATAACAACCATATTACCTATCACTAGTATTGATTGCGGCAAGATGGCAAAACATGTATATCGTTTAGCGTTCCGTGATTCAGTTCACAAAACTGACGTCTCTGTTGTCGCCGTGCGTCCAGCGATTTCGTAATGCTAACGATTTTACTATTTTTTTTAATATCCTAAAGCGATAGTTTTTCAAGATTTCGAAAATTAAATGGAATAAAAATGATAAACAGACTCAAAAGTTTTTGACTGTGATCAAGTAAATTACATACAACCATGTAATATCGGACATATAAACTTTTTGACGTGTTTTCGTTCTATTATTGGTTTTTCGTTTACTGTTATCGGGTCACCAACATAATAATCTAAGTCAAAATTATTATCGACTATGAGCAGCTTAGTTGTAATATTATTACATGAGTCACTTCTTGCGTAGTTTGTTTCGTACAGTTGTTTCTAACATTTGCTATCCTCTTATTTCTTAACATCCCGAAATGTTGACGTAAACATTTCTTTCTTGTAACGTTATCTTGTTGGGTACTTCTTTGTTGATTGAACGACGATCACAACAACAAGACTAACATAATAAACCCACCAGTACAATATTCAACTACTTTCTACTTCAAGCTCTAAGTAAGCACAAATATATTGCTGCCTTTTCATAAGAATTAATTTATCAATTACAGTAGAATTTTGATTATACGGGAACGGGATAATAGTGGGAAGGATTAATGAAAACCGCGATTTATCTAGATTTTATATATAACAAATTTGAAATTAATTTTTTTATTTATTAAAACATTTTTTTTAACTTATGTTGTATAAATACTTATTATCATCAACATAATGCGGTTTAGCCCGATTTATTTTTAGCAATTATTTTTCAATTTGTATATTTTTGCATGTATAATAAGATGAAATTTTCAAAAAAAGTCAGTCTACCTTCCTTTAGAAACCATGGTCTAAAAAGTTTAAAATGCTCTAGAATTATTAAATATTTTTTTTTACAAGTTTTTTACTCAGTATTTTGGTAAAATCAAAAATTCCTATTATACTTAATTTTTACAGTATGAAATTATTACACCCAGGATGGTTTTTCATTGCAAATAAAGGGTTGTTACTGATAACAACCCTTTATTAAGGGTTGGACTCATGCAACCTTTCTTGGACGAGCAAGGGCGGTTGCTTTGTCAATGTATATACAGTCATTGGTGGATTCCATTGAAAATTTGGTGGGGAGCTTTTATTGTTTTTGTAAATATATACTATGAGGGACTTCGCCCTCCCCATCCCCATTGGTTTTTAAATGTTCATATAAGCCATAAATTATAATTAATAATACTATCCACATTTTTTATATTTTTAATAATTTGTAATAAATAGTTGTTTAATACAATGCCAATCGCATTAATCAAATTGCGACAATATTAATAGATTCATTGCAATTGAATATTGCCAATATGAATATGTTTTTTTTTTGTAATTTCAACTGAAATGTATGGTAAACTGAGTTTTACTGCAAATTTTTGACAAGTAACATAAAATTCAAATATATTTAGTTAATTATTCAGTCAATTATTTAGTTTTCATGAGAAAAATAAAAATAAAACTTAGGTAATAACAGCTGTAAAAACTTTATTTCAAAATCAGTATATTAGAGGAATTAATTTAAAAGTATTTTAACAGTAGTTTTTAAATCTGCAATACTCAGATCATGCCTGCATATTTATTTTATATAGCCCTCATCAAATACCAAAACTAGGAAATTTAATTGATTATCATATAGTTTTTTTGAATTTTTTGGCCTGTGAACCCTTTTTAATTTTTTTTATATGGCCCAAGAGTCCAAAAAGTTTGCTGACCACTGATATAGAGTATTAATAATTATCTTATTATAATATCAAAAAATAACATACAGAATGATCCTACTGATATTTACATAATTCTATATACAATGTATACATATATTTGTGTTAAAATAATTACTTGTAATATAAAAAATAATTTTTCTTAAACATTTAAAATTATAATTTTTATTTAAAATATATGTATTCTCCTAAAAAATATTTTAAAATTTGTTAACTATTTTGGGGGGGGGGGGGGGAGCTTAAACCCCCAAAGCCCCTTGGATGTCCGCCAATGTGTACCATATGACGATTATCAAACTGAAATATTCCTACATTGCGCAGCTAGTAGATTTGCGGATTTGTTTTAATTCAATAATTTAATCTTTATATAATTAAATAATTTAAAATTAATAATTTAATTAATAGAATAATCATTCATAATATATTATATTTTTTATATTGTTATAGCTATAGCTTTATTATTAAAAATCCGTAATTTATCACTTTATAATTCTCACTTACACAAAGTCAATGGTTTTGAATTGATCAATTCTAATCAATAATATCATAATCTTTTTGTAATTCCAATCATTGGAAATAAATTAATAAAATAAATAAACTTTGATGTTTCTATTTAAAATCTTTGAATAATGAATTCTTATCCCAAGTTATAAAAATATAAAATGTTAATTAAGTCATAAATTCAAAATTGTGTTTTGGAGGTATTGAATTATAAAAAAGTACTTGTGTATTGAAAATAAATATATTTTCTTTACATTATAAATATTTTTGTGGAGTAAAACTACTTATATATACATTACAAATAATTTAGGGAAAAATTCCCAACAATCTAATCAAATGTAGCATCACTTAAAATACATTTTATAAGCTGTAATTTTTTTTCCAACTGTTGATGGTCCACCACACTTATTCTAATCGATGCTTTAATTATTAATTATGTATTATTTTAATATTATATGTGGAAATTAAAAAGTGATAAACTGATAATAAATAATTAATTATGTTATCACAGAAATAATATACAAAATAAATCATAATTTCAATCTTTATTGTTTACGTGCCTTTACTTTTCTTAGATAACAATTTTCGTAAGCAGAGTTAATTACAAACACAGATAATCGAGACACAGTTAATTAAATTACTACCAAGATTATTTTTTTTATAACCTTATTATAATAAAACATATATAGTAAAAATAACATTTTATATTAATTACATATAAATTTCTTAAAATTATTTGCCCTTAAGTAATTTTTAATGTTTGTTTCAGATTTGAATTCAAATATGATGTCGAGTGACTCTGATTTTGATGAAGAATTAGAAGGGTGTGTTCGAAAAAAATTTAAAATGTTAAATGAAGAAAATGATCAACCATTTGAAAACTATAGTTTGCCTCATTCTTCATCTTTATTTGAATGCAAAAATAGTCAAATTGTGGATAATAGTCAAAACGATAATATAATTATTAAAACAGAAAATGTTTTAGATTCAAATAGTGAACATTTAAATAATACGAGTATATCTTCTGAAGAATCAGATACTGATCAAGGTTATAATAAAAATAAATATGATTCTGAAAGTGATGAATATATACCTATTTCAGATGGTGATTTTGAGTTGGAAAAGTTTACTATAAATGATGAAACAAATTCTAATACAGTTTATTCCGAAAATATGAGCGATAAATTTGTCGAAGATGATTACAATGAAGATAATAAAACTAATATTAAACCCATAGCTATTGACGATGATGTATATGATTTACTAGATAAAGCCTATCAAGATAAAAATTATGATAGAAGTGAAAAGAAAAACCAAATTTTTTCACAACCTGACTTTAAAGAATTTGATAAAATAGTTTTAGAAGAAGTGTATAGAAATCATTTTGATATTTTGCCAGAAAATTGGATAGAAACAACTCATAAAAGTGGCATGCCAGTTTATCTACATAAAAAGTCAAGAGTTGTATCCTTATCAAGACCATATTTTTTGGGACCCGGTGATTCTAAGTCACATTTAGCACCATTATCTGCAATTAGTTGCTTACAATATAGAAAAGGACTTGAATCTAAAGTAATTATAAAAAAAGAACCAGATTGTCAATCTGGTGTTCTAGGAGATATGGTTATACCAAATGCTAAAGTAGAGACTGCTCAAGAAAATATTATTAAAGAATCATTAACCCATGAGGAATTGCGAGATTACTGTAAATCATTATTTAAGTGAGTCTTAGAAAAAGTATATAATATAGAATTTTAAAATTGTAAAAATGTTTAAACTGAACTATTTTTTAAAACTTTTCCTTTTTCATTTTTTTTAGGTTTAAAGAAGTAAAATCTGTAAATGAAATACCTGAGGTATTAAATATAAAAAAAGAAGTAACAAACAATAATCTTAATAATACTAAAGAAAGACCTTCACTTCCAGATAGTACTAAATTAATATCATTTCCAGTTCAGCTTGAGGATCATGATAAACGATGTAATCGTCGTCGAGAATGGATATTAAATCCAAATGGTAAGAGTTATGTCAGTATCTTACATGAATATTTGCAACAAGCATTGAAAACTCAACCATGGTACGATTTTAAAGAGCTTGATAATACAGAAACCCCTTATTCTGCTACTGTTGTGCTTAATGATGTCCAGTATGGTGTTGGCTTGGGTAACAGTAAAAAGCAAGCAAAGCTTAATGCCGCTCAGGCCACTTTAGATATTCTCATACCAGAAATGAAAAATAAAATTGATTCAGATAATCGTAACCAACGTGATCCAGTAATATTTGACCAAATTAAAGTCACTGACCCAAGAGTTACTGAGTTTTGTGCTAAAACTACAGAGCCTAGTCCATATGCTATGTTATTGGTGTGTTTGCAAAGAAATTTTGGTGAATGTGAAATTGGTATACAATATAAATTGAACAATCGTCGTAGGATGTTAAACCAATGTACTATGGTGGTTGGTAAACATACTGCTACTGTTTCTTGTAAAAATAAAAGAGATGGTAAACAAAAAGCTTCTCAAATAATATTGGGTCTATTACACCCACATATTGATAATTGGGGTTCATTGTTACGGTTGTATGGTAACCGAAGTATTAAAAATGCTAAAGAAAAAAAACAAGAAGAACAAGAAATTACTCAACTCCAAAGTAAGGCAGCAGTAAATCAACCAAATTTTGCTATATTAAACAAGCTTAAAGAAGAAATGTTAAAAGTAAGGGACCAAAGAAAATTAAAAGAAGCTAATGATAAGTTAGGTATACCTCAGCCAATGACTTCATCATGTCCATATACAATTGCAATGCCATCAGTTCCTGACTTTGGTTTTAAATAATCATATTTATTTTTTATCTTTCATACAATTTATAATATTAAATTATTAATTGAATTAATTGAAAATTAAATGTTAAGAGTACATATTCAGTTCCTAATAATATTTGCTATTTTAGTTTAAAGAAGTTCTGCCTTTCATATAAAATATTTTATAGTTTATCATTACTTTTTTGGTAACATACAAAAAAGTCTAATATGATTATAAAAATTGAAATAAATTAAAAATAATTGATTATTTTTTAACTAATGTGATGCCTGATATAGTTTTCTTAAAATATTTGCAATCAGAAATAAAAATGTTTAACAAATTAACTCAATAATTGAACAATGCCATAAACTGCAAGTTAATTTAAATACCATATTTTTCTAATTGGTTTTCCTGTAGGTTTATACCTAAATTTTTCAAAATGTAAATTTATGACTTTTTATACAAATATGTAATAAAATGTATTTCTTTTTATTATATGTATAATTATTGTTATTAAGTGTACTATTTACTATAACATTTTTTAATTTATTGAACCCAACTCATCAATGTCCAAACATTATATTACTTAATTAATAAGTTATAAACTGATTATATTTTTATTAATATTATTATTTTAAATATGTAAATATAAGTGGTGAATTATTTCTTAGTTACTATATAATAATAAACTATTTAACTTAAAATAAAACAAATTATAGAACAGTTTGATATGTATATATTAATAAGAATATCTAAGAGAATGTTTATTATATAAAAAGAGAAAGATTTTGATTAAAAATTTAACATAATTGTATTATAATATAAAATAAAGTTAACATATTTAAATACAAAAGAATTTGTGATTAAAGACTAGAACTATATTGTAAGTTTATGATTTTTTTTCATTTCCAATACATTTATAAACAGATAATTGCAAACATTTTAAAAAGAATAAAATTAATATTATACTATAAAAAAGAATTAAAATTTAATTGTATTGAAATGGATGAAGGGTCTATTATGTTATGAGATTGATTTAATACTACAATTCTCTTTTGATGCAACCCTAAAAAAAAAAAAAAAAAATTAAACATTGTTATATATTAAACAAAATTATGTTATAATTTAAATTTAATTTATTGAAATGTTTACCAAGTAACTTTCTGAAAACCAAACTGGCATGTTTCCGTTTTGTAAGATGCATAGGACAAAGATCAGTAAAAATTAAATATGAAGTGTTTTCAGAAGACTGTTGTAATATGTGAGATATAATACTTATGATATCCACAGATTGTTCATGACAATTTTCAACTGGTTGAACAACACTGTAATATGTAATAAGAAAAACGTGATTTTTTTTTTATCAATGAAAATATACCAACTATAAAAAGTATCTACTTTCTATTATTCAGTGAACCATCTAAGTTAATTATATTTAAACCATAATTGTCTTTGTAAATATTTGGATGTTGAATGTTTCCCGGAGAATTTCCAGAAGGCAATAATCCCAATTCAGTTATTAAAGACTGAGTTTCTGGGACTTGGATTTGACAGAGAGATGGAAAGTCCAGAATAGGATGTTGGACATCCATATGAGATTGTTCGTAACCAATCAAAGTTTTATGGGCCACTAAACTTTGATTGACTCTAAGTTTCATTTTTTCTTTAAATTCGTCCCACTTAGTCTGATCAGTATTAGAATTTTGAAAGTCCTTTAAACTATCCTCCAACTTTTTATTAATCTAATTTTATTAAATAACAAATAAATACTTATTTATAAATTATAATAAATGTGATTCTTTTATATTGCCATTTGTATCATTAAAATGTATGTTTACCTCATTAATTGTGTTTCTCCAAACTAGACTGTTATTAATTATACCTGAAAAAAATTATTGCTTATTACTTATATATAAATATTAAATAAAAATAGATTATTAATAGATCATATTTAAATTAAATTATTGCTATGAAATATTGTACTCATATAAAGACAAATCTTTTACTAAATAATCAATTTTCATTTTATGTAAAAGAATTAGACTAGAAATTATTACATAGTGTACATGAATGTAAAAAATTAATTTTAAAATAAATAATAAATACATTTGGATTAGACATTGAAAGTAACATACAATTTTTTTACTTTAAACCTAACATATTGTTAGTTATTTTCCTATTGTTAGTTACTTTCTTTAGTTGAACCAATTTCTTTTTTATTGTAAATTTTTTTTTTTTTAATAACTTATTTATGTATATAAAAAATCCATTTATACGTACATTCTTCAGCTAAAAGAAGCAGGCTTAAATGAGGCAATTCATTGTTTAAACACTGTTGATAAATACTGTAAAATTAAAAATTATACATAAAACTAATTAAAAATGTAACTATAAATATAGAACATTATAATTTTGTGAAATGTATATGAAACACATTTTTGAATATATAAATTGCAAACAAAATTCGTTATCATATAATATTTAAAAAAAAATCAAATAATAATGAGTAATTTTTAAAGCCAATAAGCTATTATTGATGTTTTGATAACCAATGAATTAAGGTCAATATTTTTATTTTAGCATAAAATACGTTCATGGGCCCTATATTTAATATTAATACAATTAAAATTACTAGTGTTTATATTTAATCGAATATAATATTAAAAAGTACTTGGTTAGGCTTATAAGATAAAAATTAAGGGGTCAGAATTGGCAATAAACATTCAACGCCCAAGTGATTCATTTAAACCATAATTAGTGGAGGAAGTAGGTAAATTAAAAGTGATATGGTGACAAGTTAAGCGAGGAGTGACATTTAAGGAATTAGAGAGAGTAGGTATGGTGAGTCAATATGCCTATTTAATAATTCAGATAGAAATTTAAGGTTAGCAGAATGCCTACGATCAGCCAATGAATCTAATTTGAGATGCTCTAGTACTGGTAAATAATTATGAGGAGGTCATTCAATCCTGATTACATGACTGCCATATTTTAAAAAATGATTTTGTATTTGCTCAAGCATTATATTGTTTATAGCGTTTTGATCAGTAGTAGGATCTCAAATAACAGAGCCATATTCAAGAATAGGCCTGACGAGATAACAATATAGTGCCTTAATGGTGGATACTAATTTAAAAATTATTGTTATATATTTAATAAAAGCTGATATAGAGTATTCTGTATACAGAATTAAAAAAGGAAGAAAACTAGTTTGCAGAATATTGTTCATCTAATCCTGTAGTATTATTATGAAATACAGTTTTGGGAATAGGATTTAGGATTAGGTGAGTAGTGTTTCTTAATAAACTTTTGAGTTTTTTTGTAAAATGACTTAAGTATTAATATTAGTTAATGGTTTTAAACGAACAACCTGATTAATTTAAAAAAATACCAAAACTATATCTTAGAATTACATTGACATAAATAAAAAGTAATATATAAAATATTTAATTAAATAAGAGCTAATTTTTTTACACAATTTCACAAAAAGCAATTTTTTTTAAATATTATACATATTTTTATTTACTAAGTAATAGGTAAGTATTTTAACATTTAGAAAAATTGTCAACAAAATAAAACTTATAATTTCATTATTTAGATTTATTGAAACTATAATAATTTATAATACATACCAACTGTTTGTAGTTGTATTGTAGTTTAATTTTTCACATATAGCTTTATAACTACCTTTTGTCATTTCATTATTAAAAATATCATTCTGGTTCTAATAAAAATATTTATTAATGAGAAATCAATAAAATAAAATATTAGTTTTAATATATGGAAGTTAATATAACTTTATATTTCCAGAACTAATTGTCTCTATTTTAATTAGTATTAAATACACACAAAAAATAAAAGCACACCGTTGAGAAATATTAAAATCAGTAATTATTTTTAGTTAGAAAAATTATAAGAAAGTTTGTGGTAATAAATAAGGAGCTTGAATGTATATTGTATATTCATTATTGAATAATCAAGCTCCTTGAAGATTACATTTCAAATGTTGAAAAATATGAATTACTTTGTTTATTTCCAATTCCATATTTAAAGTAAGTACAGCAAATGGTATATTAAGTTTACTACGGTAAGTAGCATATCTTAAAGGCAAATGGTTCATAGATTGATAAAAATATTTCATTTCCATACGTTCAAGTGGTCTCTATTAAAAAATGTATATTTTACATTTATTTTCATAATAATTAACAAATATAATGTTATATTACATCAAACAACTGTCCCTCAAGTGTCTTCAGTCCATGTTTACGTAATTTACTGCTTTGTTCTATTGGCTTTTTTTTATACTGCACACATAAATACATTTTCATGATTATTCAAGTATTAATACTATGTATTAAAATATATAAAAGTATCATTTTTATTTCATTATTAATTTAAAAAAATTGAATTAAATTTTTACTTGCATATGAATGAACAAAAATAACTATTATAAATCAATAAAAATGAATAAGTGTATAATGATAACTTGCAGTTAATTTATGGGTTACTTTTTGTAGTAATACTTAGTTAAAGCTTGAAGAAGACTTAGTTGATATCCTAATTTGCATTACTTGTAATATTACTTATTTTATGGTGGCAAATTTAATATACAAAAATTAATTAGTTATGAAAGATGTAGAATATTTATGGTTATGATTGTTAATAATTCAAACTGAAATATTTTAATAACATTTCATAGTTATAAAAAAAAAAAAAAATGAAGAAATTAAAAGTATTAGTGTTTGATATAAATAATAAATTTAAACCGACTTTTATACAGCTGTTCTATATCATCTAGTTAAATAACATTAAATATAAATTAGAAATTGTCTTATGTGTTCAATAAACCTTAAGTTTAAATATAAATTTGAAGAACCATAAAACAAATAATAAAATATAGTAATAAATAGTAACATAAATTACCCACCATATAAATACATAAATATTTAATTTTAATGTGCCTTACATTTCCTTTCATTGATTTACTCAATCTCTTTCTTTTACACGATTGATTATTTAAATTGTTTTGAGGTGAATCATTTTCAGTAGATATCTGAAAAAGTTGTTATTTTGATGACATTTCGGTGTTTCTTATTTTTAAGATTACTAAAAATTTAATACATTTAATAAATGTTGATTTACTTGTTTATGTTGTTCTTTTTGATTTAGTTCAGATTTGAACTGTTCTGTTAATTTATTAGTTTCAATTTTTTGATCTTGTAATTTATTTGTATTCTGTGATTGTTTTCCTGATTCTTGAAATTCCATATGATTAGGCTGTATAACATTAATACCCTTAAGTTTTTCCGATTCATTTGAGAAATGAGGATAATTTATAGGCATATTTGGATTAATAATTGTAAATTCTCCAATCGGTTGAAGAGGTAACTAAAATAAATTTAATATACTTATATTAAAATATTTAACTAAAAGTCAAGTATTAATTTACATACATTTGGTAGTTCTAAATCAAACCTAGGATGTCCATCTAGATTTTCTTTGTCATTCAAATTAAATATAGTATTCTGATTGAGTAGAATTGGTTTATTATTTGATTCCTATGAAAATAATACATGGTGTTTATAATTATGTATATTATTTATATATATTTCAAAAACTGATATATAGAATGCGGCATAATGGGCTCCCACATTTCCAAGATGAATTTAAAAAAACGATACAAGATATAGAAAAAAAAATTATATTTTTAAAAACTTTATTATATAAGGTATTTTTTAATTATTTTTTAAAAATTATATCATCTAAATAATTGCCTCGACGAGCAACACACATATGGAGCTGTTCTCGAAAGTTTTCTATCACTCTCGCCAGCATATCGAGTAGAATCGTGGAGATTTCTTGATGGATAGTCTCCTTTAGTTCTTCAATGGTTCTCGTTCGATTCTGAAAACTTCAGACTTGAGGTATTCCCATAAGAATTAGTCACATGGGCTCAAATCAGGGGAGCAAAAAGGCCATGTAATGTTTTCCTTTAAGGAGATCAGGTGACCAGGAAACATTTTTTACAAAACAGCACGAGAACAACGGGCTGTATAAGTTGTGGCCCCATCCAGCTAAAAAAAATAATCGATGTTCTTACTGCGACAATGTTTCCGGTATCCTCACGGACTTAGGAGGTCCAACCCGTTTTTTAGGCATTGCAGATTCCGTTGCTCTTAAATTGTATACGCAATTCAAAATCGTTTTCCGATCAGGAACACTTTTGTTTGGATTCAAACCGAACCGAATGCGAAATACTCTGTGTCGCAGTCACACATTCGGCGTTTTTGAAAAATTCCTCGATAACGAAACTATGTTGTTCACCAGATCACGGCATGGTGACGACTAAAAACCTTATTAATAATCTAATTTAGCGAAAGAAACTACTTTAATCTAATAAGTTTGATTACGCGTTAATGATTATTTAAAATATGGGAGTCCATTACGCCACACTCTGTATAAAATAAAATAATTTATCAAGTTTAAAAGTATTTTGTTTATAATTGAAATTTTAACTTTTATTGTAAATGCTTGCCAAAACTTAGATTTAAAAATGGAATTATGGAATCTGCTTGAGGTTTATAAATCTTATTTGTATATTAAAAATAGAATACAGAATTTATAGTTAAAAAAGAAAAATGAAAAAAATGAAAAGTACTATATTTATTTTTAACAACAGTATGCAATAAATCTATTTTTTAATCAAAGAAAGGAATTAATACAATTGCTATAAACTCAGTACTTAGGCCTTACCCACTTTTTGTTTTTAAATAATTAAATAATAAACAATTTAACCAATAACAAACTTAATAAATTTCTCAATAAAAAAATTATAGTTTAAACATTAGTTTTTTATGGTAGTTAATACAATTGAGTATTTAAATATACAAACAAGAGTTTGGTTTTAAATAATAACTATTATAAAATTCTATAATTTATAGTATTCCTTAGATAATTTAATAGTATTTAAATGTATGTAATACATAAAGTTAATATTTAACAAAAATATTAACAATTTAAGTAATTAATTCATATCCTAATGTTTTTCAATAATGTATTTTTGCTTATAATAAGGGACTTAAAGTAATAATGCATATAATTTATCTTAAAATGTATGACTCATATAGACTGTTGAGTAATATATAAGTATAAAAAACATATCAAAATAAAGATTACAGTTATTGAAGTAAATTAATTTTATTGATAGACATTCAGGGCAGGTATTAACTAATGAGATGGGTTATTGTTATTATTATTATAGTTATTGAAATAAATGCAAACTTAAGAAATTACGATGAGAACATTTTGAAACATTTTAACTATTCTAAAATTGAGTTTGCATTTATTGTTTATTTCATTAACTACCTATAATATCTATCAAATTGAATAGATTTATAACTAAGTTCTAAATTAACTGAAATTTAAACTATTATGTCACTTACTAAAATAACATCTGATTCATTAATGACCTTATCAGTTAAAATAACTTGATTTTGATTAAACTGATTAATATTTTGATCTAAAACCAATAAAACATGCATATATATATATATCAGATTATTTATTGTACTTCAATATAAATACTTAATATACTTAATACTTAATACTCAATATAAATATACTTTATGCTTTGATAATAATTTCAGTTCATCCAAATAAATAAATTAATTAATCTTTACTTAAAAATATATTTTAGACAAAATACATATATTTACTTTCAATGAATAAATTACGGTATGGCTGATCATCAGATTTCTCTGTTTTTTTCTTTTTCGGAACTCGAGTTCTAAGTAAAATGAGTTTACATATATATATATATATGTTACCTGCAATATGGATAACATGGATAACCCGGTATTTCGCAAAATGATATAATATAAAATGCCAAAAATCACTCGGCAATATATATAATACGAGCTTTGTCTAGGTATTATGTACAATGCCAAAAGTGGAGTAGGCAATATGATGAAAATAAACAAAAAAGTTTGAGTCGCTTATTACCAACGATTTTACTTATCGTTTATCATAAATGTGCGAGCACGATTTAGCGCAATAAATATTAAGATTCTTTTACTACTATAATAATAATTTTGAGGTATAATATTGAATGTAGGTACTAATTATTTTTGTTCTACCATAAGACCTTCATCTGTCAGATGTCAGTGAAAGTGAAGATGATCAATCTTAAAGCTACCATAAACAAATCAAATTTTTAATTATTAATTAAGGTAAATATGTAAATAGAGTTGTGATAGCATGCAATATGCTGAAACATTTTAAAATTAATAAATAAAAATAATAATAATAATTTTGTTACAATATCATCATTTTCGTGTCTCGTTTTGGTGTGGAACTATGGTTACGATTTATATGAAGTCAAATTTTTATAACAAACTACAAATTTTTTTTAAAAAATTTAGTTACTAATACTAGTGTCTTATCTGATGAACATAATTATAAGTTAATAAAACTTCAATCTACAAGAATTAGCATAGAATTTTAAAAATGTGTTTGTAAGCCCAAATGTCAAAATAAAAAGTGTATTTGCCTTAAAAATAAAATTTTATGTACTTCAAAATGTCACTTTTCTACGATATGTTATAATAAGTAAAAAGTAGTTTAAGTAAAATATTTATATAATAGTAATAATATAATAATAGATAAAAATTAAATTTTGTCTGTAATACGAGTAATAATATATAATAATTATAAGAATTTTAATGTAATGTGGACGAATGTAAACTCGGCTCAAGGAAAAAAATGTTCAAAAGGTTTATTGTAAACTCAGCCCGTGTTTTTTCAGGTAAAAATAATTTAAGTGTAAACTCGGCTTGGATAAAAATGTGCTTATAATTTTCTTATAATATTTTTAAGAACCATTTAGTATTACCCAGAGGACACTACAAGAAGGCAATTCTCATTATCCTCCGAAAATTATTTTCATTATCATATTATTATTCATATTATGAAATTCGTTATATAATTAATGTAAAATGTATTTATGTAAATTTCTAAGCTTAAAAAAACTAAAACTATAAATAAAGGTGTTGATTAAAAATATAAGTGAAAAATTGTATCACAATAATACATATAAATCTATTTTTTTAAGTAAAAAGCCATGTGATTAACGTATTCACTTGTAAATATTATCGGGCCTAGATTACAACCGACCTTTTTTATTACCTAAAATTTCCTGGCCTAGTTTACAATCTACCTACTTTATTACCTAAAATGTTCGGGGCCAAATTTACAACAGAAAAGGTAATCGCGAGCCCAGTTTATATTTGCCCCGTAATGTAACATATAATAAGATGTTTTGTACTTAATCTAAAAGAGATTGGCATTTTGTATAATACCTAGGTATTTTATAAAATATCTAGGTAATATGTAAAATAATATTGAAAATCATATATTTTATTTATATTGCATAAAATGGGTCGGAAATTTGCATAATGCCAAGGGATTTTGCAAAATACCGGAATTTCCATATTGACGGTGACATATATATATATTTATATTTAAATAATGTACATTATTGATGTACATCAATGTTACCAGCAAAGTATTACATTTAAACAGTCTATGCAATTTATAATAACAACTGATGATCGAAGACAACATAAATAATTTTTTAAGTTATACCTATATTAATATATTATACTTATTAAATATTATAATGAAAAATAAAATATATATGCGTATTGTTTGGATATAATATAAATAATAATATATTACTAATATAATAATATATAGTTTATATTTAAAAATATATACTTGTCTACAAATAATAATTTATATAATAAACACTCAAAATTATAAATTATAATTATCAATATTAGACATTAACCTTAAAATAAAATATGAAATTACTAATTATTTATTGATACTTATATTAAAAATACTGCAACGCGGAATGTTTTGTTAAAAGTTTTTCATAGTTAATTTACATAAATAAAATATTTTAAAAAAATTGTACTATATTTTTTTTCTATTATAAAAATATAGATAGGTACCTACTATTATTATAAAATAGTTATATTATATTTTAAATATTAACATAAAATATATTATTTAAGTTATAAATGATTATTTAATTAGTGTACTAAAATTATTTTAATAAGGTATAGTAAATTAAAATTCGAAAGAGTTAAAATTAAATTGAATATTTTTCAAATTAGATAATGATTTTGCTTATTTTATACTTTATCTCAACATTTTAAAAAATGGCATTCTATAGTAAAATAAATTTAATTCTTTGCTTGCAACATCTATAATTATTTATTATTTATACTTACTTAGCTATTTTAGTTTTGTATACAGATATTGTTGAAGTCCTACAATAATCTAAATATAATTTTTAATCAAAATACTAATTTACAACAATATTTTAGTAATATTATTATTTTTGTCATAATACTAAACACACATTACTATAGAGAAGGAATTATTATTTACCATATACATGACTAAAAATACTTTTTTTATTTAATTTGTCCATTTTTCTTAAATACCTAATCAATACCTACTTCAGAAGTAACTTAATAAGTAAGTTATTTGTAATACCCATAAATCATAGGATATTACAGATGTTCCAGTATATTTGTATTATCCATTATTTTATGAACAAATAATTAAAATAATCTATTACAAAATATGTACAGGTAACTCTATAATAGCTATGTAAAATTATATTTATTTTTTTTTTTTTGATAAACTAAGTCTTTACTAAGTCAACGTTTATTGCATTCGACAATGTTAACTGGGAAATAATGTTTAAAATGATGAAAAAAGCAATAGTTGCTATTTTCATAGGAGTTCATATTTTAAGACATGATAAGCTGCTATTACTAATCTTAAAAGGAGTAATCGATGAAAAAAATCACAGAGGAAGACCATTATTGCAATACATAAGTCGGATAATAGAAGATCAAGTAAGTACCTCATACCAAGAGTTGAAGAGGGAAGCTAATGATAGAAAAATATGGAAGTTGCAGCAAACCAATCATTAAATTGAATACTGCAAGAGAGAGGTCCTTACTAAATATTATTTTAATTTAATTTCTTTATTACTTTATTTTGTTGATTTTATTTAATTATTAATTATCTATTAAAAATAAGTCTTATAAGCTATTTTTAATGTATTAATATCTCTTTAAAAAACATGGAAATTAATTGACAGTTTGCAAGATTAAAAACAAAATTATATGTTATACAACATTATATTTATACATTATATATTTAGTATATTACATTATACTAGTATTTAATAATAAATAAATAAAAAAGAAATAATTAAGTCCTAGAAAGAAAGTATTTTATGACAATAATAATAAGGAAAAAATTAATATAATTTATTCAAAATCACTTACTATAATAAGCTTTAATAGACTGTTCATGTATTAAAATTAAACCAATAAAAGCTTGACTAATAAAAAAAAACATATACTTTTTATATTGAAAGTCATTTTGTATAAGTTGTGTAGTGGGAAATATGACATCATCAAAATTAGTTAAAAGTGTAACTAATTTATCACTGGAATAAAATAATATAAATGCATTACTACCAACAAAATTTAGAAAACTTCTTCTAAAACATTATATAAAATATATAAACATTATTTTGAAAATAAAATTGATATATCTTTACCTACACATATAACATTTTAATTAGTTTTTTATATTAAAATTAAAACTTTCACAAAGAACCTAATTAAAATACAAATATTTAAAAAAAATATATTTTTATAAAGAAGTAAAAACTGTTTGTCACAATTATAAAACCATAAAAATGTTAATTATATTACCACATCCAGGGAACATCTAATTTCTGGAAATCTTTATTAGTACTAAAATACTCATCTAGATATTTTTTGTCTGTAAAAACGAGCACTGGTACATTTAACATGCCACTAGGATCTAAATGACGGATCAGTTGGTAAAAATTTTTATTGTAAAAATCCATGATCCACACTCAATATTAGGCAATTATATTAATTTATTACTATCAGCAATTACGTACTAAGACTAGTAATAGAAAACTTTCAGTCGAAAATGACAAATGAATTATAATAAATTAGTTACTAATAGAAAATAATCAACAAACAAAAGAAACATGAACAAATACACTCTGATTGGTCCTCAGATTAGATGTAATCTATGATTGGGCTATAGCTGTTGTTACTCTATGGCAGTTATTCTCGTTCGTTTTTTTCTTTTATGTCGTCTTTAGTCCATAAATAATATTATTACCTATGCTTAGTCACTAGAATCAAACACTGAATCGCACCTAACATTAAAATAATAATAATAATAATAACAATCTTAACTATAAGTTTAGAAATTTAGAATTATTCTTGAAATAACAAAAAAAATACAGTCTACGCAGAAAAATAATAAATACACCTACAATTTATTTGAGTGGCAGGGTTCGATAAACATTAACACTTTAAAGTTGAAATCTGCAAATAAAAAAAATTAAAAAATAGAGAAAAAATAATAGTGATTTGTATAAAAACCAATGAGAAATTTTATCCTGGTGGTTTTTATCAAGCTGAGGAAATTTTTATTTTGTGAATTTGGAAAAAATAAGCATTTCCTGCAAATGTTTGGTAGGGATAAGGAAGTAAGATTAAGTTAGGTTTATGAGTAAAATATTTAAATTACAAATTAAACTGTTAAACTTCTATTTCATATTGTGATACCACAAAAAAAGTATTATACAATCGACTATCGAGAAATCGTAGTAGCAAGGTTATTGATGTTTTAAAGTTGAACGGAACGTTACAAAACATTCCATAGTCTGTTATTATTTTTATCAATCATAATACGAATAATATTCATATTTCATATTAATCAGCCATTTTGCGTCTTCAAGATAAACCATTTTTTTTCTACGTAGAATTTGTAAAATAAGCAAAAATAATCAGAAAAACTGGAAATAAGGATTTTTTTAAAAATTGCTGAAAAAAAAGCAAAAAAAGGCACTTTTAAATGTCATAATTTTACGTGTTATAACTTGCCATATACTTCTATAGCACTTTGCTACATTTTAAGTTAATCCATAAAAATAAGCAAATACTTTAACTTCCGAGCCCTGCTTATAACATATTCGGATTTTTCCATGACTCATTATTATCTGTTACAATTAATAATTCTGTTATTTTCTTTTGTTTTCGAAGTTCATCTTATTTTTTCTAAGAACTTTCTAGACTTACCCCACCATTCTCCTCGTCTACTAGCAATAAGCTTTTAAGGCCTTACTAGTCAGTAGCACCATAGATTAAATATATTATATTAAATATATATAGTATATTTAATCTATGGTAGCACCCGCATGGCCAATATCGATCGCTAAAATTAATTAACGGTGGACTTATAGATTTAATAAATAAATAAATAGGTATTAAAATAATTGTGTTACAATAAACATACATTTTATGATAACAAAATCATCACAATTACCATATCAATATTACCACCCTGAATACCTTATTAGAATTTAGAAATATAACGCACACGCTTCGCTCGCAAGTATTAATATCGTATACTACTTATTACCACACTTATATTTTTTTTATACAACTTATATAAGTCTATGATTACAACTTACACTACCTGGTATATACAATTTTTACATGTTTACCTTTTGCTTACTTGATATAACAATATGTATTTTAAATTATAAAACAATTTTTATTGTACGAATAAACAAATAATATATTAGAACAAATAATAACTTACTGTATTTAACTATATTTTTTAAATAAAAAGAAAACTATCGCAACTTGGATTATAAAATATATATGTTTAATATATACATGGTTTTTATTATATTTATATATCTATGGTGGATAGTACTTATTGTAATTACACGACGAATGATGTGAACGTGATAACTTGTAATGGTAATCATGATTATGATTATAATTTATAATATTATAACAGAACAGTTTACAGCTGAAGTCTGTGAATATTTTATATAACCACGGTTGGTAATTTAATAAAAAAAAAAAGTTTGCTAATTTTGGTATATTATTGCAATTAATTCTCTAATACCACTTCTTTTTTTTCAAAAATACCACATTTTATACTATACCACACCATGTACCACAAGTGGATTAAATTACCACCGAATGGGTAATTACCACATCATCGGCAACACTGTATATAATACAAAATATTATGATATTATAGCAGTGAACTGAAAATACCAAAACTGGCAATTCTCACTGTCATTGACGACTATCGTCTATTTTATCTTATCTTTAACAAAAATTTCAAATTTAACTATATTTATAATTTTATATTCTAGTAAACGGTCATGTAATGTATTAAATAATCGTTTATTATATTACTAATATGCATCATCAATAATAATTTTATTGTTCATTGTATTTAATTATTTATAAACTAACTTAACACTTAACTTGAATTCGATTAAAAGTAACTTGTTATTTATTAAGTTTATATAAATTAAAATAATTTTAGTTAAAATTAAGTTAAATTAAAATAAAAAAAGTTAAAATTAATTTTAACTTTTTAACTTGTTTATTCCTAGGCTTGCCGGACCTCTATGATTTATGTACGTATACTTAACTCAGCCTTAAAATGTATAACTAACCAAATTTATTTTTATCATACACGGACGACCGTGTACATGTTAAACCGTAAATTTATATCTATACGAGCGCCCGGTTATGATTATCTGTCTACAATTAGATACAGCGTCATTAACCTACGATTACCAGAATATTATCTTTTATTAATTTCTTACATACCGCAATATTTTATATCAATATAAATATTTATTCTTCAAAAGTCTCAATTTTTTTTCCACTTGTTAAAATTTATTAATCAATAATAAATTTCACATAATAATATATTTTGTTATGTTAATGTAACCATTGATTATAGAATAGATTCTATTCTATAATCAATGATGTAACTAACGCCATTTAGTGTCCCCAATCGAACTAAGGAGACCTAAATTACAGGGACGCATTATCTTACCTTAAATAAGAAGAAAGACTCCATCCTTATCTGTATCAATCCCACTTTAACCATTGCTTCTTTTCTAAGGCGAGGTTACATTAGTTATCAGTTAAATATAAATGATGGGAAATAATAACATGTTTTTACAATAGGTGTACCTAACACATTCAGACGAAAACAATATTTTATTGTTGTGCCTTGTAAAATGTTTATACATAAATGTATTCCGAATGTCACAATTCATTTTTGACAAAAATGGACATTAATGAGTTAAAAGTTAAAATTAAGTTATAACGTTAAGTTAATTAGCTCGTTAATTTTTTACAAATTAACTTATAACTTAATAAGATACTTTTTTTTTAAGATTAACGGGTTAACTTTAAGTTAATTTTATTTAAAAGTATTTCAATTAAGTTAATTTTAGTGCAAAGAATAAGGCAAATTATTAAATAAGGTTTTTAGTATATTTATAATTTACTATTTTAATATGAATTTCCTGTAGACGAAAAATATATGAAAAATAACTCTAATAGTATTTATATGGGCTATATTTTATCATTATATTTTTACAACATTGTTATTGTATAAACGGTATAAATAAAACCATGGAAATCCTAAGAATATTCTGTGAAAATAGTAAATACCACGAGAGCGAGTGTCGATGAGGGATTAATCACAAAACAACTATGGTATAATTTCCAATTTAATTCCATTATTAAAATTGTAAATTTATTTGAATATGAGTTCCGGAATAAGATTTATTTTAGAAAAGTAGATTTTTTGATAGCTAGTTAATACTTTCATGTATCATTTTAAATTTCCCCAATAATTTTCTTGAGCGTAAAAAAACTAATATTATATGTGCAATTTTTTATTTTTGCAAATTGAAAATTTTAACTTTAAATTAAGTTAAGTTACTTTTTTCAAAGTTAACTTTTAACTTAACTAGTTAACTAAAAAAAATATAAGTAACTTTTAATTTAACTTAACTTTATTATTTTAAAATAACTTAACATGTTGAAAAAATCGGTAGCTTACCCAATCTTGATTTTTGAATACAAAATGTATTCTTTTAACATTCATATGAATTAAAAAAAGATAATTTATGCTGATAATGGAGAAGTACATAATATAAGTATATTTAAATAACACAAAAATATATTATTTTCTAATACTTTTTATTTATTTTACATTTTAAAATATATTTTTTCAGAAAAGTACTTGTAAAATGTTCAAAGAACATTAGGATAACTATATACTTACTACTTAGTTTATAAGTCATAAGTTTATCATAGCGGTTATATTATTAATATATTGGGTTAAAATTTGAATAATACTCCCTTCCAGATTTCCATAAAATCATTTTTATTTTAAAATCTCTTTGCTTAACTGGTAGAAATAATTTGTACAGTATTTTCATTTAAAATCAAAATAGTTGCAACAACCAACAAAATTATTATAATTTTAAAAAAATTCTCATATTTTAGATGGAATTGGCTTATAAAACACCTCTAAATGACCAGTGGATATGAAGTCTATATTAATCATGAAATATGATATTATTATATATTTTGTTTTACATAAAAAAAAAAAAATATACATTGTAGGAAAGTTAAATTTTCTGAACAGTAAAGCATAACAATTATCACTTATCAATATCAGTAAATGATTCTTTTACATATCACATTTATTTAGTGTAGACGTGAACTGTCATAAATATATATAAGTTACTTACTCTTGTGACGGTTATTACTTTGGACTAAAGCGCCATTGCGCTAAATTTACCACATAAATAGATTTAATATTTTTTAAATAACACAACTTTATTTATTTTAATATGTTCATGTTATATTATGAAAACCATAAATTAATATATAAAGTATCCAACTTACATTGATTTTTACTTTTCGATATTATAATATGATTGTTATTACTAATCAACATCAACATAATTATTAAAATAAATGTAGATGTTACAATTTTGTTTGTCGAGCTCTAATTTAATTATAGAGTGTAATGTAATTATAACACTGATTATTTATTTATATACTATATTAATAAATATTTATACATACTCGTGTATATGTTACAGTAAATTATATTATAAACCAAAATAACGTTATTTTCTAGAAAATTACGTTATCTAACAAAGTAGTAAATATCGTTATTTATTATTTTTTTGGTTTAGTTATCGATAATTTCAATACGGAATATATATATTATATATAGATAATATTACAGCTGCAGTATTAATTAGCATAGTGGAGCTTACTAGCGTAGAACTTTCTTATAATTATTGTAAATAATATCATAGATTAAATATATTAAGTATATTTATTTAGTATATTTAATCTATGATAATATTTAGAAGAGAAACAGTAATGAAAAATCATTACTGATATTATGAAAATGAAAGTGAAGCTCATCGGCAGGGCTTGGAAGTTTTAACACTAAAAATATTCCTTTTTAGCTCTTAAATAATCTAAAATATGCGCTATAAATAGCAGGAAAAAAATATGGAAATTATAAATTTATTAGAAAAAAAATGTAATTTTACAAATGTTTGGGCTCATAGACACAGTCTGGACTAGTTGAATAATAAACTGTTAACAAAAATGTTAAATTACTTAAATATATTTGTAAAAATGTACTTATTATTAAATTATTTACCTTGGAAATCATCCTGCATTATTAAAATGTTTGATAATTTAATGCAATGATATAATAAGGGAATTACAATGACATCACTAACTATAAATACATCAAATTTTCGATGAAAAAAATAATATTTGATGAGGTTTATTTATTTCCAATAATTTAAATATTTTTAAAAATATAATTTAGTAAGTACAATTATTATCAACAAAATATAATTATTTCCAGTATTATATGAAAATATATCCGAAAATAGCACTATAAATCCTAAATTAGCAAAATAGCAATAAAACCCGTAAATATGCAAAAAATAGCAAAATTAAATTTTATGTATGATATCCGAGCAGTGAGAAACATATTTGAATCTTACTTTGGATGTTCTAGAAGGAACCAAGAAAAATACGCATTTACTAGAACTTCCAAGCTCTACTTATCGGACATCTGATAAAATACAAACATCTTAGGTAAATATAAAATTTATGTTAGTCTTCTACAGAACGCTTTGGCATTATTGTATCGTTAAAAATATAATATATATACATATGAAGTATTTGTAAAATTCTGTGCTATTTTTCTTTAAAATGTGTGAATTTTAATTTTAATTTTCTTTAAATTATATATATTTTTATACAACATGGATGAACTTGAAATGAAAAGTAAATTTAACAATATTATATCTGATATAGGTAATTAATAAAAAAACGTAGGGACAATAACTATTTTCTAACTATTGATGAATACAATATTCGTATTAAAAAATTAAAACATTCAAAATTTGTATTGAAAACTCCAGGGGAAAAAAGTCTATGAAAGATTATAGAATATCTTATGGGTACACAAGGCTATCAAAGATGTCACTATAAGACGAAGTGTAAAACAAATATATGTACCTGTCGAATAGTTAGTAAATTATACAATTCGAAATGCCAGACTTCTTTGCCGTGTGAAAATTATTAAATTTTCATATACAAATTTTAATATCTTTTTTTTATTTTATTAACTAACAAATATACAATTATTAACATACAATTTTATTTGAGTTACAATTAACAACATTAACTTATATTGTTTGAAATTAACGTGAATTCTTAGTAAATAACGTTAAAAACCTCACAAATTATTCATTATTACCTTACGTTAATATGAATCTAACGTCTTTTACTGCAACATATATATATATATATATATAAATATTTATTAAAATAATAATATTTAGTGCATTCAATAAATATAATTTATTATTTTTACTCATTGGGAAATAAAGTAGATTAAAAAAATATACATCAATATTATTGGTCAAAAAGTTTCAATGCAGATGTTAATTTTTATTGTTATTTTTTTTTTATACATAAACATTTTAACTTTAATAAATAAATGTATATATATTGCAATCATATATTAAATGGATTTGTTTTTATATAAATTTTTCTAAATACCATAATTTAAATAAAATAATTTATCAAAAAAACAAATAACTTAAAAAAAATAATCAACAAAATTATTTATAAGGATAAGAAATATGATTTTGTAATTATAAATACAATAATTATTTTATATTCTTCCACCATTTACACAAAACCTAGTAACTAAGCTCCAACTAAAATTTAAAAATACATATAGTAAATAAAATGAATAACAATAATGTTTTTAGATACCATTATACAAATAGCTAGTAATTATATATATATATATATATATATATATATATATATATATAATTGCTTATAATTAAATGGTTTTGAAAAAATATGTAACATAATGTTAAAAGTGATTTATTTATTTATTTGTATGGCTTTAAATGAATCAATGACATTAAAATTATAACAATAGAAAATAAAGTAAACAATAGATATAATGAACTAAACAAATGATAGTCAACAAATTGTTAATAATAACGCTAATAATGTTATAAAAATAAAAATGGGAGTCATTGTGGCCAAGTGGAATAATGCGGCTATCTTAATGTAGAGTCAACGGTTCTGACTAAGTTTGGCTTTCTGGGCAGAGAATAGTTTTAAAGGAAGAAATTATCCTCTCTTCTAACTAACTCATCAATCTAACATGTTCACACCACCAACAGCATAACCAAGGAGGAATTTTGCAAAATATTAACTCCCTACCCCCAAATATCTCTCTTATTTTGTAAGATATACAATCATTTTAAGATATTGGTAAAATGTTATATATTATCATCAAATAATTTTCACAGTTTCAACAAACTAAATGATAACAAATATTATATTTTAACTTATATTTAATGGATTTATTTAAATTTAAAAGTTGATACTTAATTAAGAGAGAAAATTGAAAATTGAAAACTCTCCCTAATATATTTTTCTGGCTACGCCACTATACACCACCATACAAAAACATAACTTATAAACCTACCTTATCAAAAAAACCCATAAGAGGGACTAATTGCCTCAGTTTCCAATACCCTCCCTCCTTTTAAGAAAATAATAATGAATTACAAAATTATCAGTAATTAATAATGGTAGGTATGTGACAACACATTTATTATAAACATGGTATAGAATTACGATTGCATAACTAAGTTCTATTCCATTGCCTCTAATGTTATTTCATGTATCTCCTCCTCAAACACATAGTTAAATTTTTTCTCCTGGTATTCGATAGTATGTCTTATAGTTTGTCCTTTGTTACCACAGTCGTATAGTGGACTATATTAAGTCCCTATTTGTGCATTATATAACCATGGCATTCATTCGTAGCCTATTAAGTACAGACCATTCATGCCTATGTAGTTTCATTTCACTAACTTCATGATTGGGATCCAAAATCAGATTTTAGTTTACTATATAAAGTTAATTCATTTATCACATCATTCATTATCAGAATCAAATATCAAATCTTTTCTTATTAGTTCTTTGGCAGATGTCCATGGCAGTTAAATTAATTTAATCTTAAAATGGGTGCATATTCTGATGGTACTATGTTGATTAACACTGATAGCCATTAAATATGATTTAGTAACACAGAGTACATACAAAGTATTTTATTATACTAATAAAATTGTAATTAAAGCTATACATACAAAAAATTATGTTGCATTTAACTATAACATAATTTATTTTTAACAAATTAATGGGGTAAATATGTGATTAAAATGTACATTTTAAGATTAAAAAATTCCAGATTCTACCAGCTACAGAAATATGATTTATTGATTCAATATTATTATGACAATTGTTCATAAATACTTAAAGGGATTAAAAAATAAAAATAATAGTTCTGAGTATTAACCTAAAAGACAAAATATTTCTTGCTGCTGGAAAACTGGTTTTGTGATAAAGAAAAAAAAAGTTATAATTATTGTTGAAAATTGACCAATATGTTGGCAATTTCATTTTGATGGCTTAATATAGTTACATTATGCACACAGAAGCATAATGAAAATAAATAAAATGATTTGTATATATTATAGATAATATATTGATACATATATTAAATGCATTATTGATAAATATAATTCTGAGGCTTAATAATTATACAAAGCTATATGGTTTAATAGATAATTAAATGTCAATAATCTATTCGAAAACTGACTTGGTTAATTATATCACTTACAACAGCTGCTTAGGCTTTTATTACTTCCTTCAGCAGAATCAACAAGACGTCGGCCTTGCCCTGCTGTATTTGTATTTTCATTTTTCGGGAGTTTTTCAGCTAGACAAATTAAATTATACATATATTAAAATATATAATATTCTTTTTTTATTTAATTATTTTACATTGCATACCAATTGCCTTAAAAATTTCAGTGACATTAGCACTAGTTTTTGCTGATGTTTCCATGAACATAAGTCCATTTTCATAGGCGTATGTCTGTGATTCGTCTGTCTGAACACTTCTCATGGTGTTTAAATCTAGCTTATTACCAGCTAGAGCTATTACAATACCAGGTGTCGCCTGTCTTTGGAGTTCTTTCACCCAATTCTTAGCTCTTTCAAAAGTATCCTTTTAAAATAAATTAAAAAAATCAAAAAATTACACTAATATAAAATAAATAAATATTATTTTACTTGATTAGTTATATCATAAACAACTATTGCTGCTTGTGCACCCCTATAATACATTGGTGCTAGACTATGATAACGTTCTTGACCTGCTGTATCCCAAATTTCAAATTTTACAGCTACATCATTTAAATGTATTGTTTGAGTAAGGAATGCAGCTGAAAAAATAACAGAAAAAAACAGCTGTTTAACAAGATATTTTAAACTATTTATGTAAATACATACCACCAATAGTACTTTCTTGGTATTCATGAAACTGCCCTTTAACAAATCTTAGCACAAGGCTAGATTTTCCAACTGACGATTCACCTAAAAGAACCAATTTAAACTGACATATTTTTCCTGGGGTTTGACCATTAGGTCTTTGTGGTACAGCTCTATTCGCCATTATTATATTGATTGTCTGAAAATGAAGAAAATTTAATTATTTGTTTTATTATTACTTTTGATTACTACAAAAATACAAATATTTTATAAATCATGGAAAAAAATGGTAAAATATAAAAAATATAATACAAATAACATAAATGTACATAATTACTTCTAAAATTGTAATATTTAGCTGAACTTAAGTTATTTAATTTAATAAAATTATAAATTATCATAAAGCAAAATATGAAGGCGTCCGTGCAAAAACCGGACAGCTCCATTTTTTTTTTTTTTTACCAAAATCGGATTTTAATTGAATGTGATAAAGCAAAAAATTACTAGTTTATCGGTACAAGAACGAGACAAATCCAACAACCAATATAGAAAATATAAAATATTTGGAGCTGTCTTGTTTTTCTTTCCGTCGAAGAACAATGTAGCTTCGAAGCTATCAGGTTTTTGCCATGAATTTTTGCCATGTTGTCTACACTGCATAATATTATCCTGTTGTCGGTACTATCATTATAACTAATATCATAATATTGTTCTAAATTGTATGATAAATGATATAATATAATTCGTTATTTTATTAATAGGTACTTATTAATTTTTAAGTATAAGCATTATTTAGTATTGTTTTAGTATTAACTAGTTATATTTAAGAAATTATAAACATAAACGATATTATATTTGACTGAGATTCATCAACGTCGTCAGATGATTTCGATGATGACATTGCCGATCCAAATGTCGAAATTGTGAATAATGATTCCGATTTAGATGGCATTATTGTCTTAATAGTGATGATGAAGATGAACATATTATTATATTTCGTTTTGTTTGGTTATTTGTTATTTACATAAAATTAAAAAAAAAAAAATGTTAATAATATATTATTATATAACTGTTATAGGTAAACATTTAAATGGTACAAGTTATAAAGAGTAAGTACATATATATTTTTTACATTCAGAGTAGGAATTTAGTTTTATTATGTTATACTATTTTTGAATAGATAAAAAAAAAATTAATATTGAACATAATATTTTGAAATCGATCATTTATTCAATATTGTACTTGCGAATTTTTATTTTTCTGTCTTAATTTACTACATTTTATTATGTTTAAGAAAATGAGACTAAGTTTGATATAATTAGAATTAATAATATTAAAATAAAATTAATTATAAATATATATATAAATTTTAACAAAAATGTTTGGGCAAAAAACCAGGTAACTCCAAAAATTTTAGGTTAATATTAGTCCTCATCTCAAATCAAAAACGAAAATCAAATCACCTACTGTGGCATATTTTTCATCGTGGTCTAACATGTCTAAATTGATATGAACATTAGTTTTATCTTAAACTCAATATTTTTAAAATGGTTTTTTATGGCTCCTGAAAAATTACTAAAAATGAAGCTGTATGGTTTTTACACGGACGCCTTCATATGTATATTTATATACAAATTTTATGTAAAAATTTATATGTATATTTGGTTAGATTTTTTTTTTTTCGGTTGGTTATACATTATTCAAAAGAATAAAATCTTATGGTGTCAGTTTCAATAGGTTGTAAAGATTTATAGGTCCATTTCAATTTTCTCTAATAGATTCAATATACAACAGGTTACTAATAAAATGTAAATCAAGATATATTATCTATAATACTTAAATAAAATTTCTATCAATATTTTTAATTTACCTTTTGCTTTATTTAAGTTTATTAAAAAAGTATTCTACTACACTTTATAATATATAAATGTATTACAAAACCATTAGTATTTTATTTAAAGGCAAAATATTGAATATATTTTTTGGATTTTATTTACAGAGGCTAAAGATAAAATGTTAAAATGTATTTATTTGTTATATCTACTCAAGATCCAAATTAAAAGTTTTATAATGCTAAGCTATGGATGTCATTTAAATTTTTAAATGTTACAATTTTAATCAAAACGATACATTTTAAATAAATTCTAAATATATAAAATTATTAGTATTATTATTATTTTTAATTATTATGAATTGATTATTAAAAGTAAAAGTTACATAAAATGGTCAAATGTTTAAAGTGAAAACTTTAGTACCTTCATCTGATTTCAATAAATATAAACAGAAAAGTTCTTAATAAAATAAGACATTTAGAAGAGTGTATACTAATTACAAAAAAAAAAAAAATTGTCAATGCATTAAAAATCAAATTAATGAAAACAAACGTGAATTTATTATGTTAATATATTTAATTCGTAAAATGTTTATATTCAATAATTAGATTTGCAAGGAATCTTATTTAAAATAATTGTTTTTCTTCATTATTAAAAATAATTATAATCAGCAGTATTTTGTAAATTTAATTGAAAACAATAATTTTAATTAAATTTAAATAGCTAATATTTATTAATTATAAATTTAATATTTATAAGATTTAATTAATTTTAAAACATAAAATTCCTCGTTATAGATATGGTAAAGCATTAAGTATGATACTTAAAAAATTATTTATATACTTTAATCAAAGTTTAGTTTGAAATAACATTTTATCCGAACCAAGAAGTATGATTGTAGTGGTTATATAATAAAAATATTATAACAAAATTTTGTTTAATTACAAACTAGTGTTAAAAAAATAAAATTTCAGTACAGTTATATAATCACCAAGTAGAAAATAAATGCATTTTAACTAAATATTTTAAATAAAAACAACAATAATTAAGGAATATATATATGAATTATTCACTTAATTATCTTGATACAATAATAGAAATTGGTTAAACAATTAACAATGCACTAAAATATTCTAGTACTGTTTGAGACTTGTAATTATACAATAGAATATAAGTAATATAAACCAAAACAGTTCATTAAACCTTGATATAAGTAAAAACTGAAAAATTAATCAAGCTATTAAAAAATATTTAATTTTAGTTTAACTATAAACTAAAAACTTTAATAATACAATAAATTAAGTGAAATATTATATTTCGTAGTATAATAATATTTGTTTTTACCTATTAAATATCTACAGAAAGTTAATAATATTAATGTATTAAATATGTATGTTTTATTTAATTCATAGAGCGCTCTGCACCCCATAAAATTAACTATGAGGTTCTTGAGCACCGTAGTACCCCACCAGTCGGCATGGAGTTGGCCAGTGACAGGAGAATAGAACAGAGTATGAATGATGGGGAAATGAGAATGCTTAGATGGAAGATTAGAATGACAAGATAGAATAAGGAACAAATATGTGAGAGGTAGTATTGGTGTAGTGTCTATAGTGGACAAGATGAAAGAAAATAGACTGAGATGGTTAGGACATGTGATGATACGAAAGGAAACAAATGCAGTAAGAGTTGTTATTAAAATGAATGTTGAAGAAATATGAAGAAAAGGAAGACATCGGGTTGCAGTGGCACAAATATATTAAAATATATGTAATTTTAAAGTCTGTAGTCAATTTATTATTGATGAAAACTATTAATGGAATAATGATAAAATAATGATGTACGATAGGATCAGTCACAAAGTTTGTATAATTATAGATCAAAATATAATATTTATGAGTATGGATAATGGTCTATCATCAGAACTATTTGCAAGTGTATAAAGAAATATTACTTGATATTTTACTATCCCTCAAAAAAATATTAACCAGATAGATAATGTAGCTGGAAGCTGCTATTTTTAACTGTAATAATTTTCAAGATTTAAAAATAATTAGCGAAGAATAAGTAATCAAAAATTTCTTAGGCAGTTTATAATTTTTTTTTTATCTTTAACAAAATTTTATATTATGCTGTCTGTTACAAATACTGAACAATACACTTAAATGATAGTTGAAAAAAAAAACACAAAACAGAGGGAAAAGGCCTTCCATCAAAGGTACTTCAACGTGAATTAGCAGTTTATACTTAAATGTAGAACAGTTTTTGATATAAAATCTGTAGAAAATGATTTAATATATATTAAAACCCATTTTTTGTGCCCATAATAACCATCAAAAGTTTAAAAAAGTAAAATGTATCTCCTTTTGATTCAATAAATCTAATTTAAAATACAGTTTTAAAATTGAAAAAAAAAATCAAAGGCTTATAATTTAGAAAAATGTAGCAAAGGTGAATGAAAATAATGTTTATTGAAGTACAACTTATCAATAATTTTTTACTGGCTATGATAACTTATTTTCAGTACACTCCTATGACTTCAGTTAATATCAAATGTTCTTTTATTAATTATAAAAATATTCTAGCAGATTATCATACCAACATAATACTAGAGCAAATTTAACAAAATATACAACAGTATTCAAAAATGTTCTAAATTAAAATTTTTATAAGCTGTATTATATTTTTAAGTTTATTTATTATTACTTTATTCTTTTCATATTTTATAACAATTTTTAAAGAATATTGACATTTTACTTATGCTACTTTAAGATTATAATATTTCAGCTTCTACTTAAAGTTAACATTATTATTATTATAAGCTTTATGTTAATAAAATAATTAATTTTATAAGGATACTATCACCTAGAACTACTTGAAAATTATTTTGATGTTTAAAATATAATAACCAAATAGTTAAAATAACTTATTCATGAATATTGATGACAGGCAAAATATTTATAATTGGATAAAAGAAATTGATTTACAAAAATACTTTATAAATAATTAGTTTTAGTAGCTTTATAATTTAATTAAGAATTTCAAATTATTACAATTGAAACTATTGTTGTATCTATTGGATGTATAAAAATCAAATAGTTATAATAAATCTACAATAGGAAAAAGCTTAACTAACTATTAATAACTATTATTCAAAGAAATTTAAATGAATTAAAAATATAATAAAACAAAATGTTAATAAGAGTATATTATGAGTTAGAAGAAAAAAATCAACATCAAGAAATATAAAAAGTAGTAATAGGTACATATTACATGCATATATTAACATTACATTATTATATATTATATGCATATGTTAACATGCATATAATTTAGATATAGAATAGATTTAGAACAAATAAATTTCAAAAAGTTTTTACTTAAAATAAAATGTAACCGATTCATAAATATCAAGGGAAAAAATTATAAGAATAAGCTAAACATTTTTAAATTTTTTCAACAATTAGTAGTAAATTAAACAATATATTTTCATAGCTATAACTTAGAAAAACCAATTATATTTATTTTTGCAAAAAAATTAAATAATTAATTAGGTAAGTACTTGAAATATGTAAATTTGGATAAAAGATAAGTATATAAAACCTATTTCATTATAAGTAGTTAAACAATCACAAAACTACTTAAAAATACTAGAATAAATACTTAATATATTTATAATGTATGTAGTAAGGTAACTGGATATTGGTTTTTTTTTATCAAAGGTTAAAATGACCATTTAATATATTAACCGTGACAAGCCAATTATAATACATTTGTTTCATTTATTTAAATGGAACAGATGTCTCATGTATTTTTATTAACTAAGTAGTATAACTGAACAGACTTGCTTACATGACCCTCATAATATACTATTTAGTATATTTATTAACAGACTGATAACCATATTGAACTGCTTCCGACAGTCAAACCGACCTCGTTTTCCAATATCCCAATCATAAAAATACCAACAATAATTAAAAACATCTCCTCAGAGAACCACACCATTCGTGAAAAGAAAAATTGAATGTAAAAAAAATTAACCAAATAAATGAAAAATTGATAAAGCTTAAAATAATTAAAAAAAAAAGAAAAATAATACTCTAGAATAATTAACAATGGTTTAAAGTTGATATGGATGGAAACTCAAAAATAATTTAGGCGTAAGAAACACTGAATAGATCACAAAAGACCAGATATGGACATATGTTGAACACCATTTAAATATTGACCATTAGTCTAACAATAAGGCACTCACAAGATACTGAGATAGTGAGCTAGAAGGCAATAAACGTAGGTAGATGTTTTACTTACATGATTTTTGGGTTTTTCTATAGGTAGCTCCGTTGTATTCTGTTGCAAACGTAATTGAACTGAATTCGTCGCGGTATAAAAAATAATTAAAAATACGAGACACGAAAAAATAAAAATAAAACAACAGTAGTATAAATATAAAAAAAATAGGAAAACAAAATCTAAACGAATGATTAATAACAACAACAATAAAACATCAGTATTCTTATTATATGTGTATTATTATTACACAGTCTCACTGACGATTTGCTTTCTAATCACTGGCAATCGGCAGATAACGTTATAATTTATTTAGGTTGTACATAATATGCGAGACGCAAAAAGCGGAACACTGGTACACAGTGATTAACTTTAAGAAAATTCTTCGAATGTTTTACGTCGATTGATAATCACAGCGGTGGTGGTGGCGGCGGCGGCGGCAGTGGTGGCGATGACGTTTGATGACAGATTCGGACGGTAAATGAATGCGGAATGACAATTGAATATTAAATATTTTTTTATGTTATCAGTACTGTTTTGCTTGTACGCCGCCCTCAGTAGTACACTGTTCACTGAAGTACTCTACAGTCTAGTAAGCCGTCCAACACGTCGCAGAATGGTTCGCGGTGCCCGGGTGTGAAAATATTTTATTATTTTAATATTATTGCTATTAAAAACGTTGGCAATAAAAAAAGGGAATAAATAAATAAAAAAAAAATAATAGTAATAATAATTTCCTAGTCGCGCATCATCGTTGATATGGTAGTGTTATACTAAATGGAAGACAAGTTGGGAGAAAGAGACAACCTTGAGTGCACAGTAGCGCTGCGGACAATGAAATATATAATAAAATTAAACATACACGTTGCACGCGCGCGCTTGTGTGTGTGTATTGAACATAATAATTTTAATACAATATGAAGGGGAGAAAACGTCGTTTTCGATAACGCAATTATATCTCCGATTCCGTACTGGAATAACTAGAACGTTCCGTTACAATCGGTTGTGGAAACGAAACGGGGCGTTTTCGCTTGGCGGTAGACGACCGATCTGCCCATGGAGGTCGTTTCGCATGACATCGCGAATCATGATGCCTCATTTACGCGTCCTGATAACGTCTCGGGTGATAATAATATTGTCGTGTGGAAATAACACGGTTGTGAGTGGAACCAGCTGTGTCATGTCAGCGTCACGATTCGAATAAAATGATTTGTTTACGTAATAATTACTATTTAATTTGAGTAGCTATTCGCCTTACGGTATTGAACACTAATACATCATTCAGGCATACTATACGATCATCGAAAAAATATATTGTTGATTGATGTATACATATATGCATTGATTATAAATATTGTATTTATAATAAATTATAAAAGTTGTCTATCGACTGAGAAACTTAATGGGAAAGTTATATTCCAAAAATCATAAATATATACGTATACTTGAAATCTTAAGCACTCATTATTTTTAAAGATGAACATGTAATGTGGTGTACACGGCTAACATGCAAATTAATTAATATTATAGTTCATGATCCAATTCGATTATGATTGGTACTCGATAACATTGAGAAAAATTTTTTTTTATATTTGCAAACATGCAGATTCTTGGAGGATATATTTTTCTAAATGTTCAGTGAGTTGAATGTCGTTGACATCAGAATTTATAATAAATTGTACAAAGTGATAAAGTGAAAGTGTAAATACCTACTTATTAAGCATAACTTATAACTAAAGACCGGATTTATATGTTTTTACACATCGTTACTTGGTCTATGCAGTTGTATGAGAGTAAAAAATGTGGACGATTCATTCAATTCTGAGTTTGTAGAAAAAAGTTTTTTTTGCATATTTGAGAATGTATAATAGGTTAGAGAATATTTAGCCCATTTAGCATATTATAGAATATTTGATTTTTTTTTTTTTTCATAGTTGGAGATTTTACAAACTGTTATTTGCAAACTAACAAATATACCTGGTGAAACGGGTAACATAATAAAAATACTAAAGTATCTCAATTAAGTTAAAAAAATAAAGGTTACCAAATGTTAGCGAAAGTTGGGAACATTTTATGTGGAAACAATGAAGATCTCCCAGAATATTTTACACCTAATGTAGTTGTTAACATGAAGTTTACACAAGGCCAGCTTAGATACGATCGAAATGTGCGACGGCACTGGGCGCCAAAATCAGAAGGGCGCATGAGAGGCGTCGAAATTATAACCCAATTTGATTAACCGTTGGCGACACAAATCATTTACTATTAGAGCAGAGAACTTGCAGCATTTGCATATTTTTTTTGCACAGTCACAAAAATAGCAGAATGCAAAACAAATATGTTTCATACTTCCACAAAACTAGTTTTGAAATTGTATTGTGCATATAAATGCATATTTTTGCGTTTTTTGTTTTTAGGGCATATTTCTTTCATTTTATACTTTTAGATGTATATTTTAAATAATTTATCATTTTATCAATATTTTTTCGTCCGAGTTTTTATTTATTTATCTATACAAACAAAATAACGTTGAATTTAAAATGATTTTAAATTATGATCATAATATTAATATGGTTTTTAACTTTTTCCAGATCCATCATGGTTTTACTAAAAACACGTCTCGAGAGTTGTCGTTTAGACTTATTGTCAGTTTATTAATTTCATTTATGGATAGATGAGATAATATTGTTCAAAGCACAAAATATTGATACGGGCCACGGGGACGCCTTTCACCGACATCGGACATATTCATATTTCAGTAATCGCTGTGTTTCTCAACGGTTGACAGTCCAAACACGTTCTATTTACTATTTTTTTTAAAAAATGCCTAAAGTAAGTGCCCTGATAAGAAAACCTATAAAATAAACCCAATTAGTTAATTGTAACTTGTAAGTTGTTAAATAAAGTTGTAAATAAAATGTATTCATAATAATAAGTTACCTACAGAAAAATTCTAATTTTTTATTCAAAAATTTTATTTTAAAAGCATATTTTGTATATTTAAGTGCATATTTGTAATGCATATTTTTTATATTTAAATGTATATTTGGTGAATTTTTAGATCTTAAAATGCTTTGCTCTATCTACTACGGATAGAAAAAAAAATGTCACGATATGATTCAATATGAATTTGATTACTATTATGATTATCATTATTATTATTCTATTGACATGCAAGGATGGGCCGCTCTTGTGGATACAATTACAGTTTTATAAACCATCGTTATATTATTTTGAGTATTATTATGTTTGTTCTCCGAACGATTTACAATTATGTGGCAAACATGCACGTTTGAAACAATTATTTCGAGCGTTTACGATTACGAACGAGGCTCATAATATGTATAATGAGATGCTTCCAGTTACCAAAAGTCGGCCGGTTTTGGTTATACGTTTAAGCTGTAGCGTAGATACAATTTTTTTCTGGAGGGGGGGGGTGTTTAAGATTCAATTCATAATACTCTTTGCATATCTTAATACGAGATCCTATATAATAATATTACATTTATAATGGTATTATTATTACGTCCCGTATTTAATGAAAATTATTTTATGACTCAATTTTTAATATATACCTAATCTTAGTAAAACGAAAATATAATTTTACTATAATATGTAAATATTAATAAATAATAATTAAATATAATTTAAAAAAAAATCTGGGGGGTGGAAACCCCTTACCCCCTCCCCTCGAAACTGCGCCACTGCGTTTAAATCGTTTAAGATTGTCAAGATAATTCTTGCACTGAGCGCTGAAAGAGCTAAAGCCAGTCCTGAGTTTACACCTCTAATATCTGTTGATGTAGAACGTTCATTTAGTTTCTATAAACAAATTTTAAGTGATAGAATAACTAACATGAGTACAGATAATATATAAAATATATTATTGTTAATTCATATAATAAAACTTAAATAGTATTTCAAGTTTCTTTTTTATTCTTAAGAAAGTAAATATTTATCATTGCACGCACCAAAGAAATATTGTTTTTTTATACATATGTATATATAACTATATTGTTATTTTATATATTGTATTAAATTACTATTATTTAAGGATTACCTTTTGTTAACCAATTTTTTTTTTTGTTTTATTATATTTTAATATATATATGATTATTTGTTATTTTTAATATTGTGACAATATTGTTAATACAACATTTAATTAAAATATACCAAAGGAATATTGTTTTTAAATTTTAATACTGTAGACCAGGGATCGCCTATCAGTCGATCGTTATAAAATTTAATTTTACCACTATCTGTCGATCGCGTAAAATAATCAGATTAATTGGATAATGGGGAATATTAGATTTAAAGATTAAAGACCTAAATTTTCGTGGATCACTATGGACTTAAATGTCAAATGTAGCTTAAAATGCATATTAAACCATGTATTGATATTTGTTGATTATTTTTGAATAATTTCGAATAATTTTACATATTTTTAAGATTTTTAAGAAAATATAATAAGAATATTTGAATGTTTTTTAGAGAATATTAGCATCATATTTAAGGTATTTTAAGGAAATATAAATCCGGTCTTTAGTTATGACATTAATTTAACTAAGAAAAATACAATTTTGTAATTTACTAATTATGTTATCTTAAAATTTTAGAGTTAAAGTATGAAAGGTTAAGCAAACCATTTAAAATAGGTTAATGATAAAAAAACGGTTGCCAACCAATTATGCAGTGACGTCGAAAAAAATTTTCAATGTTCTGGTAATTAGCCAATCAATTTATAACCTACAACCCACTCCACCCAAAGACATAGTTTAAGGGGTTGGAAGTTCACCCCTCTTAACACATTTTAACTTATTTTAGAATTTATGTTACCATTTAGGTACTTAATCGTCTTAAATAGTAATTATTAAATGGGCAGTATTATACTTTATTGTTGATTGGATTAATTCACTTATTACTCGTATACTAATCTACAATGACCACCCATCACCCTAAAAATATGGTCTGTTTATGACCAGACTTGAATCCCGATTTCGGCGCCACTGCACTTATGTATAAAGTCATATTCTAAAAAGTGTATAGGTCTTAAATTGTACTGTCTAATTAGTAGGGGTAGGAAGTTATAATACTAATACATTTTTAACGCTTTAATATGCACACTAGAATTCCACAACAAGCGCTATAAATATAATAAAATACTCCTTAAAATTGGAAAATATGCAAATTACATTTAATTTTTACATTTATTTTTATTTTTTTTTTAAAAAAATTGGTGGTAGGTGTTTGAGAAATAGGTACTTTGTCTCTTATTATTCAATATTCGCGCCGTTTACTTTTGTCAATGAACTTCGTGAGACTAGGGTCACAATTAGGGGGGGGGGGGGGCACTGGCTACAACTGCTCCGGGTGCCAACATTTTATGGTCGGAAATTTGCTCACTTGTGAATTATTGAACTTTTAAAATTATTTTGAAATTATTATTTTTTTTGTTTCTAATAACAATCTCATAAATGAATGTTAATGTATTTAATTTATTAATATATATGTATTTAATTTATTTATAGAAATATAACTATCAGCAATTTAGAATATTATTAATATATTATCTAATATTAGATCCCAAATTTGTTGTGATAATGTCAATAAACATAAGTTATTTATAATAATACAGCGTGTTAGTGGCGTATACAGAAAATATTTTCGGGAGAAGTTACTATGGACAGAGTTAAATTGCCACTGCTATCTAAGAATTACTAACAAGACACAGTAGGTTCTTATCTACATTTCATTTTATTCCAGTCAAATTAAACAAAAAACTACAAAGATTGGAACTAATTCCTCGAAAGCTGAATTTTGGTACACAATCAATTCATAGCTTACTGATTAACATACTAAAAATCCCCAGATATGCCCCTTGTGCATAGTTCTCCATCCCTTAAAAAGGGGGTGCGTACCCTCTTTTCAATTTTACACTATAACTTGTTTAATTTTAGACTAACAGCTAAAAAGTATAAAACAAAAATTAAAGGCCGTAAAATTGTCTATATAAATATGTCATTTTTTTACTTAAATGATCATGGAATAGCGGTAAGTAAAATTTTTTTGAAAAAAATTGAATTTTTTGTTTTTTTAAGTTTTAGCCAAAACTACTATTCGTACGTCAAAATGATATATTAAAAAAATTGAAGACCGGATAATTTTACATAAGATTCTAATTTTTATTTTTTTATATACATTACCGTAATCTCAAAAATGTTTGATATTTGTGGCGGTTAGCTATAGTTATTTGCCATACTAGAATATTTAACACTTTTGTAAAATAATTTAGTCTAATAAGTTCATCGATAGCTGAATTTTGATAATTAATTTATACGTCACCAATCAGAGACTTATTAGACAATAAATTAAGATCATACGTTAGCATACTATACGATTAGTGTTTTTGAACGGTATAATTCTAAATCTGGAATGTCTGGAAAGGAGTACACTATTATCTGATATTTATAGTCTTTTGAACGGTATAATTGATTTTATCTTATCGCAGTTTTTCATTCATGTGAATTATTCATGTCCAGTGTCCACCAATTAAGAGGCTTCATATGTATAAATTCGTCCCTAAAAATCGTTTCACGCGGGATAGAACCACTCAGACTATAATAATGTTTAAGACTCCAAATTTATATACAATATAGGTAAAAATATTATCTGTGAAATATCGTTTTATTTTTCTGATATCAGTTATACGAAAAAAAGTTCTTGTTGTTTCAAAATCCATTATTTTTGTGTTTTTTAAGCTTGGTTAACTTTTTTTGTAGTTCCGATATCGCAAAAATTAAAACGATATTTTACGGCTAATATTCCCCTTTTTATGTGGTGAAAATTCCGTTTCTTAGTTATGACTGTAGCCTTCTCGGTTCTTTCCGGCGCGAAACAGTTTTTACGTTAGATTTAAACTTTATTAAATATTTTTGCTTGTAATGTGCTGCTGCCTACGATCAGGTGCACGCCCATAATAATTTCCAGGAATATTTCGATATGAAATAATTTAATTTTAGTGACTACTTTCTATATAATGTAGTACCTATTATAATATAATAAAAACAATGAAATAGAAATTGATAATATAATTATATTATTATAGTGTTTCCTATACTTACAATGTGCGTCCCATATCAGCTAGTCTAAATCAGTGTTTCCCGACTGGTGTTCCGCGGAACCTAAGGGTTCCGTGAGAAATTTTGAAAAATATAAATTAATTAGGAATATTTTAATTTGAACTGTAATTTGAACATAGAACTGGAATTGACACATTTCCATTACATTAGTATTATATTATATTATTATATACAAATTGACACATTAGTTTTTAGCTTTTTGGCGTTCCCGTCCTTTTTCCCGAAAGCTTTTTTTCCTACGATTATTTTTAAAAATAAAATACTAATATTATTGTGAGGTCATAAAAATATAATTTATTATTTTACTAAAATATTATTTTATTTATACTTTTGATTTTTAGTAATTTTTTTTCGTACAAGAAGTCCGCGGCGGACGTAATATGCACTGTGCTGGTAGATATGGTCGGCTCAAGGTATAGGCGAATTAGGCACCTGCCTAGAGCGGCACTTTAGTAGGGGCGGCATTTTCAAAATTAACCACGACCCGGGGTTTTTTGTGACAGTTACAGTGATATCAATACATTAAATTTAACTTCAAAAATTAAAAGTCCACTCGCTCAATCGAGTTTTATAGATATTTTATCAGAGAGTTTAATTATAAACTCCACTCAAACTTCTATTGAAACGCTTATTGAGCAAACTTCAAGGTATCTATATTACACACAGCTAAAAACTTTATGTACACATCTTTTAAGTTTATTTAGTTTATTAATTTAGTTTTTTAATTTATTTATAAAATAGTTAGACAGTTATAATGTAGTTCGACAGTCTTTATTATTAATTATGTTAATATTTTTTTGTATTATTTACACATCTTACAAATCTCGGAAAAATTGGTTTATATACTTAATATTTTTAATTCCTATATACTATGTATATATATAATTGAGAGTTGAAATATTATTATTTTTTGTGTATTGTAGGGTTGGATGAAGAATTGTTGACATTTTTTACTTTTTTCAACAATTGCAAAATAGTGTTCATGACATTGCATTCGGATGTTCTTTTATGAATTCTAAACTTGTAAAAGAAATTCGTAATGGTTAATTTTGTACGTGTACATTTAAATGTAAAATGTGTAATTTAATTACCAAAATCGAGTCTGAAAAAAGTGAATCATATGTACTAATCAATAAGGCAATTATGACTGCTACCATTGGGATTGGAATAGGATACACTCAACTTAGTGAATTTTTCGCAATTTTAGATATACCCTACCTTAGCACTAATACATACGGTAAAATATTCGATGAACTTAGTACAGTAATAAAACAAACTGCATGGGAACAGATGAGATTGGCTGGCATTGAAGAAAAGCAATTAGCGATAGAGGCTGGAGATATTGATACTGACGGTGTATCATTATGCTCTGTAATTGTTAACGGTCAATGGGGAAAACGCAGTTATAAGACCAAGTATGACGCGTTATCCAGAGCTGTAGGATTTTTTTTATCACATGATCGCATAAATAGCAAATTAGTTTAAATTATTATAATACGATTGTTATGTAAGCTACAATTTTTGGATTTTGTTCTAAAAAAGTCTTATTTGTTGGAATACGAAACCGCTATTGTTGTATGTGCGAAAGAGCTCATGCGTTAAAGTTGTCCACAAAAGACCATTAATGATTTTTAAATTGGGACAAAGCTGCCACTGGTATGGAAGCTGATGGTATTTCTGAGGGATTTGCCAGAAACATTGAGTTACATGGTTTAAAATTTAACAGATTAATTGGTATAATACTGTCAATTTTAAATATAATACAAATACTTATGACTCAATAATAAATAATAGAAACATAAAAAAAATATAATTTTCATAGATGGCGATAGCAGCGTATTAAACAAACTATTAGAGATAGTCCCTTATGGACCACACTAATGCGTGCGGATACGATTAAGCGCAAGCGTATGGACGACACACCGCCAGAAACGTAGCCATAGGTGGACCATGGGGTTTGGACTAATTTTTGGCGAATGTAATCGAAGTTCTCGATAAGCAGCTTGAGTGTACACAGATCGGTATCCAAATAGGTTTGATACAATCAAAAACCTTACTCCCGTGGACAGAAGGTTGGAGTTGTAAATACTATAATATTATGTAAATAAGTATTTCTTAGATATAAATTGTGTAAGATTAAATAGTATTAATTTTTATATTTGCATGTTGAATTAAATAAATAATTTATAAAATTTAAAATATTTTATTATACTAGTAGTCTTTAGTACAAGAATCTTTGGTTCACTTTTTTTAAGGGGCCCCCCTGCGGACAAAGTCTACGCACGCCTATAGTAATAGCCTACATACGTGCTTATCCACGTTCATCAATAAAACATGTATCTCGACAAATTGGTTTATCAGGTGGTGCAGTACATAAAATTTAAAAAAAAAAAAAAAAAAAATTCATCTGTCTGTATAAACTTGAGTTTATCTAGCATTTACGAATCGAAGATTATGAACGTAGATAACAATTTTTTGTCATGATTTAGTGTTAAATTTGAAATCGACAACTTATTTTATAATAGTATTTTATGAACGGATGAATCTAAATTCACAAACAATAGTATAATGAACAAACAAAACAATAGGTTTTGGGACGATAAAAATCCACATTGGTCCTGAGAAAATAACTTTCAGACAATTTGGGGTATAAATGTGTGGTATGGATTAATTGGTGAAGTACTTGTAGGTCCTTATTTTTACGACGGAACACTTACAGGTAAAAGATATCTAGATTTTCTTGTTAATCAATTACAATTACTGTTAGAAAATGTTCCATTAGCCACGCGAAAAAATATGTATTTTCAACAAGACGGTGCACCAGCACACAACGCTATCATTGTTAAATAATATTTAAATGACATTTTTCCTAACCGATGGATTGGTACCCATGGAGTAATTTGATGGCCGGCAAGATCTCCAGATTTGACCCCATTGGATTTTTTTTTATGGGGGCATTTAAAAAATGTTGTATTTGCCCACCTATACCTTACCCGCCTATTAATATCCAAAATGTAAAAAATAAAATACGACTGGTTTGTAATAATTTGAGAGAAGAACAAATAAACGCTGCTACATCAACGGAAATTATAAAACATTTGGAATCATGTTTGGAACATCAAGGTGGGAAACAGTAATCTTTGTCATCATCAGATTCGTCACAAGAAGTGTCACTATTTTAAGTGAGTTATAATAATATGTAAGTGCGCTATGGAGTTTGTAAATAGTGAAAAATCGAAGCCAACTATTCTCTACGAAGGCTACAAATTTCAAAGTTTAGAATTCGTGTGTGTAAAATGTGTAACACAAATACAAATGAAAGTTACCTTTATTTAAAATTTTTTTTTTTGGTTTACTTACACGCACTTACACGTTCGCGTGGCCTAACATGATGTATACAATTTCGTATAAAGTAGCCTGGGCGACGACGATTTTTGTCCGAAAGTGGCGGCTATCACCCAGCACTCATCAATGATACGTATGCGGCACATTCGTACATTCATATGCGGCCAACGCATATCGCGATCGAATTCAACAACATTTATAAAATTATTATTTTGTTGATTTGAAAATGGCCATTTTAGTATTTTAAATACTAATTATTAAATTGTTTAATAATTATTAAAAGGTATACTATTACAATCAGAATTACCTAATTTTCTTTTTTCATAAATAATAGTAGGGGGTGCGATAGTCCCGTCGTACAAGCCACAAGCCGCCACTGCCAAGGATATATATAATATACGAGCGATATATATAATCAGAGCCGTGATAAATGTTTCAGCGAAAAATAATTTTCCATTTTTTTTATTATGAATATACCTAATAAAATATTTTATAAATTAGCTATCTTAACAAATTACCTGAGGACCAATGAGTTATTAAAAGACTAGGTATTTGATTATACATATTAAGATAATTCAATACACGATATCATTTTAAAATAGCAAAAAAAAAAAAGAAGCATAATTTAGAATAGTTTTTTCAATATTGTCAAAAATATGTCAAAAGAATACAACGAATAATATTTATACATGCATAGCTGCAAGACTGTATGGGTCGCGCGGGGTAGTCAAGAGAAAATGATGAAATATTAAAATATAACGTTATTTACTGTTCTTATTGTGTGTTCAAGATAACCCGCTGACCGTTTATTAAATGTATAATTGATAGTTAACATTTTAGTACGACGCCCATTGACTTTTGTCGCGCATATCAACATTATAAATTACCCGTTTGTTTGTTCTTCCAGAGTGTATTTGAACAAAATGCGCGAGAATTCGATTAAAACTACTACGCGTTAATGAGAGTTATGATAGTTTGTTGTACAAACGCGTAGAACGTTGTGGCGTGTAATAAAACATGATAATAACTTAGTAATAATCGTCTATTATTTGTTTAACAATATTATTAAATTCTCATCATAAAGGTATTAACGTCATAATTAATGCATTTATCTGTAAACATCTGTAATAATATATTCAACAAGTGAATCAAATATAAATCAATGATGGCGAGACACGAATTTATAATTGTCTAATCACCAACTGTTGCGTATGCGGTCATAACATTCTCGCCGCATTTTCACAGGAATTGACATTCACCGCAATACTAAAGATTCAAGCAAGCGAAGCAACGCACTAACTACTTAATCGTTTTTATGATAAACAGTCCATTTGAATTTGCAAACTGGTCGAATTAACTACTTCTAGTGAGTATACTACAGGTTTTGTTGTATGTAATAATATGAATTATTTTATAATTGCGGCACCACTAATGCTGGCAGTTAGAATCGGTAACAAAATACTTCATATTTTATCAATCATATGATATTGGCAGTTCAAAAGTAGAAAATAATAATAATTTATATTGATCACTGTTCAAATACAAAAATGTATAAACTTATGTCAATAATAACATCAACCATTAAAATGTAATATGGTATTGTTCAATTTATAATAATTTACAAGGTAATTTAATTGTTGCAGAATTAATCTAGTAGGTTTTTATACTTGATTTTTAATGCAATCTATTATATTCTAGTCCTTAGGAATGATTATTAATATAATTGTAATCATACATTTAGGAATAATAAAATTAAATATCACTTTTTCATAATACAAGACTGTAGTTGGAGGTAAATTGAAACTCAATGCTTACCACAATTTTGTAAATTTGAAGAAAGTGAAGTAATAACATAAAATTTTAAATGCATGAATACGGAGTAAAAGAATTGATAGTGTGTTCGAAGTCCCTATCAAATTATCCATAAATTGTCCATCACATACCTAAATCGAACTATACTACAATAGGTTTATACATTTGATAAATTTAAACATATTTAGTTTAATATTTCTTTATTAAACAATGAATGCAATAATTTATAAATTATATCTCATAAATGCAGTTCAAAAATCTCATTTTATTAGATAGTTTTTTTCATTGTCAGGTATATACATCTACTTATATTTGTTTTTATTAATTTAAGTAGATAAAACTCTATTTTAAGGAGCATACAATTGAATTGATCATCATAATAAAATATATCTGTATTAATATTACATACTAGTTAGATTACAATAATAAATGAAAATGATTAAAAAAATAAACTAAAAATAAAAGATTATTGAATTAGCTATCACTTATACAATCATTAATTTCAGAATCCACAAATTCTACATGTGTAAATGGGAAATGTCCAGTTTTACCATTTAGTTCACCTTCCCATTGGCCATTAATATTAGTTTTCGTAACTTTGATTATATCCCCAATTTCAAGTTTTAATGCTGTCTTGTCATATGCATTAGGTACACGAACTTGTTTAACTCTTGCTAATGCTGGTAATTTTTTCTGTAAAAAAAAAATCAAGGTCAATAAATAGTATTTCAAAAACATAAATATAACCACAATTATTTTGTTTTAGATAAATGTATAGCAAATTACTTTATAAAAAAGATAAACCGTATCAGAACATCAACAATAAATAAATTCCTATTTGAATAGGTAATATATGGTCATAATATATTTGATATTCTAAATGGTGACTTTGATATAAATAATTATATTTTTAAACATTTTACAAAATTGCAATCACTATTTAATACCCGGTTGCAAGGAAGCTTATAAGACCTATAACTAGTTATCAGTTCAGTAAAATTAAAAACCGATCTGTAAAATAAATAGATTTGAATAGATGCAAAATGATTGACTCAATAACTTGTAGGTTAGATTTGTGTTCTATAAAATTTGTAGAATCGTTTAAGATTCTATTTTAATATGTGTTATCATTTGATATTATTGTTATTTATTTATTTAATTTTCAATTATTATTAATTTCATTTCATTTCATACTATTGTTTCAACATTTTTTAAATTTAAACAATTTGTTTCAATGTCTTTGTCCTATTTGTTTGATGATTCCGATAAAGATATAATTCTTCAAATTTTAATTAATTTTCTAGGTGGTTTCGGGATAGTTCAAATTCATTTCAAGACTATGATAGTTGACAAATAACACGGAAAATATCAATTTAACAATTAAATTACCAAAAAATTCTTATCTTCTTCGAAAAATAAATATTTTTGATAAAAATAATATTTGTGTACTACTGAATACCAAATAATTGGTTATAACCTGATTATTTGATACAATTTATAATAATTTCATGAAAAAAAATCTGTTCTTTAACTTTTATGATTTCACAATTGATATATTATCAGCCCAACAGTTTACAGAACTGTTTTAATGTAACTAGACATAAGTGTAAAGTGTTAGTTCTTGAAGATGTAGAAGTTATTGATTAAATATTATTTTAATTTATGTCAAAATTGTATGATTTGAACAATTTAAAAAATATAACTTATAATTAGATAATTAAAGTAATATGGAATCTAATAACCAAATATCAACTTACTTGAAGACTAGAACGTCTTAATGTTGACTCATTATTAGATCCATGAATTTGATTATTGTCTTTCATTGGTAAAGGTTGACTTCCATCATACTGAAAATATTATTAAGTTTAACATACATGTATTTAATTATATACATTTTATTAAATCAACTCTTGTAAGGCAATAATAATTTACATATATATCTACTCGTATATTTAAGCAGTTAAAATATTATATATCAAATTTAAAAGAATTTTATTTAAAAATGAATAGCAACTTGTACTAAAAATGTTATATATTTTATAATATTTAACTGTAAGGCAATATGTAGTTATAAAATATTAGTAGAAAATTATATTTATATTCACCAATTCAATTTATTTTTAAATACTATAAATGTTTATTAAAAAAGACTTAATTTTTAATCATGGAGCAATATGGTTATAAATGATAGAACCAGAAATATATTTTCACTTCCAATTCATATCAAAATAAAATGTATACAAGCAAAAGGTTTTATCTTTTTTTAAAACAGTTAAAAAGCCGTACTAAATTAATAATTAATCAATACATCTCAAATATTTACATTTTTAAAATTCTACATTTGTTGTAATAACTAATTAATATGATCAATTGATTTATCTTTTAATAGAAAATAAAAATTAATAATAAATAACAAACAATGTTTTGAATGTAATATGTGGGCAGCAATGACAGAAGCTATAATAATATTAGTTTATATCAATATAAATTAATAATAAACATTTATGATAGTTTACAACAAAATGTATTGATTTAAATCATAACTTTAACACATTAAAAGTACTTTTACCAACATTTCATACATAGAATCACAAAAAGTTTCATCTATGAAATGTTTTAGATACATTTTATAAATTTCATATGTTGGTTGTACTATCAAGCACTATGGTAGTTTATAGTATGGTTAACAATAGATTTGATTAAAAAATAATGGTTAAGCGTATATTTTTTAAAGATCTTTAGTTTAAGTATATAAAAGTTATTAATTTTTTTAATACTGTTTGCAAATATAATATTGCATATATACTGTATAAGTATTCTAAATAATGTATCACTTTGGTTAGAAATTAATGATAATGGTTTGGAAACAATATTATTATCTTAGCAAAACAAATATTTTTCAATACTAACGTTTAATTATAAATTTTAAAGTCTAAATATTATTATTACTGATAACATTAAAAAAGTAATAAATTGAAATATTATAAGCCAGCTGTAAAATTATGTATTATATAAGAATAATAAACTAATCAAAATATTAGATAATATTGGTAAATCCATTAATACATATTTAAATATACAAAAGTAAGTAAAGTACAAAATTCAGTATTTTTATATTATAATTTTACTAACAATTAAAACATTATTATATTTATTTATTATATTATTAATATTTAATTAATTCCTCAGATATTAAAGTAAAATTCACTGATGATGAACTTTACTTTATTAGTATTGCTTATTATTAATTGGATGTTAAGTTTTTACAATACTAAATCATAATAAAAACCATGCATAAAAATCAAAACTGATTAAATTAAGACCAAACTTTGTATGCTTGGGATAAATGTTTTATTTAAGCTTTTACCCAGATATCACTAACTAGAAGAAGTTATTTAAATAAAAATGTGGAATCTATGATTATTACATGAATATTAAAACTAAAATGAATTATTTAGTAAATACCGAATATTTCATATTAAATAAATAAACAATAATTGTGTTAAAAAATATACATAAACAATTATGGTTTCTTAAAAATATAAACCTTAATTGTCATTTATAGACAAATAATGAAATATTCTGTTTTGAGAACAATTAATTATAGCAGTTAACAAGTACTTCAATTTAGAACTTTAAAAAGGGTTATCAACATTACTAATATTTTTTACGAAATGTATGTTGTCTACCAATTTTTTTTATTTCTTAAAAAAATCAAATGTATTACTAAGAAATGTTAATCATTTACATATTTAGCGAAAAAAATAAATAACAAAATAAAAATTTCAAATTTTTAATGTTATTTTATTTATACTCTAACTGTTTGTATTTATATTTTATATTTATTTTTTAAAAGATACTTCATAAAAATGTATGTTTTACTTAAATTTACACTTAAATTTTTCCTAAAGAATCTACTAAGTATTTTATCCATATAATTTAAAAGAAGAAACACAAATATCTAATTTATTTTTTCAAATAGTAATAGTTTTAATAAAATGCATTAATAAAAATAATATCAATAAAAATAATACTAAAAGAACACAGCAATAAAACTTTACTTTTTGAACATATGGAACTGGAATAGAGCCCATTTGACCCATCATATTCTTAGCTGTCCACCACTGTTCTTCATCTTTTACAAGAATAGTCAAAATATCTCCCCTTCTAAATGGTAGATCATCTTGATCCTGATAAATGTAAGTAAATATTAATTTTTTCTACTTACACAGTTATTAAAATTTAATCTTACATTTCCCAAAAAGTCATACTTGGCAACAACTTTTTCAATTGGTTTAACAGCGGGTTTTAAAAGAGGAGTAGTGTCAAGATAGTGCAATTTATAAAATGCTAATAAACTTGGTAAATCAGGAAATACTTGGTCACCAATTCGATATTTTATTTCATTATTTTCTTGTATTTTATTGATAATGTAGTGACTAACCTTACTATCTTCCCTGTAACAAAATAAGATGGTGTTTTTAAAAGATGAAATATAGTGAATTATTTAATAAATAAATATAAAATTTCTTATTTTTTTACAAATTGATAAAGTTAAAAAGTGTTCGTAATAAATTATTTTTTATTTTATAATGACAACTATAGTGACAATTATAATAAATTAATAATTATTTATCCCCCTATAAATAGTAATCAATTGAATTAATTTAAATTTAATATAATAGTAATTTACATTATATTGTTGTTTGTTATGTATTATATATATATATATATTTTTTTTATTTTTATATTATATAATATAATAATATTGAAAATAAATAAATTAATTGATTTAATTTAATGATATACCTCACACATAAAACATAATCTCCTTGAATACTGAGGCTATCTCTAATTAAAAACGTTCCACATTCTCGTTCACTCATTAATAAATCAGAAGCCTCAATACGCGACATTGGTCCAAAATACCAACTGCAATATAAATACAGATTATTTAACATTAACACTGGTAAATTTATAAATAAATTGATCCATTAAAAATGTAACCACTGAGTAGCTAACTTACCTGGCTTTATTGTTAGGATCGAAGCAATGTGCAGCCATATTAAATTATTTAAAACAGTTTACAACATAAAAAGAGATTGAAGTTTGGTGAAAAGTAAAATCATAATATCGGTTCTTATTGGTTGACTTAAACTTCCATGGTTAGAAGAATTGAAATCTGAAAAAAAAATTAAATTATTTAAAATAACATGCAGCAAAAGGTTTATAAATATTATAACATGTGTAGTTTAGCTGTTCATAATCATAAAAGAATTTAAAATTAACAATAGTTACACAATTCGTTAATTGTTATAATATTTATTAAAAAAATGTATCTCAACAACTTGTAGAATTACAGGTTATTTCAATATTATTAGACATTTTTTTTACCGACTGTTTATTGTTTGTATATTTTACTCAAAATTATAATAATTCACATATGTCATCTTAAAATATTTCTTTATTTTAATTGAAAATATGAATATTTACAACCAAAAGATACCAAAGGTTTAATATTAGTTTTATATTAAATTATAAAGGTAGTTTACCAAGGTGAATTCTAATAAAATTGATATCTAATACTTCTTTAATAAAATATAATTTAAAATGTACAAATAATAAACATATATATATTAAACAATATTGATTTAATGTACTATGTCATAAAACAGTATTTAAAATTAATAATAATGTTAAATTAGATAAGTATGAATCAATTTAAGCAAAGGGCAATTTAAATGTTAATAAATCAAAAATAATTTACCACTGAATCAATGACACACAATAAAACTAAGTCTTGCTTCAATAGGTTATCATTGATTATTGTTTATAGAAATTATAGTTTAGCTTGAGAAAAACTTTCAACGTAATAGATTATGTTTT